CGAGCAGCTGGTGGGCGAGCGGAGCGGCCTGGCCCAGGTGCTCCGCCAGGAGTTCGCCGACCGGCTGGCCGCCTCGGAGGAGGAGAACCGGCGGGTCAGGGCCGAGCTGGCCGAGCTGCGGGCGCGGCAGCGGCTGGAGCTGGAGCAGCTGCGGCGGGAGAAGCAGGCGGAGCTGGAGGACGTGCACGTCCGGTGGGTGGGCCTGAGGGCGGAGGCGCGGGTGGGGTGGCCGCTCCAGACTAGGGGAACCAGGGTCCGTGGGGCCGGGCCCGCAGCCCTGTGTCTCCGGAGTGCTCCCGGCCGGGGGGGGGGGCGCCGTGCAGGGGGGAGGCTCAGGAGTGAGGAGACCCAGCCCGGCCCAGCGCCCCGGGACCGTCTGCCGTCTGCCCACCACGGCCCTGAGCGGCGGCGGGCACAGCCAGGGGCTGGTTCTCCGGTCCGGGCTCCCGTCCCCACTCCTAGGGCAGCCCCGTGCCCGCAGTCCGCCGGGGGGGGGGGCAGGAGCTGCCCTCCTGTTGTTGGGGTGGAGGCCCCCCAGCCCCCCGTCTGGACTTGGCCGCAGACCCCAGAACCCGTCTGTGCCCACAGGGTGAAGGCGGCCCTGGCCAAGAAGGAGGAGGCCGTGAACAGCCTGTGGAAGCAGCACCAGGTGGGTGTGGGGGGGGCGGGGAGGGCTGGAACGGGCTGGGGGGCGGGGGCGGGGGGGACCGGCCGGCCTGACCGCGGTGCGTGTTGCAGGCCGCGGTGAAGAGGGCCGACCACCTGGAGGAGCTGCTGGAGCAGCGCAGGCGGCCTCTGCCCAGCGCCAAGTGACCCCGACCCCGAGCCACCGCCCGAGGCCGGGGGCCAGCGCAGCAGCAGCGGGCGGCCCCCCCCCCCCCCGCCCACGGCCCTGCAGCGAGCGCCGTGGCCGCTGTGACAGTAAAGGGCTGTTACTTAATTCTCGTGTCCCTGCCTGTCTCTCCTGGTCCTGGGGCTGCGGTCTGCGGGCTCCAGGCTCCCTGCCTGCCCTGCCACCCCGGCTCAGGTCCACCTTCCCAGACACCTTGGGGGGAGCCCGGAGGCGGGGGCGGGGGCGGGGGGCGGGCTCTCGGGTGGCCCCCGCTCCCCTCTGCTGATCCCCTCTGCCCGGCCAGGAGCTCCCTGCTCACACGAGTGGGGGACCCACTGTGGGGGCTGCGCCGCCCGTGGAGGGCGCTGGGGACTCGGCTCTCGCGGTGAGGCCCGGCAGGAGCCGCCCTCAGGCCAGTGCTGAGTGTGGGCTGTGAACGTGTGGGTCCCGGCCGGCCGTCAGGCACATCGGGCGGCGGGCCGGTCCCCGGGGACGTGGTGTCTGTCTCGCTGAAGTCAGTGAGAACGTATTGTCTTCATGGCGCCCAGGCCGCTGCCCCTTGGGGTCTTGGGGCTGCTGTCCTGGCCGGCGCGGCCAGGAACGGGTGCGGGAGAGAAGATGGCGAAGGGCCCAGCACAGGAGGAGCCGGAGGGGTGGCAGCCTCCAGGGTGCTGAGGCCACCAGGAGGCAGCTGCCAGGTGGCGAGTGGGTGGGGCCGAGGCCGGGGCAGGCGGGCGGGGCTCTTCCTCAGAATTTGGGGCGAAGGGAGAGCAGGAGGAGGTGCAGGGAACTGACCCTAGTCGTGTCCAACCCGGAGAGCATGGCTAGGGTGCGCGAGGGGTCCCCTCGACTGCCCTGGGGCTGCAGGGGCCCGCGTGGTGCTCACACCGCTCTGTGCACCTGGTGGCCCGGGGACCGGCCGGCAGGAGCCCCGAAGGCGGGGGCACGGTGGCAGCTGCAGGGAGGTGGGCGCCAGGAGGCAGATGAGAGACAAGGCCGCTCACACACCTGCCCCCGACCCGAGACCCGGCCCCCCCCCCCAGACCCGGCCCCCCCCCCAGACCCGGTCCCCCCCCCCCGAGACCCCGCCCCCCCAAGACCCTGCCCCCCCAAGACCCGGCACCCCCCCCCGAGACCCTGCCCCCCCCCCGAGACCCTGCCCCCCCCAGACCCTGCCCCCCCCCGAGACCCTGCCCCCCCCAGACCCTGCCCCCCCCGAGACCCGGCACCCCCCCCCAGACCCTGCCCCACCGAGACCCTGCCCCCCCGCCCGAGATCCCGCCCCCCCAAGACCCCGCCCCCCCGAGACCCCGCCCCCCCCCAGACCCGGCTCCCCCGAGACCCGGCTCCCCCGAGACCCCGCCCCCCCCGCCCGAGATCCCGAAACCCCGCGCGCGGCCGCCCCCCCCCCAGACCCAAGACCCGGCCCCGTGCGCGAGGCGCCACACGCAGGCCACGCCGGGTGGGTCGCTCGATGCTGTTCATTCCCTCGGCCTCGCGGGCACAGGGGCACGGGGGCCGCTGCCCTCAGGCCCTCGCCAGCCGGCGGGCTGGGCTGCTTCGGGATTTTCTCCTCGACCAGCTCGGAGAGCCCTGGGAGGAGACAGGCTTCTGTGGGCGCCCCTCCTTGTGCCCCAGAGCCCGCCGGCCCGCGGGGTGTGCCCCTTCCGAGCAGGGGCCGCCCGTGGCCTTCACCGTGGAGTGGGGTGAATGGTGACCCCAAACTGCATGTATGTCTGTGTCCCTACTCCCGCCGTCCACACGGGACCGAGTTAGGATGAGGCCAAACTGGATGCGCTACGGTGGCCCCAAAGCGGACGGCTGGTTCCCCTGAAGAGAGGCCCTGAGAAGCCAGTGTGCAGGCGCCCAGGCTCCCGGGGCCCAGCCGCTCCTGGCCCAGCTGCCCCCGGGGCCCAGCCGCCCCCCTGGCCCAGCCGCCCCCGGGGCCCAGCCGCCCCCGTGGCCCAGCCGCCCCCCTGGCCCAGCCGCCCCCGTGGCCCAGCCGCCCCCCTGGCCCAGCCGCCCCTGTGGCCCAGCCGCCCCCGTGGCCCAGCCGCTCCTGGCCCAGCCGCCCCCGGGGCCCAGCCGCCCCCGGGGCCCAGGCACCCCCGGGGCCCAGGCGCCCCCCTGGCCCAGCTGCCCCCCTGGCCCAGCCGCCCCGTGGCCCAGCCGCTCCTGTGGCCCAGCCGCCCCCGGGGCCCAGGTGCTCCTGTGGCCCAGGCTTCCCCGGGGCCCAGCCGCTCCTGTGGCCCAGGCACCCCCCTGGCCCAGCCGCCCCGTGGCCCAGCCGCCCCCGTGGCCCAGGTGCTCCTGGCCCAGGCGCCCCCGGGGCCCAGCCGCTCGCTGCAGGCCTGGGTCCCAATGGAGACTCTCTCCGGCTGCTCCCAGGACCTCTGGCTGGAGACACTGCGGTACACAGCACCCGTGGTGTTACCGTGGCCTTGGCCGCATGGTCCGTCACTGACCCTCCCATGAAACTCACGCTCTGGAGATGCCTCTTTATTCCTGATTTATTACTCTTCGTCCGATAACGCTTAGAGGGAACGAGAGGGAGAGAAACATCAACGTGAGAGGGAGACACCCGTCCGCGCCTCCCACGCACGCCCTGACCAGGAGCCCGATCGGCAGCCTTCCTGCACAGGATGGCGCTGACCACTGAGCACCCCAGCCGGGCAGGCGGCTGTTTTCAGAGCTGGTTGTACAACCACAGCCTCTAATTCCTCCCCCCACAGAAGCCCTGGGGGACAACTATCTTCCGTGTGGGGTTGCCCAGACCCGCACACGGGTGGAATCCTATGTCGGAGCGTGTCCTGTGGACGGGAATGTTCCATGTGTGGGCCCTCTCTGGGTTGGTGGTGCCTCGTCCTGCTCCTGCCTCGGGCTTTCCTGGGTCTCGGCCCAGTGACGCCCTGTGGGTGCCACTCCAGCGAGCACCCCAGGGCCGTGGTGACGGGTGTGGCACCCTGACCCCCGCTGTAGGGCTGGGCCCTGGGGGGCCTGTGGAGGGCGCTGGGGTGTCCAGGGGAGGGACACATTGCCAGGGACCTCTTATTCCCCGGAGTCAGCAGAGGCCAGCGCGGGGGGGTCCCGGGTGAGCTGGCAGTGGCCACTCCGACGGCAGGTCCCTCTGCCCCCGACAGCGAGGCCTGGGCCCACACCGCTGGGCCTTCCTGAGGCCGCTCAGTGCCGCCGGGCTTCCTCCTGGCCCGAGGGGGCTTCAGCCTGGGTCCGAGCACCCGCCCGGCCAGGGCCTCCCCTGGCGGCAGCCACACAGCCCCTGCGAGGGGACCTGGCCCCTCCTCCGCAGGCTGGGGGCACCCCCACAGGACCCCCCTGCCTGAGGGAGAAAGGGCGCCTCTCTCAGGGCCGGACGGCCTCTCCATCCTGCCAGGCCCTGAGCCTCGCCAATGACCTTGATCCCTGTCCTCCGCGGGCCTGGCTGCCTCCCTCCCGCCCTGTCGGCCGGCCTGCCAAAGCGCCGGCTGCTCTGGCCGGGAATGAATGGAGGGACGAAGAGGGGGCAGTATCACCCCAGCTCCCAGGTGGGAGGGACCTGGGTTCAGGCACCCCCGCCCCGCCCCGCCCCACCCCGGGCCAGATGGGGGGGGGGGGGCAAGCGCCCTGCCCTAGCCGGTGTCCCAGGCGGCTCCTCCCCCGAGCCCCACGCGCCCCTGCCCCTGCCCCGCCGTCCCCTCCGCCCTGCGCGCCTCCACGTTCTGGCCGCCGGCCGCCGGTGCCCACGTCCGGGGGGGGGGGGGCTCCGCGTGTCCCCCGCTCCTCGGCGTCTCCGTGACCCCAGCCTGCTCCGCCCCAGCTGCCCATCCTCCCCTCCGCCCCACTCCCCCCCCCCCCTGCGCCCCGCATCTCTGTGACCGGACCGCACGCCCCCCTCCGGCCCTCAGCCTGGGCCCCCCCCGCGGCCCGCCCCCCCCCCCGAGGCCCCCCCCGCCCGCGCGCTCCCGCCGTGTTTTCGGCCGCTCAGCCCAGCCCGGCGCGCTGCCCGGACAGAGGCGCCGGCTGTGGCCTCGGCTCCCCCACACCCCGCACCCCACACCCCGCACCCGCTCCCGCTCCCGCACCCCGCTCCCCGCTCCCGCTCCCGCTCCCGCACCCGCACCCGGAGCCGGGCTGCGCCAGGCTCGGCGGCGGCGGCACCTGCCGCGATGGCGATGGCGATGGCGATGGCGATGGCGATGGCGATGGCGCGGGGCGGGCCGGGGCGGCGGGCACTCTGAGCGGAGCCGGAGCCGGCGCCGGGCCATGTCGTCCTCCTTCTTCAACCCCAGCTTCGCCTTCAGCTCGCACTTCGACCCCGGTGAGTGCCCCCCGCTCCCGCCTGCCGCCCCTCTGCAGCCGATGCTCCTGTTTCCGCAGGGAATTAACCCTCTCCCCGCCGGCCGCCGGGAGGACCGGCTCCAGGGACCCCAGGCCTGAGGGCGGCCTGGGCAGGGCTGGGCCCCCAGTGGGTGGGCGGCCGGGCTGCCCCCTCCCTGGTCTCTGGCCAGTTCTGGTTCTGGTTCTGGTTCTGGCTCAGGGAACTGGGGCAGGAGCCCTGTGTTTGCCCAGGTGCCCTGAGGGGGGGTGCCAGGGCCGGGCTGGGCCAGGGGGGTGTGGGAGTGCCCCCGGGGCCTAGGCCACCAGCCCTTCCTGGCCCGGTCCTGGTGGGAGGCTCCCGCCCAGGGCAGGAGCCGGCCTGGAGCTCTGCCCACCGCCGGCCGCTGTGTGCAGAGGTGGGCGCCGTGGGCACAGCGGTGGCACAGAGCCCTCCGGCCGAGGCGCAGGAGAGAGGCCTCAGGGGTGCCAGGTCCCGGGCAGGGGGGAGGCTGCGGGGGGCGGGGGTGCTGTCAGCTAGCTGCCCGGGCCGGTGGCCCTGGCGTGTGTTTACCGGGGATGCCTGGCTGGGCGAGGGCTGCGCCCGTCCCCGCCAGCTCCAGCCCTCCCCTGGGTGGGGGTGAGCCCTGCCTCGGACGGGGCCCCGGGGCCCGGAGTCCGCCCGCAGGTCATGGGGCCGGGGCCCCGCTAACTCAGCGGACGAGGCCGGCGGCAGGGCCTCCTGGCGCGGGGCCAGGCTTGGGATGCTCGGCGCCCCCGGCACTGCCCTGCGGGGACAGGGCTGGCGGCCGGGGCGGGGGCTCGGTGGGTGGCCTCCTCGGACTCCCCGGGCTCCGGCTTGGGGACGCTGTGGCCCAGGCGGGGCCGGGCCGGGGCCGGGGGGACCGGGCTGCTCCGGGCGGGAGGTGCCGCCCAGGCCCGGCCCGGCCCTGCAGGAAGCGGTCACCCTCCGGCCCCGGGTGCGGGCTCCAGCCCCTCCCCACCGCGGACCTCAGCCTCCGGCTCGCGGGGCACAGCTGGGCGGTGGGGCTGATGGAGGAGGGTGTTCAGGGATCGGCTGGAGGCCAGGGCCTCTCTGTGTCAGCTGCTGCGGGGCCTCACCCGTGTGCGGCCGGGCTCTGCGGTCGTCACCGCCTCGTGGGTCCGCAGGTGGGGACCCCCGGAGGGTCCCCTGGGGCTGCACTCTGCTCCCCCCAACTGGGATTTTTTTATTATTATTGATTTTTTTTACAGAGAGGAAGGGGAGGGATAGAGAGTTAGAAACAGCAGTGAGAGAGAAACATCGATCAGCTGCCTCCTGCACACCCCCTATTGGGGATGTGCCTGCAACCAAGGTGCATGCCCTTGACCGGAATTGATCCTGGGACCCTTCAGTCCTCAGGCCGATGCTCTACCCACTGAGCCACACAACTTAGGGCCCAACTCGGATTCTTAACGAGTGTGAATCCTTAACGGTCCTGCTGGGGCCCCCGTCCCGCCTCCGGGCCCAGCCGGGCCCCGGGCACCGGGCGGGCCCTGGCGCAGGGCGCGGGCACTTGGTGAGGAGCGTCCGCCTGCGTTTGCTGCCGGGAGGGGGCCTGTGGCCGGAGGGTCCTGACCCTTTGGCAGGAGGTAAGCGTCCCCGAGAGGCGGGTCCTGGCCCCGGGGTGGGGGCCCAGGCCCGGGACTGGGGCTCCGTGGGCAGGGCCCGTTCCCCTCCTCCCGGCTCTCCGACGGGCACCTTGCTGCCGCAGCTGAGGCCAGCCCTGGCCTGGGACTGAGCCTGCACCCCCTGCCTCGTCCCCCCAGCGCCCCCCCCCGTCCCCCTAGCGGCCCCCGTCCCCCAGTGCCCTCCCTCACCCCCCCAGAGCCCCCTGCCTCGTCCCCCATTCCCCCCCCGCCCCCCTAGCGGCCCCCGTCCCCCAGTGCCCTCCCCCACCCCCCAGAGCCCCCTGCCTCATCCCCCAGTGCCCCCCCAGTCCTGCTAGCAGCCCCCGTCCTCCAGTGCCCTCCCCCACCCCCCAGAGCCCCCTGCCTCGTCCCCCAGCGCCCCAGCAGGGGAGGAAATGGGGGGTCCCCGGTGGGGGCCCTGGGCAGTCTCCCACACAAGTGCCCCCAGGCCCCTCACCTGCGGGAGCCTGGGCAGGCGTGGGTCTGGCCGGGTTCTGAGCAGGGAGGGTGGGCCTCGGCGCCCCACGGGCTGAGGGCAGGGCCCGAGGGTGGGGTCAGCGGGCACTGGGGCTGCCGAGCCGGCTCCTGGGCGGGGCGTCCTGCAGATGTGGGCTTGTCCTGGGAGGCCCGGGGGAGGCCGGTGTCTGAGCACATGGGTGTGTCATGTGCCCTCGGCCGCTCCTGCCCTGCCAGGCGCCTGCCGCACACAGCCAGGGCGAGGGGGGGGCCGGGGGGGCGCCCGTGCCTCCCGTCTCTGCCGGCAGGGGGCGCCCTGGCCCTGCTGGGGACTCTGCTCCTCCCTCGGGCGACCCTTTGCCAAGAAACTGCCCCACAGGCCCGGGCGCTGGGTCGCCCTGTGGGTGGCTCGTGGGGGCGTGGGGCCCCCTGGCCCCCGTGCCCCCGGAATCCTGCCGCTTGCTCGCTGGGGCGTCGGGGCGGGGGCTGGGCTCGCTCTCCGGGCGCCGGGCACTGGCTCCGCAGGCAGCGGGTTGCACAGTTCCTTCCTGCACGAGATCCTGTTTGCGCCACCGGGCAGGGGGGGCGGGGCCGGGAGCCAGGCCCGCAGGCTGTGCTGCCCAGCGCGGGCACTGAGCGCCCTGACGGCCGGGCCCCGGTGGGGCCTGCGTGCGCCGCTGCTTGGCTGGACCCCGGCCGGCTGGGCGGGCACCGTCTCCCGGCGGCACAGTGTGTGGTCGTGTGAGTACCTCCAGCAGGGCCTGGGGCCGGCCCAGGGCCAGGGGCCTTAGGAGGGGCACCCAGAGGGCAGAGCTGGGGTCAGCTGGGTGCAGACGGGGTGGGTCAGTGCGGACCCCTGGGGGCATTGTGAGCAGTTCAGCCTCGGGGCACCTGAGCCCTGCATGGGGGGACTGGGCCCTGCACGGGGGACTGGGCCCTGCATGGGGGGCACTGGGCCCTGCATGGGGGGCACTGGGCCCTGCATGGGGGGACTGGGCCCTGCATGGGGGGGACTGGCCCTGCATGGGGGGCACTGGGCCCTGCATGGGGGGGACTGGGCCCTGCATGGGGGGCACTGGGCCCTGCATGGGGGGGACTGGGCCCTGCATGGGGCACTGGGCCCTGCATGGGGGGGACTGGGCCCTGCATGGGGGGCACTGGACCCTGCATGGGGGGCACTGGGCCCTGCATGGGGGGCACTGGGCCCTGCATGGGGGGCACTGGGCCCTGCATGGGGGGACTGGGCCCTGCATGGGGGGGGAGGCTGGGCCCGGGGGCGGTGGGCAGGCTGTGTGGGGCGATCTGGTGTGGACAGGGCCTGGCCAAGGGCTGCCCTGACCTGCAGGAAGGGCGTCCTGTGAAATTCGAGAGCCTCGATGAAGGTCTGATGTGACAGCACTTATTTATTTGTTTAAACGCCGTGACCTGGTCCCTCCGCCCGGCCTGCACCCTCTCCACTCTGGGGCCCCTCGGGAATAATGGCAGTCGGACATCGTCTGACAATCCAACTGCTGGCTCCTAACCGCTCGCCTGCCTGCCTGATTGCCCTTAACTGCTTCTGCCTGTTGGTTTGATTGATCCTGATCCCCTCTGCCTGACCCTGAACCGGGACCCAGATTCCCTCCTCCAGCCAACCACAGGCACCTGGGACCTGGGCCTCCCTCCCTCTGGTCAGCCATGGGTGCCCAGGGCCAGCTTCAGCCGTGGGGGATGGTGGGCAGGTGGCTTCGCCTGGGCTGCTCCAGCCCCCACAGGCCCAGAGCAACGGGGGGTGGGGCTGCCGCCATGGTTTTCAGGTTAATTTGCATACACACTCTGATTGGCTGGTAGCATAGCGGAGTGATGGTAATTTGCATGTTTCTCTTTTATTAGTGTAGATATCATTATTGATTCCAGAGAGGAAGAGAGAGGGAGAGAGAGAGAGAGAAACATCAGTGATGAGAGAGACTCATGGATCAGCTGCCTCCTGGTCACCCTGCACTGGGCTGGAGCCTGTGACCGGGCCTGTGCCCTGACGGCATCCAGCCGGGACCTGGTTCGGGGTGCTCGGCTCCCCAGAAAACCCCGGGGCGCCCGCGCCTGGCTGCGGCCTCCGTGCACCTGCCGGTGCTGGGCGCGCCTCGCGTGGCGCCCCGTGGCCCTCCCCGCCGGCCGCCGTGTCCACACCCTCTCCCGCCCTCGGCGATGGCTCACGGCTCTGCAGGCGGCGGGCTGTGGCCGGGCCGGAGACCGGGGACCAGAGGCGCAGGGGTGAGGCTGGAGAGGCTGAGTGCCCGCCCTCCCCCCAAAGCCTCCGCCGCCCGCCCCTGCCGCCCGCCGCCCGCCCCCGGCAGCGCTGTCTGCTCTGGGCTGGGCCTTCGCTCCACGTGGAGCCGGACGGTGGGGCGTCCTCTGGGCCCGTCGCCGGGGCAGGGACCCCTCGGGCCGCGGGGCCCCGGTTCAGGTTTAGCCGGCTGTCCCGCCGCTGCCTGACCTCGTGCGCTGCGCCCAGCGCGTGGCCGTGAACGGGTGCCCAGTCCCTCCCCACCAGCCGGGCTTCCAGGAGGAGCCCGGAAGCGGCTTGGGGGGACATGCGCCCCTATTTGTGTCTCCTCCGGAGCCGCAGCCCCCGGGCAGGAGGGGGCGCCCTCCCGGCTACGATGTCACTGCCCGCGGTCGCCCTCTCTCCTCGCTGCTGGTCTGCCGGGGCCTGGGGGCAGCTGGGAGCTGAGAGGTGGGGGTCGTGGGCAGAGCGGGGCCCAGGCAGAGGGAGCCGGCGGTGGGGTGCACAGGGCGCTGGTCCTCTGTCTGGGGGTCCCCTCGCCGCAGAGGGCCGGGTTCCCCGGAGCCCAGCTTAGCGGGAGCCCTATGGGGGCCGTGCCTGTGGGGGCCTGTCTGCTGTCCCGGCACCCGGGTTTCCCCACCCAGTGAGGGCGAGCCTGGGGGGCTGCCCTGACCAGGGGCTGCGGGAGGGGCCCCGTCTGCGGGGTGCCAGGACGTGCCCGCCCACCCGGCGCCACCTTCTGGGGACAGCGGGCCCCGCCTCAGAGCCAGACAGTGCCCAGAGCCGGCACGTGGCCAGCACTGCCGTGGCCCGTTACGGGGGCCGGGGCCCCCCCATCTCAACCTTTCCCGTGACACCCCGAGAGCTTTGGCAATGATCCCCCGGGAAGGCTCCGAGGGGGGGTGGCCAGAGTCTGAGAAAGACGTGAGGGGTCCCCCACAGCCCCTGGACCCTGACCTTGTGGAGGGGAGTCTGCGAACCCCTCAATGGGGAAGTGTGCCCAGTGAGGCCGGAGTGGCCCCCGGTGGCTGGCGGAGGGACTGCAGGCTCGGGCCCCTGTGGCTGCCTGGTGTGTCGGTGTGGGTGCTGGAGCAGGGGTGGGGTGCTGAGGCCGTACTATGAAGTGGGGCTGGGGGTAGTGGGGAGCAGGGGGGAAAGTGGGGGCCGGGGGTATTGGAGGGGCTGGGCAGTGGGGGCCGGGGGGTATTGGAGGGGCTGGGGGGGTATTGGAGGGGCCGGGGGGGAGTGGGGGCTGGGGGCAGTGGGGATCGGGGGGATATTGGGAGCTGGGGCAGTGGGGGCCGGGGGTATTGGAGGGGCTGGGCAGTGGGGCCGGGGCAGTGGGCCGGGCAGTGGGGCCGGGGCAGGGGCCGGGGCAGGGGCCGGGGCCGGCGCAGAGGCCGCCTGACGCCCTCCCTTGCAGGCGGCGCCCGGCTCGGCGAGCTCTCCTGGCCGTCCTCGCTGGCCGTGCCGGCCGTGGCCCTGTCCGGGCTCCTCACCGCCGTCGCCCTCATGCTGGCCTGCCTGTGCTGTAAGAAGGGCGGCATCGGCTTCAAGGTGAGGCTGGGTCCGGGCTGTGGTCGGTGCCTCCTGTGGGGCTGCCGCTGGGCTGGCCCTCAGGACCCCCTCCCCCCCGGCCCTCACAGATCCGCCTCAGGCTGCCCCCGCGCAGGCCAGGCCTGGGGCTGTGCTCTGGCCCTCTGGGCGGGAGCGGGCCTGGGGCCGGGCTCCGGGCTGGGAGGGGGCCTGGGGCCGGGGGGCTCCGGGCTGGGAGCGGGCCTGGGGCCGGGGGGCTCCGGGCTGGGAGCGGGCCTGGGGCTGGGGCTCCGGGCTGGGAGGGGGCCTGGGGCCGGGGGCTCGGGCTGGGAGGGGGCCTGGGGCCGGGGGGCTCCAGGCTGGGAGGGGGCCTGGGGCCGGGGGGCTCCAGGCTGGGAGGGGGCCTGGGGCCGGGGGGCTCCGGGCTGGGAGGGGGCCTGGGGCCGGGCTCCGGGCGGGGGGGGGGCCTGGGGCCGGGGCTCCGGGCTGGGAGGGGGCCTGGGGCCGGGGCTCCGGGCTGGGAGGGGGCCTGGGGCCGGGCTCCGGGCTGGGAGGGGGCCTGGGGCCGGGCTCCGGGCTGGGAGGGGGCCTGGGGCCGGGGGCTCCGGGCTGGGAGGGGGCCTGGGGCCGGGGGCTCCGGGCTGGGAGGGGGCCTGGGGCCGGGCTCCGGGCTGGGAGGGGGCCTGGGGGCGGGCTCCGGGCTGGGAGGGGGCCTGGGGCCGGGCTCCGGGCTGGGAGGGGGCCTGGGGCCGGGCTCCGGGCTGGCTGGGAGGGCCTGTCTGCCCCAGGGCGGCGGGAGCAGGGTCCCGGCACTGGGCTCAGGAAAGGGAGGCAGCCGTTGTCAGGGCCAACGTCAGGGCCAGCGTGACCGCCCCTCCCGGGGCCCTGCAGGACCAGTTCCCAGCAGCCCCTGGGCTGAGCCTCCTAAGAGCGGTGGCCGAGGGCGCCCCTTGGGGTGCAGTCCCCCAGCTCGCAAGCCCATGGCTGCCCACAGCGCCCTCCCCCCCAGCAGCTCTGAGCTGGGAGCGGGGACCCAGCCAGCGGCCTGGGGCCGGTTCCCCTGACCCAGCAGCAGCCGCCCACGGCCCCACGGCCCCGCCCCGGCCGAGGGTCAGATTCCGGGCCCGGGAGGTCCTGGGGGGGCACCCGTGGCCCAGCACAGCCCCCGTGGGTCTCCATGCCAGTGCCCACCCCCGGCATTCTGGAGGAACAGCGTGTCCCCCCGCCACCTCATGGGGTGTGGGCACTGCCTGTGAGGACAACGAACAAGGACTCGCTGTCACGCGCCCACAGCGGGCAGCGGGCAGTTTGCCCTCCCCCCTCCCGGCCCCGACCCGCCAGGCAGCGGGGTTCCTGGAAGACCCCGGGGGGGGGGTGGGGCGGGGCGGGCCTGGAGGGCGCCGTATAAGTCACCCCTCCTTGTTCGCTGTGCGAGCCGGCCGCACAGGGCCCGCTGTGCCCCCTCCGGGCGCCCCCTCAGGTCCCGGGACATGGCATTCCGGAGCCCGCGCCCCGGAGGCCCGTGGGGCGCTGGGCCGGGGCCGGGCAGGATGCTCACGCTGCCCTACCTGCTCGCCCGCTGGGCCGGCGCCGTCTGGGGGGCCGCGCGGGGGCCCCGGCAGGTAAAGGGCGGGGCCTGCCGGCCGGGCAGGGAGGGGGCGGGGTCCCAGCGCCCTCAGAGCTCTGTCCGCTGGCGCGGAACGGACGGCCTGTGGGGACGCAGGCTCCTGCCTCCCTCTTGCCGCTGGGAAAGCGAGGCCCCGAGAGAGGGGCCACCCAGCACCCGGCGGGCGGGCGGGCGGGGAGCCCGGCCTGGCTCCCCCTCCACACCCACACCCACCGCCCCACCTGGTCCCTCTGGGGCTGTCACAGCCGCTCCGGCTGCGGCTTCAGGCAGACTTTGCCTTCAGGCCGCGCCCCGGCCCCGGGGTGGGGGGGTGGGGGGGAGGGTGTGTCCCCCAGACAGACAGGTGTGGTGGCGCCTTCGAACCCCAGCCAGGCAGGTGGGGCTGCCCTCGCCCGGCTCCTGGGAGGCGGGAGCGGCTGAAGGTCCGTGGCCGGGCAGGGTAGGAGGCGCGGGCCGGGGCTGGGGGAGCTGGCGGGGTCCCTGCCCCCTAAGGCAGGAGCTCCTGTCCGGAGGCAGGGCGGGCGTCTGGGGGCTCGTCCCCGGGCAGCGTGGGTGACGGGCACGGAGACACCAGCCTCCCGGGCAGCTGGTGCCGGCGGGGCTGTGGGGCTGTGCCCAGGAGCCAGGGGATGGGTGAGGGGTGCCCGCGGGGGCTCCGAGGGAAGAGGCCTTTCAGAGCCCCCCCCGCCCCCGGCCCCCAGGAGTTTGAGAATGCCGAGGGCGAGGAGCTCGCGGCCGGCTGCTCGGCACAGGGCTCCCCGGCCCAGGACGGCCCCGACGTGTATGTGCTGCCGCTGACCGAGGTCTCGCTGCCCATGGCCCGGCAGCCGGGCCGGTCAGGTGAGCGAGCGGGCAGGGGGGAGGCGGTGCCCCGGGAGGAGGCCTGGGGCTCAGGAGCCGTGGTCCTGGGGAGGGGAGGGGGACCCGGGCCGGAGAGCGGCCGGGGAACAGCCCCCGGGGCTGCTGTGCTGGCGGGGCCTGGGCTGGACGCGGTGCCGGAGGGGGGGCGAGGGGGGACGGGAGCGTCCAGGGCCAGCGGCCCCCAGACCCCGGCACCAGCGGCCACGTGGGCCCTCCTCCGGGGCCCGTGAATGGCCTTTCGCTGGGGCGCAGGGCGGGGGCCGGCTCGCCCCACTTCTGTCCCCGGCCCCACGGGTCCTCACCAGACGCTGCCCCTGGAGCCGCCTTCGCCGTGGCCCTGTTCTGACCCTGGAGCAGAGGAGCTGGCAGCCCCAGGCCGGCCCAGAGGGCCCCTGGGTCTCCACAGCCCCAGGCGGGCAGGGCCGGGCGTCCGTGCAAAGGGCACCTCACACCCACGGTCGGCCCAGCCCCCGCTGACCGCGGTGCTGAGCCTGCACCTGGGCGGCTGGGGAGCCAGGGCCCCGGGGCCACGCCCGGCCTCGCCTGTCACCCCGTGGCTGGGCCTGACTCTGAGAAGCTTTGAGGCCCCGTGTTTCCTGCCGTCGCCATAGCGATGCCACGGCTGGGCCCCCTGCCCGGGAGCTCCCAGACCCCCTCCCTCCGCGCCCCTCTGGGCCTGTGGGTCCCCGAGTGGCCGGACGCCCTCACTCTCTGGAGACGCGGCACAGACGCAGGGTTATTGCTCAGGCGCCTGGCCTGGCGGCTCCGGGCCGCGGTGAGGGCAGGTCCGGGAGAGGCCGCCCAACTCCCCCTCGCCCCGCCTCAGCGACCGGGAACCCACGGCCCAAACGGCCAGGCGCCCGGCACCCCCGGGCCTCTCCGGAACCAGCGCCTCCTGGGCCGCGCGCAGCGGTGCGGGTGGAGCCGGGACTCAGAGCCATGGAGGTCAGCATGCCTGGCCCTCGGGGCCGTCGGCGTGGGAGCAGAATTCGGGGAATCCCCGGCCCGGAGGGCGTGAGCGGCCCCCCCGGCCCGGACCCCCGCACCCGGCCTCACCAGCTGGCCCGCGGAGAATGGGCCCTGTGTCCCCGCTGCCCCTGCCAAGCCGCCCAACAAAGGGCCTTTGGGAGCCTCTGGCGCTGGAATGCCAGCCCTGTCCTTCCCGTGGGCCCGGCCGGCCGGCCGCTCTAGGCACCGAGCGCCCGAGGCCGCCCAGTGCCCCAGGGGCCCCCGGAGGCGAGGCGAGGGGGACGGCGGTGGCGGAGCTGGTCCCTGAGCCTCGCCCCGGTTACAGTGCAGCTGCTCCAGTGCTCGGCCCTGGGCCGGCACAGCCTGCTGTACCTGGAGGAGATCGGCCGAGGCTGGTTCGGGAAGGTGAGGCGGGCGGGCGGGCAGGTGGGGGGCAGGGGCAGGTGGAGCTTTTCCTGGGAGCTGCCCAGTCCTGGGGTCCCCTCTCTCCAGGTGCCCCCGCTGGGCCCCTCCTGGGGAGCTGGGTCTGCAGCCTGGGAGGCGTGTGCCCCCCGGAAGGGAGGTGCCCAGAGCCAGCCTCTCCCTGACCCAGCCGGGCGGGCGGGCAGGGGTGCCCCGTGCACAGGCGGGCGGGCAGGGGTGCCCCGTGCACAGGCGGGCGGGCAGGGGTGCCCCGTGCACAGGCGGGCGGGCAGGGGTGCCCCGTGCACAGGCGGCGGGCAGGGGTGCCCCGTGCACAGGCGGGCGGGCGGGCAGGGGTGCCCCGTGCACAGGCGGGCGGGCGGGCAGGGGTGCCCCGTGCACAGGCGGGCGGGCAGGGGTGCCCCGTGCATAGGCGGGCGGGGAGGGGTGCCCTGTGCACGGCGGGCGGCGGCCGCAGGGTGACTCCCCGCAGGTGCTGCTGGGGGAGGTGCACTCGGGGCGGAGCAGCGCCCGGGTGGTGGTGAAGGAGCTGGAGGCCGGCGCCAGTGTGCACCAGCAGATGCACTTCCTGGAGGAGGCGCAGCCCTACCGGTGGGTGAGGCGGGGCCGGGCCGGGGGCTGGAGGCGGGGGCTGCGCTGGGCGCCGGGACCCTGTCACGCAAGGCAAGCTCTGTGCTCTGCCCCTCCTCCCCTCCCTGCCCTGTCCTCCTCCCCCTCCCGTCCCCATCCCCGCCCGGGGCGTCCGTGGGAGCCGGGTCAGCCTGTGGCTCCACAGGGCCCTGCAGCACAGCAACCTGCTCCAGTGCCTGGCCCAGTGCACGGAGGCGACGCCCTACCTGCTGGTGATGGAGTTCTGCGCCATGGTGAGCACCCCCCTGCTCCCACCCCTGCCCCCCTGCCCCCTGCCCCCACCCCTGCCCCCGCCTGCCCCCGCCTGCCCCCGCCTGCCCCCTGCCCCCACCCCTGCCCCCGCCTGCCCCCGCCTGCCCCCCTGCCCCCGCCTGCCCCCCTGCCCCCCCGCCTGCCCCCCTGCCCCCCACCCCTGCCCCCTCCTGCCCCCCACCCCTGCCCCCGCCTGCCCCCTGCCCCCCACCCTGCCCCCGCCTGCCCCCCTGCCCCCACCCTGCCCCGCCTGCCCCCCACCCCTGCCCCCGCCTGCCCCCTGCCCCCCACCCCTGCCCCCGCCTGCCCCCCTGCCCCCCACCCCTGCCCCCCCCTGCCCCCCTGCCCCCGCCTGCCCCCTGCCCCCGCCTGCCCCCCTGCCCCCCTGCCCCCGCCTGCCCCCCTGCCCCCCTGCCCCCGCCTGCCACCTGCCCCCCACCCCTGCCCCCGCCTGCCCCCTGCCCCCCCCTGCCCCCCTGCCCCCGCCTGCCCCCCTGCCCGGGGGCAGCAGGGCTCCGGCTGGTGGGGGGGGGGGGTGTGCACCGGCTGTGGGGGTACACCGGCTGTGGGGGTGCACCGGCTGTGGGGGTGTACGGGCTGTGGGGGGTACACCGGCTGTGGGGGTGTACGGGCTGTGGGGGGTACACCGGCTGTGGGGGTGTACGGGCTGTGGGGGGTGCACCGGCTGTGGGGGGTGCACCGGCTGTGGGGGGGTGTACGGGCTGTGGGGGGTACACCGGCTGTGGGGGGTGCACCGGCTGTGGGGGTGCAGGGCTCACCCCCCCGCGGTGAGGCGGTGACGGCCCCTCTCACAGGGCGACCTCAAGGGCTACCTGCGGAGCTGCCGGGCGGCGGAGCCCCTGGCGCCCGACCCGCTGACGCTGCAGCGCCTGGCCTGCGAGGTGGCCTGCGGCCTGCGGCACCTGCACCGCGGCAGCTACGTGCACAGGTGAGGGGCACGGGGGGGGCACGGGGAGGGGGGCACAGGGGAGGGGGCACGGGGGGGGCACGGGGGGGCACAGGGGAGGGGGGCGGCGAGGGGGCACGGGGGGCACAGGGGAGGGGGGCACAGGGAGGGGGGCACAGGGAGGGGGGCAGGCACAGGTGAGGGGCACGGCGAGGAGGGCACGGGGAGGGGGGCACAGGGGGGGGGGCACAGGGGAGGGGGGCACGGCGAGGGGGGCACAGGGGAGGGGCACGGCGAGGGGGGCACGGGGGGGGGGCACGGCGAGGGGGCACGGGGGAGGGGGGCACAGGGAGGGGGGCACAGGGGAGGGGCACGGCGAGGGGGGCAGGGGAGGGGGCACAGGGAGGGGGGGCACAGGGGAGGGGGGCACGGCGAGGGGGCTAGGGGAGGGGGCAGGCACAGGGGAGGGGCACGGGGAGGGGGCAGGCACAGGGAGGGGCACGGCGAGGGGGCTCGGGGAGGGGGGCACGGGGAGGGGGGCTCGGGGAGGGGGGCACAGGTGAGGGGCATGGCGAGGGGGCTCGGGGAGGGGGCAGGCACAGGGGAGGGGACACAGGGAGGGGCGGGGCTCAGGGGAGGGCGGGTACGGGGCAGGGGCCGGGCACAGGGGCAGGGGCCGCTCCCCAGAGCTCGTGGGGCCCATGGGAGCGTCCGAGCGGTGTCCGTGGACCACTTGACAGTCCTTTTATTGAACAGAGGGCAGGGGGTGGGGGCAGACGCCGGCCCAGCGGGGCGGCTGAAGTGCTTGTCCTCTGCCCCAGAGGCGGCAGTGCCCCCGTGCCCCCTCCCATCGCCCTCAGGCCAGGGAGGGAGGCTCAGGCCCGAGGGCACAGACGGGCGGGTGCCCAGCCAGGGGACAGCCCGGAGACCTGGCGATGACGCGGCCGGACGAGACGTGCCGTCCTCCCCAACAAGATCCTGGTGCTGAGTGCTGACTCCCAACTCCAGCATCAGTGATTTTGTTGAAGAGGGCAGCTGCCAGCCCCGCCTGCCGTGCCCACGCCCTCATGCCCCGGCGTGGCCCTGGACGTGGCCCTGCGCCCAGACACCACCCCGCTGGCAGGCAGGCAGGCAGGGGGCGCGGCAGCCCAGGCGGCTGCTGGGCTGGGGACCCCGTTGCCAGGGGCAGGCCCCCCGCCCCCTACCCGTCCCGCCCCAGCTGTGTGGGCAGAGCTGGGCCCCGGGACACCTAGGACTCAGCCTCCCCAGCGACGAGCTGAGGCCACGGCCACGGCTGATGGGCGGGAGGACAGACCACAGAGTCCCGGCTGGCTGGCCCTCAAGAGACGAGGGATGGCAGGGCCAGCAGGCTGGTGACCCCGAAGAAGTGGGGGTGCAGGAGGAGGTAAGGGGAGTGACACTGGGCCCGGCCTGCTGTCTCCGGGGCCACGTGGTCCTCGTCCCCATGGCAACACTCGTGGCCGGGTCCCTGTGGACCGGAGTGCCCGGTGCTGGGAGGGCGGGCTCCGGGCAGGGACGGCGCTGCCTATTGGACACCCTCCCTGCCCGTCATGGAGCAGATCCAGGCGCAGCCCCTAGGGGGCCTGGAAGCCCCCCTGGGCCTGGCCGCTGACACACCCCCCCCCCCCCAGTGACCTGGCCCTGAGGAACTGCCTGCTCACCGCCGATCTGACAGTGAAGATCGGAGACTACGGCCTGTCCCACGGCAAATACCGAGTGAGCCGCGGGTGGGGCCGCCAGGGGCTGGGGGCCGTGGGGTGGGGCCCGGGGCTGGGAGGGCCTCGGGGTGGGGCCTGGGGGCTGTGGGGGGCCCGGGGGCTGTGGGGGGCCCGGGGCTGGGAGGGCCTTGGGGTGGGGCCCGGGGGCTGTGGGGGGCCCGGGGCTGGGAGGGACTCGGGGTGGGGCCCGGGGGCTGTGGGGGGCCCGGGGGCTGTGGGGGGCCCGGGGCTGGGAGGGCCTTGGGATGGGGCCCGGGAGCTGTGGGGGGCCCGGGGGCTGTGGGGGGCCCGGGGCTGGGAGGGCCTCGGGGTGGGGCCCTGGGGCTGTGGGGGGCCCGGGGCTGGGAGGGCCTCGGGGTGGGGCCTGGGGGCCGTGGGGTGGGGCCCGGGGCTGGGAGGGCCTCGGGATGGGGCGCGGGAGCTGTGGGGGACCCGGGGGCTGTGGGGGGCCCGGGGCTGGGAGGGCCTCGGGGTGGGGCCCGGGGGCTGTGGGGGGCCTGGGGGCTGTGGGGGGCCCGGGGCTGGGAGGGCCTTGGGGTGGGGCCCGGGGGCTGTGGGGGGCTCGGGGCTGGGAGGGACTCGGGGTGGGGCCCGGGGGCTGTGGGGGGCCTGGGGGCTGTGGGGAGCTTCGGTCTGCTCCATGCGGAGGCTGGAGGGAGGGGCGGACTGCCACGGCTGGGGGGCTGAGGGGCTGGGGGGGCTGGGGGGCTGGGGAGCTGGGGGGCTGGGGGGCTGGGGGCCGGCGCCTGCAGGGGGTGCTGCCTCAGCAGGAGGACTACTTTGTGACGGCGGACCAGCTGTGGGTGCCGCTGCGCTGGATCGCCCCGGAGCTGGTGGACGAGGTGCACGGCAACCTGCTGGTGGTGGACCAGACCAAGGCCAGCAACGTGTGGTGAGTCCCCCCGCCCCCGTCAGACTCGGCTGCTCTGCCGGCGCTGGTGTCTGGGGAGGACACAGGACCGAGCCCCCTGTGGCCCCTGTGCCGGAGCGGGCCGAGTGCACACCGCTGTCCCGGACGGTGGCCGGGGCCAAGGCCGTGGCTTCTCTGTTGCCAAATCTGCTTTGTCCCTCAGCCTCGGGGCAGCCCGTCCCCCGGAGCTGGTGAAGCCGCTGTCCCAGGGGGAGCCCCGTGGCCTCCTCCCACGGTCCCGCCCGCACCCCGTGCTGACCAGGCGTCCCGAGATGCCCCTCCCCCAGCGTGGCAGTCCGTCCCTCCCTCCGGCCCCTGCCGTGGCCGGCAGGCCGAGCTCTGCCTGGGCAGCTGCCGGCAGGCAGTGCTGGTCTTGGGCGTGGAAAGAGAATGAATGAATGAATGAGCGAACAAACACACGATGGATTGGGCTCGTTCAGGGCGGGCCTGGCCCTGGGCCCTGCCGCTGTCTGGGGGAGAGGCGCCCGGAGGACGGGCTGCCCCGCGCAGCGCCCGCTGATGGCAGTCCCCGCAGGTCCCTGGGCGTGACCCTGTGGGAGCTGCTGGAGCTGGGCGCGCAGCCCTACCCGCAGCACTCGGACCGCGAGGTGCTGGCCTTCGCCGTCCGCGAGCAGCAGCTCAAGCTGCCCAAGCCCCGGCTGCCACTGGCGCTGTCCGACCGCTGGTGAGCACGGCGGCCGGGGGGTCCCGGCGGGAGGGGGCACTCGGGCGCAGCTCCTGCCCCTGGGCTTCCAGCTCCCCCAGCTGCCCTCTGGCCGCAGGGAGCCCGGCCTCCCCCCGGCCTCCCCCGTCTACCCGAAGCACAGCCGCCCGCAGGAGGGTCCCTGCCCACTGCTGGTTCCACTGAAACGGGGGGGGGGGGGGAAGGGGGGGTCCTTTACCTGCCCCAGTGTGAGGAGGGGCCCCCGGACCTGACCCGAGGGCAGGGGGCTCACTGCTGGGGGTCAGGGCAGGGCTGAGCGCCGCGCCCCCCGCAGGTACGAGGTGATGCAGTTCTGCTGGCTGCAGCCCGAGCAGCGGCCCACGGCCGAGGAGGTGCACCTGCTGCTGTGCTGCCTGAGCGCCCGCGGCGCCGCCGAGGCCGCGGAGGAGGAGGAGTTCGAGCGGCGCTGGCGCTCCCTGCGGCCCCGCGGGGGCGGGCCGGGCGCGGGGGGCCTGGCGCTGGGCGGCGAGCCGACCTCGGCCTCGTCCTTCCCGCTGCTGGCGCGGTTCTCGGGCGACGGCTTCCACGCCGAGGGCGAGGACGTGCTCACCGTGACCCAGACCCGCCGCGGCCTCAGCTTCGAGTGCACGTGGGAGGCGGGCCGCGGCGCCGCCGCCTTCTCGCCGCCAGGGGGCGCGCTGAGCCCGGCCCGCGCCGGCAGCCTGCAGGAGCCCCGCGCCGCCGCCTTCTCGCCGCCAGGGGGCGCGCCGCCGGGCGTGGTGCCGGTTCTGAGCGCGCACAGCCCCTCCGTGGGCAGCGAGTACTTCATTCGCCTGGAGGGGCCCGCGCCCGCCGCCGGCCACGACCCCGACTGCGCCGGCTGCGCCCCGCGCTCCCCGGGCCCAGAGCGCGAGGATTCCGACGGCGCGGCCGCCTCGCCGGCTACGGAGCCGCCGCTGGGCCAGACGCTTCCCAGCCGCCCTGACCCCCACCCAGGCCGGAGCCCCACGCGTGGCCCGCCCTGCCCCTCGCCCTCGCCCGGGGGCCCGATGCCGGTGGAGGCCACGGCGGAGGGTGCTGTCTTTGGGGACCCCCTGGGCGCCTGCACCTCTGGGACGGCGGGACCCTGGCTGCCCAGCAGCAGGTGGGCCCCCGCGCCCCGGGTCCCGGGCTGCCCGGGAGGCCGCACGGACGGCAGCCGCGTGGACGGCTGTCCGGGCAGGGAGCGTGCCCTCCAGGGCCACCCCCTGGCCCCTGGGACCCCCAGAGCACCTCTCCCGGCGCCAGAGGGGGCCTGCCTGGGCCGGGACCTCCCCCGTCCGTGTCCTGCCGAGGGCCTGGCCACAGCCCCCTGGACAGAGGCAGCAGAGAGGGGGGACCCCAGCCCCCCGACAGAGCCCAGGCGCGCAGAGGAGGCCCAGGGCCCTGCGGCACCCCAAATGCCCCTTCCGTCTGCCCCGACCCCGTCCCTGGAGGGAGCCCTGCTTCCCGCGGGGGAGGCCAGCGCGCCCACGGCCCCGCCCGCCTCCCACGCGCCCGCTGGCGGCCAGGCCGCGGCCCCGGAGCCGGCCCCCACGGGGGACGGAGGCAGCGGCTCCCTGGAGCGGGAGGCGCCGGGCAGCGAGGACGGGGACACCACCGAGGCCACGTCCGGCGTGTCCACCGGCGTGTCCAGCGCCGGCCCTCCGGCCGAGGGGCTGGGCTCGGCGCCGGCCCCCCGCTCCCCGCAGAGGCAGGAGGCCACGCCCCACCCGCCGGACCCGCCGGGCATCCCGTGCTCCCGCGGCGGCTGCGAGGCGTGCAGCCCGCCGGCCGGGGGCGGCGCCGGGGGGCAGCCCCGGGCCCTGGACAGCGGCTACGACACCGAGAACTACGAGTCCCCCGAGTTCGCGCCCAAGGAGGCCCCGGAGGGTGAGGGCCCCGGGCCGGACACCGCGCTGCCGGCCTCCCTCAGCGAGAAGACCCCCTACCGCGACTCCGCCTACTTCTCGGACCTGGACACGGAGCCCGAGCCCCCAGCGGGGCCGGAGAAGGGGCCGGAGCCGGGCCTGGGGCGTGCCCAGCGCCCGGGGCCGCGGCCGGCACAGCCGTCGGAGCCCTGGGTGCCCGGGGAGGCGCAGAGCCCTGGCCCCAGAGCGGGGCCCCTGCTGCCACTTCCGGGGGACCCCTCCCCTGGCCCCAGGCGGGAGGTGCCCCGGCCCCACGGCCCGGCCCAAGCGCCGCCAGAGCCCGGTGCTGGGCGTCCCAAGGTCTTCCTTCTGACCCCGGTCCCGCGCGGCTCCGAGGGCCCCCGCTCCGAGCCCCCCGAGGCCCGCGGCCCGCCGCCCGCCCTGCCGGGAAGGACAGGCACCCAGGGCGCCCCCGGAGCCCCGCTCTGCCCGGCCCGGGCGGAGGGCCGGCCGGAGGAGGAGGACGAGGACAGCGAGGACAGCGACGGCTCGGACGAGCTCGGCGGCGACAGCGTCCGGGAGCCGAGCGAGGAGAGCGAGGACGAGGCGCCCGTGCCGGTGGTGGTGGGCGAGAGCCAGAGCGCGCGCCGCCTGCGCAGCCTGCTCAAGATGCCCGGCCTGCTGCCCGCCGCCTTCCGCCGGGACCTGGAGCCCAAGAAGAAGGCCGTGTCCTTCTTCGACGCCGTCACCGTCCACCTCTTCGACCAGGTGGGGGGCTGCGTGGGGGTGGGGGCCGGGCCGGGGCTCTGCAGGGGGCGGGGCTCTGCAGGAGGGGGCGGGGCTCCGCAGGAGGGGCGGGGCTCTGCAGGGGGCGGGGCTCTGCTGGGGGATGCCAGGGGCTCTGCAAGAGTGAAGGCGGGGCTCTACAGGAGGAGGCGGGGCTCTGCAGGAGGCGGGGCTCTGCAGGGGGCGGGGCTCTGCAGGGGGCGGGGCTCTGCAGGAGGGGGCGGGGCTCTGCAGGAGGGGCGGGGCTCTGCAAGAGTGAAGGCGGGGCTCTACAGGAGGAGGCGGGGCTCTGCAGGAGGGGGCGGGGCTCTGAAGGGGGCGGGGCTCTGCAGGGGGCGGGCCGGGCCACGGTGGGAGGGAAGCAGAGGGAGTGGCCGCCCACATCACCCGCTGCCCTGACCCCGCAGGAAAGCCCCACCCGGGAGCTCGGGGAGCCCTTCCCCGGAGCCAAGGAGTCGCCCGCTGCCTTCCTGCCCGGTAGTCCCAGCGCCCCCCGCCGCCGGCTGCGGCCCCCCGAAGGCTCCCCCATTCACTTGACTGGCCCGGAGGGTGAGCTGGGGCGGGGTCTGCAGGCGCAGGAGGGGGAGGGGAGGGGCCTTGTGTGGTGGGCGTGGTCTGAGGGCGGGGCCAGGGTCCTGCTACGTCACGGGTGGGTGGGTGTCATGGCGGGGCGAGGCCTGTGTTGTCACTGGCAGTGACGTCAGCGACCACGGCGTTTTGCAGGCGGGGCGTTCCCCTGGGACGGCGGCTTCCTGCTGATGCCGGTCAGGGAGCCCGCCCCGGCCGTCCCCGCCGCACCCCCCAAGCCGGCGGCGCCCGGCCCCTTCTCGCGCTTCACCGTCTCACCCACGGTCTCGCCCGCGCCCGCGCCCGCGCCCGCCTCCCGCTTCTCCATCACGCACATCACGGACTCGGACGCCGGCTCCGTGGGAGGTGAGGCTGCCGCGGGGCCGGCGGGGCCGGGACAGTGAAGTGGCGATCAGGAGGGGCACCTGCGGGTGCCAGCTCAGTGTTCAGGCGGGAAACTGAGGCTCCGAGGGCCGGTCGCGGTGTGTCTGTCTTGGCCCCTTGGCAGGCCTCGCCTCCCTGTCCTCTGGCCTGAGCCTGAACGCTGCCTGGTCCTCAGGCCTCGCTGTCTTCTCGCTTTTCCGAAGGGACAGGCTGGACACTGAGTGCCCTGTCCTGCCCTCTGCTGCCCTTAGCCCCCAAACCTGCGGCAGCCTCGCCCACCAGGTGCTGGTGCTGGTGGGTCAGCGGAGAAATGAGTGTGGCGCCCACTAGACGGGCAGGCTGAGGGGGCTGGGCAGTGGCCCCAGGCCAGGAGGGGACGGGGGGGGGGGTGTCCTCACACCTCTCTGACCTCGGTCCCCTTTCACCAGGCCCTGCAGGAGGTGCCGGGGTCAGCTGTGAGGAAGCATGAGCCCTGCTGGTCCCGCTCCGGGCCCGGCGGGACGGATGCCGAGCGGGGACGGGACCACGCGGGGCCCGGCGATGGTCGGCAGCAGCTTCCAGAACCTCCGTGCCCGCAGCACCCTGACCGCGGGGCTGTGCGTGCCAGCCAGGGCTGCCCCAGGGGAGCCCCACAGCCCCTGCCCTGCCCCGCCGCCGCGGTGACTGCTTGGTCTCAGAGGGCAGGGGGCTTGCTGGCGGCTGGGGGTGTGGGGTCAGGGGGCAGGGGCTCACGCGCTGCCCACTGACCCCTGAAGGGCGATGCAGGATGCTGGGCCCCACGCCAGGCGAAGGAGCGGCACTGCCGCTGGGACAGCCTCTCGCTGTCCCTCGGCCCCTCTGCCGGCCTCTGGGCGCGCTCAGTGCAGAGGAGCCGGGCTCGGCCGCCTGTGGCTGCGATTCCCCTTCACCGGCTCGCCTGGACCCCTGGCTCTCCCTCCCAGCAGGGTCTGGGCCGACACGCTCGGGGTCCCCCTGCTGGAGCCCAGGGCTCAGCTTGAAAGATGGGGAACTTCGGCCCCGCCCCTGCCTGGGCCCAGCTCCAGAGGTGCCCTCCACTGGCCGCTGTGCGCAGCACCCTCTGAGGGCACGGCCCGCCCGCCCAGCTGCCAGAAGACGTGGGGTGCCCCAGGGCCGGGCCCTGCCGGCGGGGGAGACCGGGTGCACGGGGAGGGCCCTGCCGGCAGGGAGGAGACCGGGTGCACAGGGAGGGCGGCGGCACGGGCTGCCTTTGTACCTGCTGTTCCGCCAGGGAGCCGCGGAGGACTGCAGGTGTTGTTGCCAAAGAGACAGGTTGTGTGGGTGGGAGTGTGGGTGGGGCCGTTTCGGTTTCTGTTTTTACTGGTTGGAGGCGGAGGGTGCTGGTGCAGTGACTCTCCTGTTCCCTGTTTGTTTTTTCGAGAAATCGAGCCAAGGAAAGCCTTCGGGCTCCGTGTGCTTCATTGGGGTTTGCAGATCAAGCCTCGGGTGGGAGGGCATCTCTGTCAGGACCGTCCCTCTGCCCTCTTGCCCTGCTCCCCACCGGGCCCTGCCTAGCGGGGATGAGGAAGGGCCACAGACCCCCCCCATGAGCCCTTCCCACCGGGTCAGGGGAGCTGTCCCTCAGCACAAGGGCAGTGGCGAGCCCCCCCCCTCCAGCCCGCTCCTGCCCCCGCCCCCGCCCCCGGGCCCGGCCCCGCCTCCTGGCCCGGCCCCCTGCTCCTATCCCAGCCCCGCCCCCGATCCTGGCCCCGCCTCCTGGCCTGGCCCCTGCCCAGGCCACGCCCTCTGCTCTTGTCCAGGCCCCGCCCCCGGCCTGGCCCCGCCCCCAGCTCCTGGCCTGGGCTCAGGTGCTGGGCTCCTGCCTCAGGCCTGGGTGGAGCGGCTCTGCCGGGAGGGAGGGAGGGAGGGTTGAGGAAGACAAGGACAGGCGCAGTCACAGCCCCGCCACCATGCTGTACTCAGCACAAATTCTAATAAAGTTTCTAAAGCCTGGTACTTCGGCTGAGATACGGAAGTAGCTGGACAGGGGTCCTGTGCAGGAACCCCCAATCCAGCTCGGAGACCCAGGCCACAGCGCCTACCCCCCCCCCCCCCGCCCCCGGGGGCGGGGAGGAGAAAGGTGGGAAGGGGGCTGGGCAGGGGGGCCTGGGGTGGGGGTCCAGCAAAGCCCCAGCCGAGGGCCTGCCAGGAAGGTTGGTCCCCACCAGAGAATGAAGGCCCCTGGCCCCAGCCCAAGCCCCGCCCCAAGCCTCCCGCCCAGGTGCCCTGCAGACAGGAGACGGAGCACAGCGGGCACAGGTGGAGCAGTGTTTATTGATCGGACACCTAGGAGCAGGCGGGGGCCGGGCTCCCTGCAGTCACTGCTGGCAGACTGTCCTTCCCTCGCTCTGGGCTCTGGGCCATGGCCTGCCGGCAGGCCCGGCTCACCAGTCCCTCAGCCCGGTCAGCCGGGTCCCAGGCGCAGCGGGTCCAGGGGAGGCGTGAGGAAGTCTCTCTGGAGGCGGCCAGGGGAGTCGGAACCAGGGCTCCCAGGAGGGCGGGGAGGGCCCGTGGCTGTGCTGAGGTGTCAGCTGAGGAGGGGGGCAGACCTGTCGTTGGTCGCTGTCGGCTTCAGCTGGACACTGATAAAGGGGTTCCTGTGGAGGAGAGGGCGGCGTTATTGTGGGGGTGCTGTGAGTCGGGGCGCCTGGGACAAACGGCACGACTGGGCCCTGGGTCCTCAGTCTGCCCACCTGTAAGAGGGGGACTCGGGGGCTCAGAGCCAGGGCAGGGTGGGTTGGGGAGCCACTTTGCCCTCCGCTCCTGCCCTGGGGCCGGGACCCAGGCCCTGCAGTCCCCGGGGGCCCGCCCCTCCAGTCTGGGAGGTGCCCACAAGGCCCAGCAGCCCGGCCCCTGTCCGAGGACACACCTGCGGACACACACGCAGCCCAGCAGCCCCCACGCCCGGCCATGCATCCCGGCCCGCGTGGCCTGCGACGCCGAGCCGAGCGGACGGACAGGAGGCACACGCACCCGGCTCCCCGAGAACCGCCTCGCAGCAGGCGGCAGACCGGCCCCCGGCACCCCCGCATGCCGAGGCCACAGCGGACGGACGGACGGACGGACGGACAGATGGGCTGGCCAGACACAGGCTGAGATGGAACGGAGGAGCGGCCGCGCCCGCCCGGTCCTCGGGACGCCCGTGCTCGGCGCCGGGAGCCGGACGCAGGCAGCGGAGACAGACGATGGGCACAGGTGGACGGACAGGACCACACTCGGCAGCACGCGGCTCGCGCGGCCGTTACCTGGGCGGAGCGGCCTCTGCTCCGGGGCGGCGTGGGCGTGGGCGTGGGCGTGGGCGTGGGCGTGCCCGTGGGCGTGGGCGTGCCCGTGGGCGTGCCCGTGGGCGTGGGCGTGGGCGTGGGCGCGGTCCTGGATGCCGGGCGCCAGCGGGAGGGGCACCGCCCGTGCTTCCCGGGCACTTGTCTTCTACGCACTTCCCCCGGCCGCGCTGAGGGAGGCCCGCCTCCCCTGGCGCCTGAGGCCTCGGCTCCTCACGGGGCCTCCGCCTGCCCTGCACCAGGAGCTCCGGTGGCGCTGGCACGGGCAGGGGCCGCGTGCTGGCTCCCGAGGTGTCCGCCCTGGGCGCAGGCACCGGTGGCCCCTGCCCGGCTGCCCCCTCCGCCAGAGGGTCCCCGGGGCCTGGAATTGGGGCAGGTCTGGGCCGAGCGGAGGAGGGCGGGCGGTTCCGTGGGACCAGAGCTGTGGGCAGCGGCCGGGAGGGTGTGGGCGCACACAGCTCTCCTGACCCCTCCCCGAGGTCAGTGGGGAGGGGTTATAGGCCCAGAAAGGCCTCTGACCTCTGACCCCACGTCCTGACCTGCTCCCCAAACCTGTGGCCGGGCCCTCATGCCTGTTCGTACTGCAGGTGGCGTCACAGAGACCCCAGGTGGACGACGCCCCACCTCCCAGCGGAGGGCGGGCACAGCCCCGGCACCTGCCACTTTCTGGAAGGTCCTTCCTTCCGGGAACGAACCTGCTCCTGAGCTGCCCTGGGGGGAGCCTGTGGCCGGGGAACAGCCGAGGTTGGCACCGAGATGACAGGCCGGCCTGAGGGCTGGTCAGGCCCGGGCAGTGCCAGCACGCGGCAGCCGGCGGCCTGCACACAGGCCCGGCCGGAGCGGCCAGGGGCACGGCCTGCACAGGGGACCGCCCGGCTGACCCCGGGGGCTCCATGGCACACCGGCCCTTCGCCGAGCCGCCGCGGCCGGCGCCTTCTCTGCGGGGAAGGTTCCTGCTCCGGCACAGAGCGGCCTCGGGGCAGGGCAATGCGGGGCAGGCTCAGAGCGCAGGGGCCCAGCCCCCGGGCGGCCCTTAGGGCCCGCACACGGCGCCTGCCCCGCCAACCCCAATCCCAGTCTCCGGGACCGGACCCCCGGCACCAATCGTGCTCAGATCCACGGGGAACGGCAGGGCGGGTCTGAGGACAGCCAGTCCCGACCGAGGCGGCTCCTCCTCGGGGAGAGCACAGCCTCCACTTCCTCCCGACCGGTCCCGTCTCCAAACCCAGGCGGCTCTCAGAGCAGCAGGACCTGGGCCTTCTGGAATCTTCCCGCCCCTCCCGCCCGGACCTCGGCCGACCACAAGTGACTCAGGAGCCAGGTGACTGCCAGGTGCACCCACTTCACCAAGAGTCCACTTGGCCCGGGTCTCCCTGCACCCAGAGGCGGGGTCCCCCAGCCCCAGCCTTCTGGGCCCCCGAGGAACGGGTGCTCGGCCCGCCGGCGTGGAGGGACCAGGCAGCACAGCTTGGTGGACAGGCAGGCCATTCTGAGGGCCGGACACTGCACCACTGAGGCCAGAGAGGAGGTGGAGGCCCAGGGCGACCATGGGGCCGTCAGAGGCATTCCCACTGTTTCCCAAACTCCAGGAGCACCTGGCTCCAGAACGTTCCAGAAATCGCTGCAGCTCGCCAACCCAAAGGTGGCGGCAGAGAGGAAGCCCAGCTCTGCCGGGTCTGGCTGCCCAGGGGATGGCAGTGCCAGGACACCCGTGGCCAGCTGACCTCCATCCTCGATAAAGGACCAGGATGTGCCCACAGGCAACCCTCAGTGTCTCAGGGTGGGGGTGGGGCCAGGCCATGGGGCTGAGTTGGCAGCCACAGCTCTGCACCAGGGTCCCCAGGGGGCAGACGGCGGCTCCTGGGAGCTCTGCCCCGTCCCCCCTGGCCTCCAGGGGGCTGCAATACTCACCAGCCTGGGGGTCTCGGGCAGTCCCAGACCCACGCCCACAGGGCCCTGATCACCAGGGAGACCCCGATTGTGGCCGAAGCACCAGCAGAGGCAGGAGAGACCCGGGCAGAGGGCAGCCCGCCCGCCCGGCAGTGGGGGTGCCCAGGGCAGAGGAGGCCCGACAGAGGAAGCCCCTGAGCCCGGAGCAGCCGCAGGGAAGCGAAGGCCTGGAGCCCTGAGCGAGCATGCTGGCACCCCACGGCCCCGCCCTGCCACCGGGCAGAGGCCGGACGGCCTGCCGGCCCCGTGGACGCAGACTGACCAGCGTGAGTCACTTACTAACTTGAGTCGGCGGCTCAGAACCGGGCCACTTCCACCTCGGGGCTGCAAGGGAACACAGGGCTGTTGCTGCAGGTGCGGGCGGGGGTCCGGGCAGAGATGGGCACCCAGGGCGGGAGCACAGGGCCGGCCCGTGGCCCCGGGCTCCCGGGCGGCGGCGTGGAGCCCCGTGGGGCTGCAAGGAGGTGCCACACCCAACTCGATGCAATAAATAAAACTTTTATTCAAACCACTGCAGTACAGGGCACAATTCAGATTAAAAAAAAAGGGGGGACCATCGTGAGCACTTTACACCTTCGTTCGAGCTGGCGGTGTCTACATTCGCCGAGCGGAGTCCCTGGGTTGCGAGCTGCGAGCGAAGGCAGGACCAGCGCGGAGGGCTGGGCAGCCCACGTCTGGCTTTTTTGCATTTTCCTTGAATATAAAACCGTCTGTGTCTTGGGCGGCTTCTGTCGCCAACGCTCCCGGCCACGTCCCAGTCCGCGGGAGCTCTTGCTAAGTCATGCCGCTGTGAAAGGAGCGCCCGCCCGCGGCTCCCGGCTCCGCGGCTCCCGGCTCCGCGGCAGGAAGGCCGGGCCGGGGCTGTCCTCGCCGGCTTCCCGGCTTCAGCGTATGAGGAGGCAATACCAGTAGCCACTGAGTCCAGCGTGTCTCTTTCTGAAGCCAGCAAGACACACAAAAAGACGAGAGCGCTTAGGGGGACGGGGTACCTTCCCGGGGGCGGCAGGCGTGTGGGCAGTGCCCGGAGCCGCCCTCGGTGCCTCTGCCCCGTGCCCTCACCAGGCCGGTGCAGGGACCGGTGTCCGGGACGCGGGGCGGGGAGGCCCTGGAGGTCTTTGGCATGTCCGTGCGGCCAGGTGCCCTGCTCCCGCCCCCTCCCGCAGGGCGCTGGGTGAGGCCGCCGAACGCCGTCCACGGAGCCGGGGGGGGTGGGGGAGCCCTCAGGCGCCGGCCGAGTGGCACAGCCTCCCTCACGGTGGCTTCCCCGGGCCCAGCCGGAGCCGGGGGCGCGAGCAGGGGAGCCGCCCTCCTGTCTGACAGGTGCCCCTGGCGGGTCAGATGCAGAAGTAACAGTAGCACACCGGAGTCCATGCAGATCTTTTTCTGGTTTGTTTTCAGGGAAAGAAAGTCCTTTTCCTGTTTTCAGTTTTTGTTGTTTGTTTTTGTTTTGTTTTTTTGCTTTTTCTTTGTTTCTTTTTTTAAGGTTTTTCTTTTTCTTCAAACGTCAGAGCAGGCTCACAGCGAGCCTTTGAAAGCGCAGCGAGCGCAGCCTCGGCAGATGGGCAGCGGCCAGGACACGGCACGCCGCTGGCGGGCGGGCCACGCGTGGCGTGTCCACGGGAGCGGGGGGGCAGCACCATGGACTGTGGGGGTCTGAGTCTGGGGTCACCAACCAAAACGGCGAGAGGGGCGGGCGGGGAAGAAAAACGACCCGAAAACAAACCGACGAGAGCGCGAGGGAACGTGGAGGCAGACGGCCGCTCCTCCGCGGCACAGCGTGTCCCGTCCTCACACCGTGGACACCAGCGTGCCGCTGCCGCTGCGAACAAAGCAAGCACAGCTGCCGGCCGCGCCCGCCTCCCGCCGCTCAGCGCCGCAGCCCGGCTGGTGCCGGGCGCCCGGAGCGGGGATGCGGGCAGAGGCGTGAGGCAGTGCCCAGCGGCGGTGCCTGGAGTGGACCAGGCAGGAAGGGGGGGCCGCGGGAGGGAGCGGAGCGCATGGCTGTGGCTGGTCGGCGTGGTCGGGCCGGGCTGGCCGCAGACACTGGCTCCCGCACCCCCGCGGGCAGAGGCAGCGCGGGAGCCCCGCTCGGCGATGCCTGAACTTGGCGAAGCCTCGGGCGGGGCGTCCTGCCTAAGGGTCTGATGGCACAGAACACGGGCCCCGGACCCTGCCTCCCTGACCCGCGAGGCCCCGTGGTCTCCAGCCGGGTAACCCCCCCCCCCCGGGCCACCCGCGCCCCCAGCACAGCGCAGAGCTCTCACCTGCTCACAGCCCGCGCGCCGTAGTCGTCCAGACCCTGGGGAGGAGAGGCAGTCAGGCTGGGTCCCGGCACGAATGCGGGCGCCCTCCGGGGGGGGGAGGCCCCCTACCAGAGTCACAGGGAGCCCCTCTGCAGCAGCCGACTCACGGCACACACCACCCCGAACCCGATGACCCTGTTCCCTGAGTCCCGTGGTGGAGCAGCTGACAGGTGGGTCCCGGCCAGGACCAGTGAGGTGAGGGGGACACAGGGCCCACAGGCTGCAGAGGAGGGCTGAGTGGGTCAGGCTGCCTCCAGCAAGCCTGGTCCCAGCCCTGAGCCACCACTTCTGGCTGCCACCAGCCCCGCAGCCACTCCTGAAGGCTCGGGCCCAGCCCTGGCCCCCCTCACCTGGCCCCCCCAGCCCTGGCCCCCCAACCCTCGCCCTCGCCCCCAGCCCTGGCCCCCCTCACCTGGCCCCCCCAGCCCTGGCCCCCCAACCCTCGCCCTCGCCCCCAGCCCTGGCCCCCCTCACCTGGCCCCCCCAGCCCTGGCCCCCCAACCCTCGCCCTCCCCCCCAGGCCTGGCCCTCCCCCCCAGGCCTGGCTCTCGCCCCCAGGCCTGGCCCTCCCTCTAGCCCTGGCCCTCCCCCCAGCCCTGCGCTCACCTGCGAGAAGGCGGGCACGGCCATGCTGTAGGGCCTCTGCTTGAAGGTGCCGGCCGCCTGGGGGGGGAAGCCGCGGGAGGCGGGGCCGTAGTCGGGCGGCGGCAGGGCCAGGTCGTCCTTGTCCAGGAGGTTGCCCGTGCTGCTGCTCTTGCCCGGCTGCAGGCTGCGGGCGGACGGGGCTCAGGGACCTGCCGCCTGGGGTCTGGCTGGCCCCACCTCCCCCACCGGCTCTGCCCTGGCCGCCTGGGCGGCAGCTGCCCGGACCCTGTGGACCCCTCGGGGCCGGGCTCAGAGGTGCGGGAAGAAGCTCAGAAGGTGAGCCGGGCGGCCAGTGAGAGTGAACACGGGAACTAGAGACTCCACACCAGCTGGGCAAGAGGCCGGCCCGGCAGTGAGCACACAGGCTGCCCCCCCACACACCCACACACACTCACATATACACACACACCCACACCCACTCACACACACACACCCACACCCACACACCCACACACACACACTCTCACACACACACACACACACACACACACTCACACACACACACTCTCACACACACACACACACACACATATACACACACACCCACACACCCACACACACACACACACACATATACACACACACCCACACCCACTCACACACACACACCCACACACACACATCCACACACACACACACACAGACACATATACACACACACCCACACCCACTCACACACACACACCCACACACACACACACACACACCCACACACACACACACACACACTCACACACACACACACACTCACACACACACTCTCACACACTCACACACTCTCACACTCTCACACACACACACACTCACACTCTCACACACACACACACACTCTCACACACTCACACACACACACACACACTCACACACACACTCACACTCACACACACACACACACACACACACTCTCTCTCGGCTGCCCGCACATGCACCCCAGGGCCAAGGACACGCAGCGCCTGGGCCCAGGGAAGCCGGCTCTGACGGCCTGGCCGTGCGCTCACCTCGCGTGCACCCTGTCGCCCCCGTCGCTGTCCAGCACCCGCGTGTAGGAGAAGGGGAACCAGCCCCGCCTGCAACCGGAGGCCCAGGTGAGAGGTGGGGCCCAGGGGAGAGCGGAGCCCAGGGGAGATGGGTCCAGGGAAGGGCGGACCCAGGGGAGGGGGGCCCAGGGGAGGGGGGGCCCAGGGCGGACAGGCTCAGAAATGAGGGGGTCCAGGGAATTGGGGCCCAGGGGAGACAGGCTCAGGGATGAGGGGGGTCCAGAGGAGAGAGGTCCGGGGGGGTCCAGGGAATTGGGGGCCCAGGGGAGGGGGCCCAGGGTCAGGGACACCCCCCCCAGCAGGTCCGCCCGCCGCCCAGGCCTCACATCTTGGTCTTCTCGCTCTCGCCATAGTGCCAGCCGTCGCGGGCCTCGGGCACCAGCAGGGTGATGAGGTCGCCCTCCTTGAAGCTCAGCAGGGTGCTGTTGTCGCCCGCGGCGTGCGAGAAGATGGCCTTCACCCGCGTGCGGCCGTTGCGCTCGAGGCCGGCCGCCATGGAGCTGGAGCGGGGCAGCGTCTTGTTCTCAGCTGCGGGGACGGGGGCGTGAGGCACCGGCCATGGAGGGCGGCTGTCACCTCCCGTCGGCTGGGCCCGGGCCTGACTGGACCCCTGCCCGGCACCCTTGGGGGCTCGGTTCCCACTGGCTGGCCAGGCGGCCTCTCCCAGCCCTCTCTGCCCCCCTCCCACTGCCCACAGGGCCCTCAGCACCCCCCGCTTTGGACAGGACTGGGAGCCCGAGAGCCCCTCAGGATGGGGTCTCCCAGGGCCAGGGTGCGGCACACGGATGCACACGCGTGAGCCCGGTCCCCCGGGGGGCGGCCGGCCGGCGGGCCTTACTGGCGGCGTAGCTGCTCTTGGGGGCCACGCTCTTGCGCACGGGCAGTGTGTTGGAGTAGGAGTCGCTCATCTTGGCCTGTGGCGCGGACGCGGACTTGGGCTGCGCACCCTTGCGGTCGGCCCAGGGGCTGTAGTCCTCGCCGTCCGGGCCCCCGACGCCGTTCATGACGGGCGCGGTCTCCTGGGCGGACAGCCGCTGGGGAGAGGCGGGAAGTGGGGGTTACGGGGTGCTGGCCGCCGTGGGGCCCCCACACCCACGGGCCCCCGGCCGGGCACTCACCCCCACGAACGGGGCCAGCTCGGGCGGCACCGGCAGGGGCTTGGCGCCCGGGATGGGGTCCGAGATGACCAGGCTGGACTTGGAGGCAGACAGGGCGCCGTTGCTGCTGGCCAGCTGCTGCAGCATCTGCACCGCGCGGTCCGGGATCTTGTTGGGGTCGGCGCACGCCTGCTGCCAGAGCGGCAGCTTCTGCGCCAGCAGCTCTTTGCCCTGAAGCGGGAGGGGGAGAGGGGAGGGTCAGGCGTCCCAGGAGCCTGCCCTCACCTTGCGTGCGGCCCAGCCCCCAGGTACCGGGAGCCCCCCCCCCCGCCCCCCGGCCGGGCCATGGGCAGAGGGACCGCCGGGAAGAGCAGCGGAGGCCTGGCCGGGCAGGGCCTCCTGAGCCCCAGGGAGGAGGCGTACCCCCTTGGGGACAAACTGCCAGCTGCGCAGTTTCCCCCGGGCCCGGCGCACCTTGGAGTGGTAGGCGGCGGAGTTCTTGGCCACGGCGCACTGCTTCTCCACCAGGAAGCAGAAGCGGCGCCGCTCCTCGGTCAGCGCCGTCTTGTAGCCGTCGGACACGTAGTTCTCCAGGTCGCCCTGCTTGCTGCTGATGGCGTCGATGTACTGGGGGGAGGGTGGCCGGTGAGCCGGACAGGCGTCCACTCCTCCCGCGGCACCCACAGCCGCCTGCCCGCCTCTGCCCACGCCAGACCGGGGCCGGGTTCCGCCTCTGGCAGAGGGCCCAGGGCAGGTGGTCCCCAGGGGCCCAGGCTCCCCTCGGGGCCTCCTCCCCAGAGTGGGGGCACCGTGTGCCAGGATCTGGTGTCTGGCCAGCCCCTCCCGGAGGCCACGGCCTGAACGTCCATGCCGCTGCTACGGCCTCCGGCTCGCTGGGCATCCGGCCTGTGCGTGCGGATGCTCCCAGAACCTGTCTCTGCTCCAGCGGGAGGCACTCGGGCAGGCAAGCCCCTGGGCAGCGCCTCTTCCACAAAATGCATTTTTGTTGATTTCACAGAGAGAAAGGGAGGGGATGAGAGAGAACCATTGATGGGCTGTCTCCTGCACACCCCCTACTGGGGATCAAACTCACAACCGGGCCCTGACCAGGACCGTGACCTCCGGGTTCCCAGGTCGCCTCTGAGCCCCCCTGGCCAGCTGCAGGCTGAGGCGAGGGCCGGCGAGTCAGCTTGTGGAGGGGCTGGCGTCCCCTGGGAGCAGGGAGCCCGGCGGTAAGGGTGGTGGTGCGGGTCACGCCCCCTCACTCCGGGGAGGGGCCGGGGAGCCACAGGCCTTCCCTTTGGAGCTACCTGCGCGCCAACCCCAGCGCCAACCCCAGCGCCGCCAAGAGGCTGAGCAGCTGCCGGGACAAACACAGTGGCCTCGCAAAGCCACTGTTGGACCGAGCCCCAGCCCCCCAGCCCCCCAGCCCCCGGATCTTGGGGTGGGTCCACTCTGCAGCCTGACCCCAGCACTGGCTCCCTCCCGGACGCCCACTCGCCATGACGGCACTGCCAACACCCCAGTAGAGACACCACGACCGGACCGAGTCCTCAGACCCAGTACCAACGGCCAGAACCACCAGGCCCCAGACGCGCTGACGGCCAAGGCTGGAGTGGGCGGTCAGGACAGGCCTGGGGGCGGCGAGCTCATGTCCAGAGGGGACGGGGTGTCCATCGGGGGAGGTCAGTTCCGAACCAGAAAATGGTAAACTACTTGTTGAGTCTTGACAAAACGTGAAATCGTAAGAACTGGCACCAGCAGACCCCTCCCCCCACGAGGACACGGACTGAGGGCCCAGCACTTGGGGAGGAGTGCCCGCAGGAAGAGGGCTCTGGATGGGAAGTGCCCGCCCACAGATGTGGCCCGGCCCCGCCCACCGGAAGTGGCACACAGCTCCCGGCCAGCTCATTGGTGCAGGCCCTGGCCATGTGACTTGCTTTGGCCAATGGGATTTGAGTAGGACTTACAATCTGTATAGTCAGGGAGCCCCAAGGCCAGTGTGCCTTTGTGCCCTGAGAGCACCCCCTCACTGTCCCCTCTGACCCCACTGTCCCCTCTGACCCCACTGTCCCCTCTGACCCCACTGTCCCCTCTGACCCCACTGTCCCCTCTGAACCCCATGTCCCCTCTGAACCCACGTCCCCTCTGAACCCCCCTTCCCCTCTGACCCGGCAGCCGTGCTGGCAGACCCTGGGGACCGGGCAGCAGCGTGGGGCTGGCACCGCCTGCGGATCCCAAACCAATCGCCCAGGAAGCTCAGCGGGTGTGTAGGAGAGTGACTACCCACACCTAGCCCAAGGGGGTGTGCCGGGGCTGGGCCGAACGTTCTGGGGTGCAGGCTGGAAACGTAAAGCCGCACGGCGGTGGGGGGTCCCGGAGCAGAGGGCTGTGACACCTGTGGAGTCTGCAGCCCCCTCGCCCGTGCATGTGGGAGGCTGAGCTGCAGGCTGGGCTCCGGAGCGGCTTCTGCAGAGCCGGCTCTCCCTCAGCGGCCCGGCCCTCCGCCAGGTGCAAGCCAGGCCACCAGGGGGCGGCCTCCCCGCCCGATGCAGCACCTCCGCCAGCTCTGACTCAGCGCGGGTGGGCGGTGCCGAGCCCAGGTGGGCGGCAGAGGGAGCGGGAGCGGGAGCAGGCTGTTCCTGGCCGGCTCAGCTGGAGGGCGAGGCCGGCCCTCTGCCAGCGCAACGAGCCGGTCCCTGCAGGCAGCCCCTGCCCAGCCCAGTCCGGCCCAGCACCGAACGTGGGACCCCCCCACTGCCTGCAGCCCCCCAGTTTCCACTCAACTCCCTGGGAGGGTAGTTAAATGGGCCTCAAAACAGCTACCCCACCCCCCACCCCCGAACAAGGCTGCGGCCTCTGGGAGTCAGCCTGGCCCCTCCACAAATGCCGGGGCCACGGATGGCATTGGGGAGAAAGGTCTGCAGACCGGCTCCAGGCCTCCAGCAGGGGCGCCCGGCACCCCTCCCCCTCCCCTCCCCTCCTCTCTCCACTCCTCCTCATCCCAAGCAGCTCAACTCAAAGTACTTTTCCTCTGGTTAGGAAATGTGTGCCCCCCGCCCTCCTCCCAGGCCCCCCTCCCGCAGTGCCCCCCGCCCTGCCCCCCAGAAGCTCCCCTGCACAGGCTTCTGCAGGGACGGGTCGGCCCGGAGGCCTGAGCCAGGCACATGGGCAAGGCGTGAGGAGGAGGGGAAGATGGGGGGCTTCCTAGGTGGCACCTGGCTCCGCAGCGGCTGGGGCGCCTGCCGAGGGGACTGTCCACCCCCCGAAACCCTGAGGAGAAGGCACATGAGGGCCGTGAGGACAGGAGGGCGGAGGGTCTGGGGGAGGGGCTCGCTCAGGGAGCGGCGTGCGGGAGGGGGAGCACCCGGCTCGCGCCAGGCGGCTGCCCCAGCACAGGCAGTGCTGTCTGGACGGGCAGCACAGGCAGCCTGACCGGCCCGTCACCCAGGACGCGGCGTAACGGGGACGCGGGCCCCCTGGGCATGGCGAGCGCGGCTGAGGACAGCTCTCCCGCCTGGGACGGTTTCTGGGTTTCCAGGCTGCCCGCCCTCCCCCGTCCCCCTCCCTGTTCCCCTCCTGTCCCCGGAGCAGAGCAGCCGGCTGGGCCAGGGCTGGCCTCATTAGCGGCTGACAGCCCCCAGGGTGGGGGCGGGGCTGCGTCTTATTTTTAAGTTTCCACTTATTCAGAGGCTGGTCTCGGGGGAGCCAGAGCTAGGGGGTGGGGGGCAGTGCAGGCAGATGCTGCGGGGCCAGAGTGTCTGACTTTCCTGGGTGTCTCCGGAGCACACGTGGGAGAATACTGCCCCCACGGCCGGGACCACCCGGCTGGGGCGTGAGGGGGGAGCGCCACCCGCCCCGGGCCCTGGGTGTCCAGCGGCTGGAGCACCCACAGCCTGGCTGGGCAGAGCCCTGGGCACGGCCACGTGGCGCCAGGCTGTCGAGGAACAGCGGCTGCCCGACCTCCTTCCTGGACGCCCAGGCTCCGGCAGCCCCTGAGAGCCGGACACAAGGGGCACGGCCCCCGCGGGCTCCGGGCCACGATGCCCCCTGTGGGCAGGACACCGTGTCTGCGCCGGACGCGTGCACAGGAGGGCGAGACCGCCCTCACCTCCCAGGGCTTGGCAGCGGGTGCGGCACGGCCGGCCCCTCCCGGCTGTGCCTGTTCCCGGCTTAGCGGGTGCCATGGCGACGGCGCTATAGAAACACCCAGCTGACAGCGTTTAAGACCCACGGCTGCTCCCACTGAGGCTGCTCCCACTGAGTCACTGGGGCTGAGCCGCCTGCAATCCGAGACGACAAAAGTGATCCCAACCCGGCTCTCCCCCCAAAGCCGGGGTGCCACCGGAGGAGGGGCGCCCCGAAGCTGTGCCTGCCGCACTGTCCACCTCAGCCCGGCGGCAGCCGCGCCCCCACGTTCTCAGCCTGTGAACGCACGGCCGGCGGCGACCTCCAGGGAGCCCCAGCCGACCGGTCCCTGACTCGGCCGGCTGCAGCGGGGCTGCCCTGGGCGGGGCCAGCCGTGCCCCTCCGGCTCTGACTGGCCTGGCACGCACACCATGAACAGGAAGTGGCCGGGGTCAGCGGGGGAAGCCCGAGCCCGGGAGCCTGCCTGCGTGTGGCGGCCGGACCGCGGTTCCGTGGCTCCGTGGTCAGGAGCCCTGACAGACTCACGGAAGCGCCAGGCTCAGGGCGTGAGGCGGGGACTGAGCGGCCGCCGGCTGCAGGGGGCCGTGCTGCTCAGCGAGAACAGGGGCCTCCCTGGCGGCTTCGGGGACCCACGGGCCCGGTTCTGGTTCCTGGGGCAGGACTGTCCCATCAGACCCGGCTGCCCTCGCCCCTCAGGATGCTGGCCAGTGTGTGCCCACGCCCCACCCCAGCTGCAGAGGCCCGAGGGAGCCCCCCGAGCTGGCCGGCACCAACAAAGGATCGAGGCCCACAGACCACCCTCCCCAAAGCCAGGGGACTCGGGACCACAGGCACCTGAGCCACCGCCCTGGGGGGCTGCCAGGGCGCGGCCCCCCTCAGGCATCCCCACTGTCCGGCCTGGGGACTGCTCTGAGGCCTGGAGAAGGTCGGAGGTCACACTCGCCTGCTCGGCCGGGCGGCCTCTGTGAGTGCTGAGCCCACGGTCTCGGCTCCTCACGGAAGCGGGGGTCCAGGAGGCCCCCACCTGCGGGGCGGCCCCGCCTCCCGCGGCCACGGGGGATCGGCCGGTGCCAGAGCCACACCCACTTCAAAGACTGAAATGCTTCCTCCACATTCCTGCCACGTCACGTGCAGGGAAACCACCGAACAGGCAGCTACACGGCACTTCCCTAAGCCAGCTTCCTGCTCCTGCCCCGCGCCCGGGCCTTCAGGGAGGCCTGTCCCGGCTCTGAGGCCCAAGAGGCTCCACGTTACTCCAGCGCCAGGAAGGAGGCACCCGGCCGCACCCCTGCGCCGTGGGGGGCAGGGGGGGAGCTTGGTCCTGGGGCACAAAGGGCCGAGTCCCCACAGGCCCAGGACCCTCGGGCACGGAGGCCTGGCCCGGTCCCAGACCTCTGGCTTCTCGGACTCTGTCCCCCGAGGCCCCTGCCCAGCCCCTGCCCAGAGGGACGGGCAGCCCCGCCACCAGCGCCTCTCCAAAAGCCGCGAGGTAACGGGACCAGCCTCTGCCATTATCCTCCTTGACGATCTAAATTACGGTTATTTAGCTCTGCTTGTTAATTACACACCCCTGAAATAGAAGCTGCCCGCCGCCTCCCCCCCCAGGTCGCCCGGGACACGCGCCTGCCAGAGCCCCGAGCCGGGAGCCGGGAGCCGAGGCCAATGGGCACCCAGGACCTCAGACCAGGACCAGCCAGGCTGCCTGTCACTGTCCCCCCACAACCCACCCCCCCGCAGCTTTCCTCTCAGAGAGGGAGGGGAAGGCGAAAGGGAGGGGGAGGGGGAGCCAGGCCTGGCCATCCCCCCTGGCCGCTCAGGCCCGGCAGCCCCAGCTCCAGTGCCCCCAACCCCCTTCCCCACCAGGACTCTGCCGCCACCAGCAGCTCCAAGGGCTGGGCTGCCGGCAACCCTGACAGACCAGTCAGGCTGCCACGCTGCACCCCACCGTCGAGGGGACCCCGCGTGGCTGAGACCCCAGGGCCAAAGGGACAGGTCGCCAGCCGAGGCTTGTGGCTCACGGGACATCCTCTGTGGTGCCCGGAGGGCGGGCAGCCCTGGGCGGGCGACGGGCAGCACATCCACTTCCCGAGGGAGCCCGAGTCCCAGTTAGCGCAGGAGCCTCTGCCAGTGCCGTCACCAGCAGCTCGCAGCGCTGGCTCTGACCCTGCCCCCGCCATGGCGGCACCTTGTGTGGTCAGGCATGGGGGTGCCTCCGCCTCCACCAAGGGGAGCCTGCGGGCACTTGGCCACAGGGACCTCACCCTCCCTGCCGGCTCTCAGACGGCCGTTACTGAGGGCCAGCTGGTCCCAGGAGGGGCCGGGCTGCAGGGGAGCCTCCGTGTTCGAGGCGCGCTCCGGCCTGGACAAGCCCTGACACGTTCTGGTGGAGGAGCAGGCGCTGGGGCCACCGAGCAGCTGCGTTCACAGGCGCCACCAGAGGAGCCGGGGCGGCTGGCCCAGAGGGCGGTGTGCGCTTTATGGGGGGTGGAGCGGGGAGTAGAGGGCTCCATGGAGCACACCTCACAGCCCTAGGACACGCGGCCCAGAAGCAGCCCCTCGGACATGGCATAAGCACCGGCTCCTGCGCCCCCCTTGCCCTGTCCTCAGCCAGCCCCGGGGCGCCCGGTGCAAGCTGGGCTGGGGTGCTGTTCTCTGGGACAGTGCGGGCGCTGTACCAGGCCCAGGCTTCCAGGAAGCACCTGGCAAACCATCTCGGTGGCGGGGAGGACCTCAGGGCCACTCCCAGGCGTCACGATGGTCCACAGGCCGTGGACGGGGGGAACGAGAAGGTGTGCTCAGAGGGCAGGCTGTGTCCTTGCCGCTAACACACACAGACACGTGGGGACTGCAGGCTGCGGTGGACGGGGGCGGGTACTGGGGGATGGGATTACTGCTCCCCCAGAGCTCGCAGCTTCCCACAGAGGGCTGACCCTCATCTGCTGTTGCCACACACACACACACACATACACATGTGCTTGCACACATGCACACATGTGCACAGAGACACACATGTGCACATGCCCAGTCTGCAGTGGGGGTGTATGCAGCCAGCCCGACTAGTAGGAAGGTGGGCTCTGAGCTGAGGGCGGACCCACGTGCCAACCCCCGCTGTCCAGGTGCCCCCCACGTTTCCACTCCTGACCAGCGGGGAGCATTTGGGACAAACAGGTGGGGTCCTGTTTTCCGGCCCCTCCATATCTGGGCCGTGTGTGACCGTGGGGAGCAGGTGGCGGGGCTGTCTGCGAGGCGGCTGGGGTGTGGGATCGAGGAATTGGGGCCAAGCCCCTCCGTGTCCTGCTGCCCTACATCCTGGCCTCTCAGCACTCAGGCCTGCGAGCTGGCGAGAGGCTGAGGGACAGGACCCGGCGCCCCGCCCCCGCCCGCCGGTGCCATCTGCCTCGGCCGGCAGGGCGGCCACAGCCGAGCCGGCCCGGTGGGCGAGCGCATCGCTCGGAGTGACAGCCGGGCGGTCTCCGGGCCAAGTGAGGGGACAGGCCGACACGAGGCCTCCACCGGCCCAGGACAGACACGCCGCCCACCGGCAGTCTGTGCGAGCTGCGGGCAGTCCCCGCCCGTCCCCCCGCCCGCCCACCTGCAGCTCCTTGTCCGAGTACTTCTGCGGGTTCTTGCTGCCCTGGCTCTTCTTGCGCAGCTTCTTCAGCTCGACCTGGCACTTGTCCAGCGCGTCCCCCCGGCTCCGCTGCTCCGTCTGGTACTTCTTCAGCGCGGCCTGCGGGGACAGAGGTGTGAGCCCCGCTCCTGGCTCCGGGGACCACGGTCAGGCTGCAGCCGGCATGAGCCTGGGACGTGGTCCCTGTGGGCTCCAGGAAGCAGCCATCATGCCGCCGTCTTTACTCACAGCCCCCGAGTGGGCACAGGGGAGCCGGGCAGCGGGGTCTCAATGGGCAGGAAGGGGCACTCAGAGGAACCTCTCGGGGCAGGAGGGAGGGGCCACTTACACTCAGGTACCTGGAGTCCAGCTCCACCTTCTGCTCCAGCTGGGTGAGCAGCTCATTGTGAAAGGACTTCAGCTGGGGAGAGAGCACGCAGCGAGTCAGCTGAGGCTGCGCGGGAGCACGCAGTAGGCCGGGAAGAGCTCCCGAGTGCAGGCGGGGAGCACACAGTGGGCAGGGAAGCAGGCAGGGTCCCGCTCCTGGCCCAGGTGGGAGGTGACCCCAGGGAAAGAGGAGCCACCTGAGCCCAGAGCGGATGACCCCCGCAGGCACAGCCGGGCCCGGGAGCCGGGGGCGCTGGGCGGAGCGGGACAGAAGCCGGGGGTCAGACGCCGGGCCGTGTAGGCCGCGGGCTGGGCTCACCGTCTCCTCCAGCTGGTTCTGGATCTGCCGGTGCACCTCGGCCATCTGGAAGAGCACGTCGCCTGCACAGGAGGCGGAGAGGAAAACGGGTCAGGGTTCTGTCCCCGTTCCGTCCCCCACGTGGCTGATAGCTGGTGGGCAGGCAGCGCTGGGTGCACCAGGGCCTCGCGGACCGGGACGCCCGCAGTCTCCCAGCATTCCCCGGGACAGCAAGGCTGGGCCTGGCGCTCCCTCAGTGCTCTGGGGGAGCAGTGGGGACATGGGGTGTTGCACGAAGGGCACCTGTCCTTGGAGGCCCTTCCAACCTGCACGTTGGGGGCTGGGCAGAGGGAGGCGCCGGCGCGGTCATTGGATTGGCAGGAGCTCGCCAAGGACCTTTTTGGTGCTGAGAACACGGGGCCGGCAGCCACCCCGCCCCACTTGTCACCCCAGCAGCAGGACCGACCCCCCTCCCCCCGCAGGCCCAGCTCTGCCTCCTGAGCAGAGATCGACCCAGGCCATCCAGGCCCCCCTCCCCCCCTCGTTGGGGCCTGAGATCTGCCCCTCCCCGGGCACTGCTGGCGCCTCCCAAAAGTCTGGCTCCGGACAGATGCACAGACCTCACGTGAGGGAGGAGAGGGGGCAAGGAACTGCGAGGAGCTCGGACCTCCCGCAGCCGGGCCAGCCTCACCGGCCCAGCCTGAGCCGGGAGGAGGAGAGGACGCGCTGTCAGGGAGCCTGGCGGCCGCTCAGGCCCAGCCTGCACCCGGGGGGCGGAAGGATTCCGCTCCGTCAGCTCCCTGGGGACCGAGGCCCCGGGCACCGCCCCAGGCCTGAGCGTGCAGCTGCTCTGAGCGCTGTGAGCACGGGGTGGGTGGCACACAGCCCGCCTCTCCGGGCTGATCCCGAGCCCGGGGGCGGCCCCCGGACCCTGCGTCTCCCCGAGCCCGGGGGCGGCCCCCGGACCCTGCGTCTCCCCGAACCCGGGGGCGGCCCCCGGACCCTGCTTTCCCCGAACCCGGGGGCGGCCCCAGGACCCTGCGTCTCCCCGAGCCCGGGGGCGGCCCCAGGACCCTGCGTCTCCCCGAGCCCGGGGGCGGCCCCAGGACCCTGCGTCTCCCCGAGCCCAGGACGCTGCCTGCGGACTTGTGCCCAGACACGGGTCCTTGTGAGGCCCTGACGCACACACCCCGCCCCCCGCTCTCGGGGTGCAGCCCCAGGACGTTACCAGGCGGGGGTGGCAGTGCCCAGGCCCAGAGCACACGTGGGACAGACCGCGTTGAACACGGGCATCGCAGAGGCGGTCCTGCACTCGGGGTGCAGTCTCGCCAACCGTCCCCCTGCCCCGGGCTCTGGGAGGAGGGGCGGCTCCAGGTGCGAGCCGGGCGCGGGGACGAGGCTGAGGCGGGGGCTCCGACGGGAGGTGGGCCAGGCGAGGCGACCGCTCCTGGCCAGGCCTTGGCTCACCGCTGCCTCCTGGGCCCCGTGCCCCGCCTGTTGGCACCTCACCCTCTCCCAGGAGAGGGAGGAGAAGGACAGGGGCTGAACGAAGAGTGGAGTGGAGGGAGCAGTGAGTCCGCTGAGCCTGGGGGCCCCCATTTCCTGGCAGGAAGCGCTCAGGGTTCCAGTCCCTGAGAGCCAAGCGGCGCCCCAGCGGGCAGAGGGCTCAGGGGAGGCCCCCTCTCCCTCCGCACATTCCCTGGCACAGCCTCGCCCTGCTGAGGCTGACCTCCCGGCCAAGCCCCGTGGGGTGCGGTGGGTGGTTCCGCCCCCCCCCATCTTTCTCGGAAGTGGTGAGCAAGCGGGCTCCCCCGCGGGTCCCCTTGGCAACGGGCACACACTGTTTTGGCGGCGCCGCCGGCGCTGACGTCTCTGCTCGGAGGCTGAAGAACTTGCAGCGTTTGGGATAATGTGTTTACACTTTGCTGCGTGGAGTAAGAGAATCGAGTGGAATAAACCCGGATCAGAACGTCAGGAAACGCACACAAACAGGCGTGGGCCTGACCATCAGGGGACTGCTGCCCGGCTGAGGGCCTAGGCCAGCGCGGCGGGAGGAGGCAGGGACCCTCTGCTGCTCCCCGAGCCCATCGGGGTGCTGACCCCCTCCCACCTGAACTCTCACCCCCGGGACCCTCCGGGGAGCCCGCCCCTCCCCCGCGCAGGCGGAGGCTCTGAGTGTGTGAGGCCGTCCCAGCCACACCCGGCCCATCAAAGGCCCCGGGACCAGAGGCCGAGTCACCGGGCCGCTCTGGGGCTTAAAGGGGCAGAACGGCCTCCTCCCAGCTCAGCCTCTGAGCCCGAGGACCCGCCTGGCCCCCCGCCTGGCCTCCCGGGCCAGCCATCTTGGCTGCTTCCCTGTTTGTCCATCCGGGGCAGGGACCCCGTGCCCCCTCCGCACAGCACCCCGAGCACGGGTGAGCGGCTGAGCCCTCACCGGTCCTGGCCGCCCAGCCCCCAGCCCCACCGCCCCGGCTCTCTGCTCCGACATCCCTGCTCCCTGTCAGCCCTGAGACGGGTGAGGGAGCGGCCTTCAGCCTCCTCTTGTTTAAATGTGTTCTTATTGGCTTCAGAGGGGAAAGGAGAGGGAGAGGGAGAGAAACCGGTGATGGGAGAGAATCCTGGGCCGGCTGCCTCCTGCACGCCCCCACTGGGGAGCCAGTCTGCAACCCGGACATGTGCCCCGGCCGGGAACTGCCCCGCCACCTCCTGGTTCCTAGGGCGACGCTCAGCCTGAGCCCCGGCCGGCCTCGGCCTCTGACAGCCCCCGCGGTGCCGCTCCCAGCGCTGACGCGGCTGAGGTCCAGAAAAGACAACATGTTCTCGTTTTGTTTTGCTTTGTTTTGTTAATCCGCAGCTAAGGATGCTTTCCACTGCTTCTCAGAAAGTGGAAGTGGGAGTGGGAGGACGGGAGGGAGAGGAGGGGAGGAGGGAGGGATGAGGAAGGGAGAGTGGAAGGAGGAAGGAAGAAAGGACAGGAGAAGGGGTAGGAAGGCGGAGGGGGAGAGGGAAGGGAGAGAGGAAGAAGGGAGAGGGATGAGGAAGGGAGGGGGAACGGAAGGGGGGATGGAAGGAGGGGGAGGGAGGGAGAGATGTGAGAGAGACACTGATTGGTTGCCGCCTGCACGTGACCCAACCTAGGGCAGGGAGTGAAGCCACACCCAGGTAGGTGCCCTTGAACAGGAATCGAACCCGTGACCCTTCGGTGCCTGAGCCGATGCTCTAACCGCTGAGCCAGCGACCGGGATGGGGAGGGCGGAGCGCGGCCCGGAGGCCCCTCAGGCCCTCATGCTGGACCCCGAGTCCCGAGGGAGCAGCGACCACTCCTCCTGGGCCTGAGCGAAGACCAGGGCCAAGGTGACTCGGCACGGCTCCCGGTGCCCGTCTCACCGCACACCGCTCGCTGCCCGGGGCCGGGAGGCTGGGCTCTGGCCGACCGACCTGCCTGCTCCACGCGGGACCCGGTGGACGGCAGCCCAGCGCCTGAGCCGTGGGGCCACACCCTCACCAGCGACTCAGCGCCAAGCCCCCGGTGCCCTCCCACCCGCGAGGCCCCGCCCTGAGGCCGGCCCGGCAGGAGCTCCGGCTCGCCCCGGCGCCTCTCCCCGGGTGGCTCTCTGGCGGGTGCCAGCCTGCGAGCCCGCACACGCCCGGGCACACACGGCGGCTCTTCAAAGGGCGACCGCAGCCGCCGGTGGGCCAGCCCCAGGGCAAGGTGGGCCCCACGTGGAGGAGGCAGAGGGTGCAGAGAAGGCCGTGCCCTGCTCATTGCCACGCCCGGGCCACCTTCCTCAAAGTCCAGAATGTTCCAGAAGGCTGTGCAGCCGCAGCCTCCCTGCAAAGCCGGGTCGACCAGGGCCAGCAGACCCTCCTCCTGCACGTGACGCGTGATGTCCACAGCGCCGAGTCAGCCGCCCAGCGCCCACATGCGCCCAGCGCGCCGGGGCCTCCCCCCCCCAGGCCCCCCAGCTCCACAGTCACGGGAGGGGCCGGGGACAGGCTGCAGGGGGGGCGGGTCTGGTGCAGCCAGGGGCACCCCGCCAGCCGGGAAAGGTCCCGCTTGTGCCAATGGTGTCCGCGGACAGCACCTGGAGGGAGCAGCCCGGAGGGGCCCCCAGGAGCTAAAATGCGGAGAAACCGCAGGCACATGGAGGGGGACCGGGACGAGCACGCGTGTGCTTCCAGCCGACAGCACCCTGTGTCCCCCCTCCCCCCAGGCCCGCGTCACGGGACAGGCTCAGGCGGGAGAGGACGGGGCTGCTCTGGGCCCCGTGGTGACGGCACCCGAGCTCCTCACACTGTGGCTTCTGCCTGAATCAACGCTACAAACTCGAAGCTCAGCCGGCGGCCGGCTCAGGGGCTGAGCGTCCACCGGGAACCAGGAGGTCACAGGTCCGTTCCCGATCGGGCACAGGCCCGGGCTGTGGGCTCCATCCCCAGCAGGGGGCGTGCAGGAGGCAGCTGGGCCACGATTCTCTCTCATCATTGATGTTTCTCTCTCTCCCCTCTCCCTCTCCTTTCCTCTCTGAAGCCAATAAAAAGGTTAAAACAATGAAAACAAAAAGCCAGGAGAAGAGCCTGGGGCACGGCCACCTCGGAGCACCGGGGAGATGGACACGAACCCCACCCTGTGCAGGTCAGGCCCTGCCGCCGGACGCTGCCCTCCTCGGGCAGAGAGAGGGCCCTCACCCCCAATCTCGGGCCATTCGGGAGCACCCTCAGCTCCCGCCACGGTCCACCAGCCGGCGGCATTTCTGAGGGCCCGGGGTCCGGAGGATCGGGGGGAGGGCGCCGGGCCCTCAGGAGACGCAGCCTGGCAGGCGCCTGGACCGCACGCAGACCCACCGCAAGCTCGTCCATCCCGCTCTGCGCCAGGTGGGGACTGGCCTGAGCCTGGACCACAGTGACCGCTGGTGAGGACGGCGTGGACGGCGCCAGCAGGGGAGGGGCAGGGGCACGGCCAGGGCGCCTCCACGTAGATCAGTGTTGTGGGGCGGGCCAGAGACTGAGTTCATGGGTCAGCAGGGCAGCGGAAGGTTCCGGAACTCGGAACTCCGGCAGTCCACGCTCCTAACTAAGCCGCCTGCACATCAAAGTGAGGCTGAGCCACACGGCCGCCCCAGCGAGGCCCGCGCACCGCAGGGAACAGAGGCGGGAGGAGGCCCCTCCGTGAGACCGCAGCGCAGGCGGGCGGACCAAAGGCAGCCAGCCACTCAGGCTCCACGGGGGCGGCCGGGCAGCCACGGCCACGCGGCTCTGAGCTCCACGGGGAACTGCTCGCTGGAGTCTCACTCTGGGCCGGGGGGGGGGGGGGGGGGCGGCCTCCGCGTGGGGAGGGCGGGCTCAGGACCGTGGCCGGCCGTGTCCTGGTGGCAGGAGCCGCTGCTGAGGCAGCTTCCAGCCTGGACGGGAGGGAAGAGGCAGGAAGGACCGAAGTAACGGGAGGGCAGGGGTCAGGGCAGAAAGGAGGGTCACGCAGTGGCCAGTGAGCCTGACTATGGCCCCAGGGCCCACCCCAGGGCCCAGGCGGCGGGGGCAGAGCCTCGTGGTTGGGCATCGGGCTGAGTTGGGAAAACCGCCTCTGGTCAGAAGGCCTGGCCAGCAGGGACACGATCAGTGTCCAGTGTTGGGGGACACCCGGGGCTGCCTCCCAGGCCCCCCCACCCCCCCGGGCGCCGCTTGGCCATTCCGAGGCCCCGTCACCGGAGGGCAGGGCGTGCCCCCCACTCCCATCCCTGACGAGGAACCGCCTGAGGGGACGGGAGGAGGATGCCCCGGGACGAGGTCAGACAGGGTCAGCTGACCTCTGCTCGAGGTGGAGTTCACGTGCTCAACCTGTGGCCACAAACCCGTGAAAGGGAAGCGGGGGAGTGGAGCCCTGGGCTGCGCCGCCTCCCGGCAAGCTGTGTCCCAGGAGCTGACTCCACAGGAGGGAAGTTCAGCTCGCGCCCCTGGGCTACGGACGCAGGGGCTGGCCTCCCCCATGCCCCCGTCGCCCACGTCCCCCCCGTGAACCCCGAGCTCCCTGGGGAACCTGCAGGACACGGCGCAGGCCCAGAGGGAACCGCCCGGATGCTCCTCCAGCCGCGCTCACCGCAGCAAACCCCACAGACGGGGCCGCCTGCCCGTGGCCTCCCCGTCACTCCCTTTAACACCAGAGCGAGTTCCAGACACTATGGCGTCCGAGTCCACAAGGGCCTCCCGTCAGCCTGCGCACCTGCTCCTGGACGTGCACTGCCCCTGCCTGTCCAGACCCCAACCCGGGCCCTCACCCTGTCCGGCCCCCGCCCTGGGCCCCCACCTGTCCGGCCGTGCAGTGTGGGGCGTGTCTGCGGTGTGAGGCGTGTGTCTGCGGTGTGAGGCTTACCGAGTTCCTTGGAGCCCTGGCTCTCGCTGGCGAGCTCCCCCATCTTCACGAGGGCGTCGAAGTAGCCCTTGGCGGCGTAGGTCACACCTGGGGGGGGCGGGCAGTGAGTTCCCTCTAGAACAAGCAGACCCGAGACCAGCCCCCCGAGACGCTTCAGTCCAGGCTGGACCCTGTTTCTGAGCGATGCCCCCCCCCTTGGGGGTCCCCTGGAACACAGGTGAGTCCGGGCGCAGAGCCCGGAGCCCCAGCCGGGGCCACCTCAGCACAGGAGCCTGGGGTGGTGGGGGAGCCCAGCCAGGCAGCCGCTGCCCCGGGCCTGGGCTGGAGCCGCCTCGCAGCTGAAGCGCCTCAGGCTCTCTAAGCGCCCTCGGTTGGGGTCCCCGTGGGCCTGATTCTAGGCGGGAAGCTGGGCGCCGAGTCCACCCCAGAACCTGCTGTCCGGCCGCTCGCTCCTGGGGCCCCTGAGAGGCCTGGGTGCCCCTCAGCGGAGGCACCGGCCACACCCCCCACCCGTCTCCCACGGAACGCCCTCAGCCCCACCCTCTCGCACTCATCACATCACTGGTGCTTGTCAACCGGGCGGCCATGCCCACAGCCAGCGGCCGAAGTGCGGGTGGGCCCGGGCCGGGGAGCTCTGCTCTGGGGGCCGCAGGCCCAGGTGGGCGGGAGGGCTCACATCAAAGGGCCGGAGCAGCCTGGGGGGCACCCCCGCTCTGAGCCCCCTCCTCTGGCTCCCAGACGGACCTCACGGGCCTGTCCTGGCGCCGGGGACCCGTGGGGACCCGGACACGCCCGCCCGCCGCCCACGCCTTACCTGCCAGCGCCTTCTCGTAGTTCTTGCCCATGGCGATGAAGGTGCGCAGGCTGGGGTTGAACTGCTCCATGATGGTCTGGGGAGAGAGCGCGTCAGGGCTGGGCGCCACGGGCGGGATGGGGCAGCCACCCCCGGGCAAACAGCTTTTCCGTACAAGGGGCGGGGACAGGACCCGCCGCCCGCTGTGGCCTGCGGAGGCTCAGACGCAGACCACGAGCCAGAGGCCGACCAGCGGGCTCTCAGCGAGCCGGCCTCTCCGGCAGCCGCGGACACTCAGCGCCAGGGGCCTCCCACCGCGGCCTCCCCTCCGTCCATTAGCCCAGCCTGCTCACACCGCAGAGCAGGCCTGGGGGCCCACGCCCGTGGCTCTCAGACAGGACCGAGGTCCCCCTCGGAGGCCCATCGGCGTTTTCGTGATGAGGCACAGCCAGGCGGGGTCTCCGGAGTCCTCACCGCCTGACCGCCCCAGCGCGGCGGGAGAACTCCCAGGGGGACGGCGGCTGCGGTGTCCTCACAGGCGGGGACGCAGGCCCCAGCGGGTGGCGGGTCCGAGCGGCAGTGGGCAGGCCAGCCCAGGAGGTCACACACACCCCCCCACACCCTCCCGTGACACCCGGGGACAGAGCCAGTTTCACTTCCTCGCTCAGCGCTGAGCTCATGCACCATGAATGTGGGCGGGCGGGCGGGATGGGCACACGGTGCCACCAGGCCACCTGGGCAGGGCAGGGCGGGCTCTGCTCGCTGAGAAGGGCCCGGCCGGCACCTGTGCCGAATCTCCGAGGCCCCTGCTGCCAGCCCGGCCCGGGGCCGGGGCAGTGGGGCACCTCTGCCTGCGGATTCCTGGGCCCACGGCTACCTGCCTGGGGGGGACCTGGTGGCCCAGGAAGGCTGAGCCCCTCCAGCGAGGGGTGCCTGCCGCCCCTCCCAGCACCCGCCGTCGCGCAGAGGGGCCCCCCGAGTCACCACCCTGCCTTCTCGAGGCGCATCTTTCCGGGGACCCCCGCTCAGAGGGAGCCACCACCCCGCCCCGTACAAGGCCGCTGTTCGCCGGCGACGGGAGGGGAGTCTCCTTATGGACACGCAGGGCGGACGCAGTAGGAGCCGGCCGGGGCCCAGGACACGCCAGGAGGAGCCCGGGGGCAGCCGCAGGGCGGGACCCCTCACCGCAAGCCGGGCACCGTGCACGGGCTGTGGGCGCCCCGGGCCCCCAGGTGCCGGCCTCGTGCCGTCATGAAACTCGGGGGGCCCCCGAGAACCACAGGGGACCCCGCTCTGGACTAGCCCACGGCCGGCCAGGACCGGGTGCACCCTGCGGGCGCACCAACCTGCCCCGGCCCCGTGCCGCCCGAGGGCCAGGCCGCACAGAGGCCCGGCAGGCCTGGCCACCTACCTGGCCGGCCCCCGCTACTCCCTGATGTGCCGGTCGGCCGGACTGGAGGGCAGAGGGCAGAGGGCAGAGGGCAGCTCCAAGCCGCCTCGCCTCTCCCCGCCTGGCCGCTCGCTTGTTTACTCCTCAGCTGGTTCCAGCCAGGGCCCCTCCGGCCACTTCCGCCGCAAACAGAGAACAAAGGTGCTGCCGCCGGCAGGAAGGGAGCGCCCCCCACCCCCGCCGATCCTCCCGCTCAGCTGTGCCCGGCCCACGTCCCCCGTGGACAGAGAGGGCCTGCCCACTGGTTCCTGCCTCCCGGGGGCCGGCCTGTCCCTCACCACGCGGCTCCCGCAGCGCCTCCGGGCACAGGGCTGGCAGCACAGGGCCAGGGGCCAACGGGCAGCTCCCAGGCCTGGGCTCCGAGGAGCCACTTCCAGCCCGAGAATGGGGTGAGGCGGAGGCGGCTCCTGCTCTGGCCGTCCCCGGGAGGCTGCCCCCTGCCCCTCCTCCCTGGAGGGCAGGCCGGCCCCACTGCTCACCCCGAGGGTCCTGGTGCCCCACTGCCCCCCACCCCCTCTGTGGTGCCTGGGCCGGGTGGGCAGGCGCTGGACCTGGAGCAGGCACCAAGTGCCTGGGTGCTCCGGCCTAGACCCCCTGGGAGGCGGGACCTCCCCCCGGGGGCCTCCCACAGCAGCCCCCACACGAGCAGGAACCAGCTGGGCTCTGGGCAGAGGGCCGTCTGACCCTCCCCAAAACCTGGGCCATCTGCCCGGCCGGGTGGCTCAGTGGCTGAGCGCTGACCTTGGTCAGGGCACAGGCCCACGTTGCAGGCTCGGTCCCCAGGAGGCGGCGTGCGGGAGGCGGCCGGCCCATCACTGATGTTCCTCTCCCTCCCTCTCCCTTCCTCTCGGACATCAATAAGAACTGAACAAAAAGCCTGGCACCTGCCGGGAGCCTAAGGGGACGAACCCGCCTCCAGGACTCGGTGGGGTGGGAGGGAGGGCTTCCTGGGGGAGGCGGACCTCACTGTTCCACCAGGGGAGAGCCGGGGTGCACCCCGAGGCTGGACACCAGGCTCCCCTCCCCACTCTCCACGAGACCCTGGGGCCTGAGCCCCACAGGACCCCTCCCCCACTGTCAGGGCAGGGACAAGGCCAAGGCCACCGAGCTCGGAGGCCGGTGCAGCCTCCGGGGAGGGGCGTGCAGCTGCCCTGGGGGACGGGAGGGCCGCCTGTGTCTCTCCACTGAGCGGGCGCCCCAGTCCCAGAGGGAGCAGCAAAGGCTGCCCCCCCAGGGCCCGGACGCCTGGGAGAAGGGCTGGGGGACGTCAGGACCAAAGACAGAATGAAAGGGGGCCCACCCCACCCTGGCTCTCTCTCAGGCCCCCCACATCTGATCGCCCCTGAAAGAGGTTCTGGGGCAGGGCAGCCCCAAGCCGGCTCCTGCGGGGGCGGGGCCCGCCCACCGGGAGCCACTCCTACGGGAACCGGACAAACACAGTGGGACCAGCAGGATCCAAACGCCCCGCCAGCCGGCCACTTCCTTCCTGTCGGGCCGTCCCTGCGCAGCCTGAGCTCGGGGGCAGCTCCTGAGGCGCCAGAGCTGCCTTCCCGGCCACCGGCCCGCCCGGCGACGCCGGCTGACCGACTGCCGTCCTCCTGGAGTGCAGAGCTGAGCCCCGGCCCTGCTCTCACACCGACGACAAACCCTGATCACAAACCAGCCCGTCACCGCCTGACCAACAGGGCAGGGCGCCCGGGCCTTGGACCCGTGCCGGCCCAGGCGGCTCCAGCCCGTTTCAGGGCTAGGCTCCCGCTGGACCAGCAGCGCCCGCTGAGCAAGCCGGGCTGCGGCCTCGGGCCGGCCCCTCCACACCCTCCGCTGGGCAGGCGGCCATGCTGGAGGCACAGGCCACGGGCACGCAGCCACCTGGACCTCAGCGGGGGCCTCCCACTCGGCCCCGCCCTCTGCTCCAAGAGCGTTCCACTCCCCCGCCCCCCTCCCCCCGGGGGAGCCGCAGAGAAAGCATGTGCCGGCCAGTGCGGCTCAGCGATAGCGCCTCGGCCTGGGACCATGGGTCCAGGTTTGAGTCTGGCCTCTGGCTGCAGGCTCCTCCCAGCACCTCCGCCCTCCCTCTCAGGCCGGGACTCCTGCCGCCGGCTCCCTCAGCCCGTAGGCTGGCCTGTCCCCCGCACCTCTCAACCCACAGCCAGCCTGGACGCCCCGGGCAGAACAGGCCTCGGCCTGAGCGCCGTGGGGCCTGGACACAAAGGACCTGCCTCCGTGGGAGGGGACGGGAGGGCACAGACGGACAGACAAGGCCGCTTCCTGCAGAGGCTGCGCGGAGCAAGCAGCCGGTGGAGGAGCCCCAGGGGCACGTCCCGCCGGCAGGGGCAAGCCTCCGCCATGGGGAGCAGCAAGGCCACCTGCCTAGCGGGTCGGACCTGACCTCCCTGGCTCCGGGGACACAGACTGTCCACTGGACGGAACTCTGGCTCCGGGGCCGGCACCCCCATTCCAACGTCCTGTTCCATCCCCAGCACCGACGCCCAGCGAAGCCCAGGGTAAGCTATGGCACTGCGTGGGCCCCTGGTGACTGCCTCCACCCCTCTACACCCCCAAGGTGGGGAAGCCCGCAGGTCAGGCCCACAGGCCCCTTAGCAGGAAAACCTTCTCCCAAAGAAGGAGGCCCCAGGACAGAGGGCGGGACAGGCATCAGGTGTGGAAGCGACCCAGCACCTCAGGAGCGGCCCACCGGGCGAGCCCACTTGCTCTGGCAGCGGGAGCCGGCGGAGCTCAGGAGCCAGGCTCTGCGTGCAGACAAGTTTGGGGAAGCCCGCCCATGGGCTCATGCATGTATCACACGTGACGAAACCTGCAGCTGATGCCCACCCCACGGGAGCACCTGCTCGGAGCAGCCGCGTTTCCCCCCAGGGGTCCGTGTCCCAGCACCCATCCCAGCAGCTCACACTCGCTGCCCCAAGGGGGTGCCCAGGACGGGGGCCTGGCTGCCCCAGGTGGCTCCGGAGTATGAGGAGGAGGAGGAACCAGAGGGGCACGGGCCAGAGACAAGTGGAGGCCCCAAAGCCGCAGGCTGTCCACTGGGCGCCCAGCAGGTTGCAGAGCCTCTGCTCCCCCCCGAAGCCCCCCGAGTTTCCCAGGTCACCTCTCAGGAGGGGACTCAGTCTCCCATCAGGCCCTGCCCCCCAGTCACTCACCCCACAGGCGGCGGGCAGGCCGGGTGGGGACGTGAATGGCACGGCCAGCGCCGCCTGCCCAGCCTGGTCCTACGGATACGTTCCCGGCTCCCAGTGCGGGACCCGGACCCGCAAACGGGGGAGTGTCAGCGGCCTTAGCTCCCTGCCTCCGGCCTTGAGCCACAGGTGCCCGTGGTTAGTCACTGGAGCTGACGGAACCCCAGCTCTGCACACGGGACCACCGGGACCCGGTGCAGGCCCGCCTCCAGGCCCAGCGCCCGCGCCGGTTCCCTTCAGGTGCCAGCACGGCGCCGGCCGCACGTGGGCCCGCGCTCCGGGGAGGCGGTGGGCAGGAGGCTGAAGCCGGCAGCTCGGGCCTCAGGGCGGGGAAACGCGAGCGAGGGGGCGGCCGGTGGGGGAACTGGCGGGAAGGGCCACCGCGCAGCCGCTCGGGAGAAGGGACAGGGGCAGCCAGGCAGGGACAGCAGACCCACGTCTACGGGAAGACGGTGCCCCGGGGAGGAGGGCCACCCCTGGAAGCACCTAGGCAGCAAAGCGAACCAAGTGCCCACCTATGAGCCAGGAGGTCAGGGTCCGATTCCCCGTCAGGGCACAGGCCCTCAGTGTGGGGCGTGCAGAAGGCAGCCGATCCATGATTCTCTCTCATCATGGATGTTTCCCTCTCTCCCTTCCTCTCCCTGAAATCAATAAAAATACATTTCTTAAAAAATCAAAGCACCACCCACACACACTCACAAATGCACGCATGCTCATGCGCACACACGTGCATGACCAGCTGACGCATACTCGTGCACACACTCATGCACATGCACTCACACACATGCACGCACGCACTCACGAGCACACGCGCTCACATCCATGAGCCCACGCACGCACTCACATGAGCACACGCGCTCACATCCATGAGCCCACGCACGCACTCACACGAGCACACACACTCACATCCATGAGCCCACGCACGCACTCACACGAGCACACACACTCACATCCATGAGCCCACGCACGCACTCACATGCACTCAGAGGGGGCGCAGCGCTGTGACTTCTCCCCTCCTCAACCGAGCAAGCGGGCGGCTCCACCCGGCAGGCATTTCCGTTGCCAAGGAAGTGCCTATCCGAGTCAGTTCACCACGTCCAAGCCTGTCCACCCCGACGCCAGGCTTCTGAAGCGACTCCGTGGGCGGAGGGGTCAGAGGTCAGCCACAGAGGACCTGCGGCCCCATGCTCCCCTCCACTCCCTCAAACGCCCACTGGAGGAGTGGGTGGGGTCCCCACACCACAGCACCAGCCCTTCTCAGCTGCACGGGGAGGAGGGGGCTTGGGGGGGGGGACTCCCGGCGGCAGAGACGCGCTGGCACCTTCTCCTGAGGGCCTCGGCCAGGCCAGCTCCCCTCCGCGGAGCAGCCGGCCCGCAGGCAGGACCCCCGGGCGGCACCGCAGGCACTCCCCCCCCTCCAGCTGCCCCCCGGCATCGAGGACACCAGAGCCCCACCTCCATCACAGGAGCCTGGGAGCCAGGGCCTCTCCTGGGACGGGACCGTGAGCAGGATCCTCGTGCGGGACTGCGCCCGTTCTGAGCAGCAGACACCCCAACTCCGCCCCCTGTCCCGGCCCGGGCACGGGGCTGCCGAGGGGTGCTGCTGCCTGAGCTGGCCCTGGAGGGCGAGGCGGGCTCTCGGGCTCTGGGAAGGCAGGCTGCTCCTCCCCTCGCCCTCCACGAACCCCCTGCCGCGGCCCGGGGGGCGGCCACAGGACCAGGGCAGCCTGCGGGGAGGAACACGCCGTACCCTTTGCTCTCGGCCTTAATCAGCAAGGCCAAGGGTGAGCGCCCCTGCCCTCCGGGCCATGGCGAACGGATGCCACTCGCCGGGCCGAAGCCTGGCCACCGCCTGCAGGCCGTCCCCGGCAGCACCAGGCACCCGCCCGACCCGCCCGGCCGCCCGCACGTGGCTCGGCTGTGTCCCGGCTGTGCCTCCATGTGGGCTGGTTTCTACCAAAGCTGCCCAACCGGTACCGGTTCTGCCGGAGACTGGCATTCCCCGGCGACAAAGCAGAAAGGCAGCGGGCACAGACCCGCCTGCCCGCGCTCCAGCCACTGACCCAGCTCGGGGCCGTGGCCTGTGGGCCCCAGCCCTCCGGCTGCCCCCAGGGGGTGCGCTCCGTCCCTAAGCCCGTCCGAATGGTTTCCTGCCACAGCGCTCGCTGCAGACCCTCAGCCCCGGCCGCTGCCCGCCCGCCGCCCTCGCCACAAAGTTCCCACTTCGCGGGAGAGTGTGGGGGTGGGAGCTCTGCCCGCGCTTCCCTCCGCCCCTGCACTGGCGCCGGCCCAGGGAGCTGACAGCGACGGCGGAACCCGCCTCCTCCCGACTGCGGAGCAGACCCGGCGCCGAGGCCGCCCCTCCCGCCGGCCAGCCCCGCCGGCCCTGCCCGGCCTCAATGCAACTTCGGGCGCTCCTGGACGCCGTCAGGGCGCGGGGTCCGCGGCTCCGGCTGCAGGCGAACCCCCACCCCGAACCCCCACCCACCCCGTGCCCAGGGCCCAAACAGAGGGAAGGAGCGGGCTCGCAGGCCTGGCCGACGCCAGCGCCGCGGCTGCTGGACACAAACAGAAACTGTTGCTGGGCCGCCCGGAGCCCGCTGGCCGCCTGCACCAGCGCCGTCCGGGCCCACACGCGCCCTCGCTCAGGCTCCGGCCGGAGGGCCGTGCCGCCCGGGACCCTCTCCTGGAGGGGCAGACCCGGCCACCGGCACCCGGGCCTGCGCCCACCCCCGGTGAGGAGGGGGGCAGGAACCCCGGGCACAGCGGGCGGGGCCGGCTTCCCGGCCACTTCCCGGGAGGATGCGGATCCGGACGGGCTCCACACACACCGGACAGAGGCGGCCGCGCCGGCTCCCCAGCCCGCCCGGCCCCGGTTACATAAGACGGGGCACCCGCACCCTCCACCGCCCGCGCCCCCGGCCGCCGGCCCCGCGCGGAGCGGCGGCGGGAGCGCCTGTGGAGGAAAGTGCCCGGAGCCTGCGTACCCGCCCGGGGGCCATGCCCGGGGCCACCGCGCCGGCCGGCAGGGCGCCTGGAGCGCGGCCGTGGGCACAGCGGCTCCGGGACCCGCCGCCCCGCCGCCGCCACGCCGGCCCGCGCCCCTCTCCTCCGCCCTGGGCGGCGGGGCGCGGGGCGGCGGGGCGCGGGGCGGCGGGGCGGCGCGGGGCGCCCGCACCCTGGGGCCGGCCGGCGTGAGAAGACCCCATGGCCGGGGCCGCCGGGTCGGGCCCAGGCGCGCGGCGGGGTCTCACCTTGTAGACATTTTCTGTCAGCCGGTGCATCTCCTCCGAGCGCGACAGCGACATGGTGCTGGTCCGGCTGCACCGCGGCCGAGGGGGCGCGGGGGCGGCGGCGGGGGCGCGGGGGCGGCGGCGGGGGCGGCGGGGCGAGGGCCCGGCGGACGGGCTGCTGCGGGCGGCGCGCGGGTCCAGAGGGGAGCGCGGCGGGCCGCCGGCGGCCGCCTTTATAGGCGCGCAGGCCCCGCCCCCCGCCGCCCCCAGCGCCCGCCCCCGCCGCGCCCAGAACACCGCCCCCGGCCGCCCGCCCCCGGCGAGCCCGCCGCTGCTAGGCAACCGGCAGGCCCCGCCCCCGCGCGTCCTTCCCATTGGTGGGCCCCGGAGCCGGGGAAGGGGGCGGGAGAAGAGGCGGGGCGTGAGGGGGAGGGACCGGCGCCGGGCAGCGATTGGCCGGAGGCCCTGTCGATCGCGGGAAGGAGGCGGAGGTGCGGCGCGGGCTGGAGCCCCGGGAGCAGCCTTGGGGGGCGGGCACCAGCCGGGCCGGGGGCGGGGCGCGGGAGGAGGGAGCAGAAGGTGGGGTGCGGGGGCGCCGCGGCCGGGAGCGGGGGGCGGAACTCCGCCAAGTGGCGCGCCGGGGCGGCCGGGCAGGGCAGCGGCTGGTGAAGGATGGGGCGGGGGGAGGGGGGCGCTGCCCGCGGGTCCGGCCCGACCGGCACCCCCGTAGGTAGGTCCGCGAGGCGGCGGCGATTGCCGATTACCGGGCGGCCCTTCTGGGGAGCGGGGCCCGGAGTGAGGGAGGACCCGGCGGAGGGGAGTGGCGCTGAGGTTCTGAGCGGGTGCGGAGGGGGACTGGGGAGGGGGACTCGGGGAGGGGGGCAGGGGAGGGGGTTGGATGCTGCAGGGGGTGGAAGGGGGATGGAGGGAGTGGAGGGGGATGGAGGGGGACCCTGCAGGTGGCGGTGGTCTCGTCGGGGACTTCCCTGGTGGAGGGTCAGGGCGGTAGGAACCTGGGAGGGGGGACCTTCCTCGTCTGCCGGGTCAGAGCCGCCGGGACCTGAAGGAGCCCCCGAGGCCACGGACCTGCTGGGCCCCAGGATGAGTCTTTGCAGGAACATTCACAGGAGTTAGACCAACGCGGCGGCTGCTCGCTTCACCGTGAAACACGAGACCCGAGCGTGTCCCGTCCAGTCAGCGCCCCGTCCCTGGGCGGTCAGCCCCCGTCCCTGGGCGGTCAGCGCCCCGTCCCTGGGCGGTCAGCCCCCGGTCCCTGGGCGGCCAGCGCCCCGTCCCTGGGCGGTCAGCCCCCATCCCTGGGCGGCCAGCCCCCGTCCCTGGGCGGCCCCAGTTCAACCCGTCTGCAGCAGGCTCGGGGGAGACGGATCTGCAGGACAGCCAGTGGGCATCTGTGGCCAAAGGGACCTGGCTAAGCTTCCTAAGGGCGGACGGACAGACGGACACAGGGAAGGCCTGTGTCTCCCGGCTACTGGCCAGGCCATCTTCTCCATGAGGTTTAAGCAGGCTCCGGTGTCTGCTGGGTGTGGGACACGCTGGTTCTGAGAGCGATTGCGTCGCTGGCCCCTCTCCCCTTCCCCGGCCAGCGGCACACTGGGCTGCCCTTGGACCTGCACGGGGTGTGGGCTGAGGTGGGGGGGCCTGGACCACTGCCTGTCTGGGGGCTGGTCACTGGTAGGGTCCTGGGCTGTCAGCCTCCGGACAGGAGAGGGAGGAGAGGGGCCTCCCAGCCTGTGCCACCCTCTGAGTCTGGAAGGTCCAACTTCTTTTTTAAAAATACGTTTTTACTGATTTCAGAGAGGAAGGGAGAGGAAGAGAGGGAAACATCAATGATGAGAATCATGCACCAGCCACCTCCTGCGCACCCCCCACTGGGGATCGAGCCCGCCACCCAGGCCTGTGCCCTGACCTGGAATCGAACCCTGACCTCCTGGTTCATAGGTCGACGCTCAGCCCCGGAGCCCCACTGGCAGCGAGAAGGCCCAGCTCTCACACCTCCTTCGCTAGCAGAGGAGAGACCTGGGAAGACCCGCCCGCCATCCACCGGGCTGGGGGGTCAGCTGCGAGGGGGCCGTCCCTCAGTGAGCATTCTGGGACCTGAGGAGCTTGGGGATGGGGTGGCCGCTGCCCTGGGCTCCTCTCCTGGCACCGTTTACCCGGGAGGCGCCCACACTGTCTGGCACCTCGCTGCAGAGTGCTGGGGGCCGTGGGAGCCCAGGGATGGTCGGAGGTTGGCAGTGGGAGCAGCTGAGAGACCGTGGCCCAGCCTTGGGCCCGGCACCCCTCGGACCACCCTCCCCGAGACCAGACCAGTCAGAGGAAGGCACTTCACAACGGACCGAGAGGCCAGCTCCGGGAGGGGCCAGCCCAGGACCGCCCTGGGTGGGGGGGGTGGAGGAGCAGCGGGCGGTGGGCCTGCACGCTGGCTCCGTCACCTCGGTGGCCAGGCTGCCGCGCCCCGGGAGGGGTGCTGCCGGGAGGCTGGTCAGCAGCCCAGCTCCGAGCCAGCGGCCCTGCCCGGTGCAGCCGGCCCTGCACAGGAGCCGCCCTCCGTGACCCGGTGGGGTGGGTGGGTGGGGGCAGGGGCACCGGGAGGCTGGGGTGCAGCGGCTCCCGGTATTTTTAGCCGAGCGCCTTATGTAAGCGGCTGCGCGGCGTCACGCAGGGAGGGGTCTCGGGTGTAATTACAGGATGACAGCCGGCGGCTCCGCAAGCTGTTCCCGAGGTGGCGTGGGCGCGGGGTTTGTGAATTTCTCTCCACAGGAGCGGCAGCCAGGCCTGAGCCGGCTCCTCCCCACGCCCTCTGCCCTCTGCCCTCTGCCCTCTGCCCTCTGCCCCGCCTGGCTCAGCCGGGAGTTCTGTGCCTCCAGGGGCAGGCGCCGCCCAGTCCGGGCTCTTCCCCGCCAGCCTCCTGGCGGGAGCGGCCGGCCACCAGCAGGCCCAGAGCAGGGGGGCCCAGAGCAGGAGGGAGGGGTGGGCCTGGGCGGCTGCCTCCCTCCCGGCCAGGTGCTCCGGGCAGCCGGCGGTCACCTGGGAAAATGTCCGGATTGTGTCCCCTGGGCCGGCCCACATTCCTGGGCCTCGCTGTCATCAGCCAGTTATCGGCCTGGGCCGGGCGGTCACCTCGCCCGCAGCTGCTGCTTTGTCCCACGGGAAGGTGGGGGGGGTTGGGAGAGTGGGTGCAGGACGGGGGCCGCCGTTACCAGGAGCCGGTCACTGGGACACCCCGGGCCGTGGGCAGGCTTCGGGGCGCTCGGGGCCTCCTGGGAGTGGAGCGGACAGGTCCGCCGTGGCCAGCGGAGGGAGGACGCCGGTGCATCCGGCAGCAGAGGCCCCGAGACCCTCCTGGCGCCGGCGTGCGGCCTTGGCATCTCAGCCATGCCAGGCCCCCCAGAACCCGGATGCTGTGTGGAGGGCACACGGGCCTGGCCAGCGCGGCTCAGGGGTTGAGCGTTGCTCTGTGAACCAGGTGTGATTCCCCGTCAGGGCACAGGCCAGGGTTGCGGGCTCCATCCCCAGTGGGGGGCATGCAGGGGGCAGCCGATCCGTGAGTCTCTCATCACGGGTTTCTCCCTCTCCCTTCCGCTTAGAAATCAATAAACACACACTAAAAAGGAAAGGTTGGCCCAGGACGCTTCAGCCTGTGCCTCCAGGCCGGGCGTCTGCTCTTGGCGGCGACGGGGGTGGGGTGGCTGCGGGGCTGGGCCTGGAGACTGAGGCCCTGGGAGTGGAGCGAGCAGGACGCGGAGGCTCTCCCGCCCGGAAAGTGGAGGGAGGAGAGGGGTGAAGGCCTGGCCTCCCTCAGGCCTCTCCGGGCTGTGGACCGGCCTCCCCTCTTAAGGGGTGGCCTAGGAAGTTCTAGACCTTCCCTCCTGGCAGGCTGGGAGGGGCCCCAGGGGGCTCCCTCCATGGGAAGGTGGGGGGCCCATTGCCCCTGGGAGGGAGGTTCCCCAGCAACAGCCCCTTACGTGACCGCCTCCAGAGACTGCGGCCGGGAGACGTTGTGAGGGGAGCCGGGAGGCGGTGTGGGGGGAGCCGGGGCGGCCCGGGGCGGTGTGGGGGGAGCCGGGAGGCGGTGTGGGGGGAGCTGGAGGCGGTGTGGGGGGAGCCGGGGGCGGTGTGGGGGAGCCGGGGGTGAACCAGCCTCCAGCCTCGCTGTTCCCCCGGGCTACTTCTCACGTCACCTGCAGTGAGAGGCCACCGACAGCAGGTTTAAATCCCCTGCAGGTGCCAGTGCCCTGGGCCTCCGCCTCGGGCTGCAGGCTGGGCTGGGCCGTGGGCTGAGAGGGGCTGGAGGGCAGGCTGGGGGTCTGGGCCAGGCTCAGGGCCAAGGCCAAACTTGGGGGGGGGGGCAGGAGCTGAAGGTAGCGAGGAACCAGGCACCAGCTTGCACACAAACAGCTTGTGGGGTTCTCCAGGGAGGGCGCCCGAGGACTGGAGGGGAGGAGCCGAGGGGTGAGCGTGCCCTAGGCCAGGTCCGGGTGGCGAGCTGTGCCCAGCCCAGCGTGCCCGCCCCCCAGAGGCCAGCGCCCGGCTCACACACTAGGCTTGCGTCTCCTGCCCCTGCCACGGCCCCCAAGTTCCTTTGGGGCTCCTCGTGGCTCCCGCCGCCCTCCATGGGTCTGAGTTTTGGAGCCAAAAGGAAAGCTGTTCCCTGGAACCGGGGGGACAGACGCCCCAGCACGGGCCTCCCGCCGTGGGGTCCTCGCAGCAGGACCCGCGGGCCCACCACTGCGCCCGCCCCCAGCCTGGCCAACAGCGCCGCGCGCCCCCGGCACAGATGGCCCGGCCGCGCTGCTGCTAATTCAGACGGAGGCGCCGTCTCCATTCCGTGTTTATTTAAAGCGATCTCCGATCTCCGTGTCGCTCCAGCCTGAAGGCTCTCTCCTCCTGCAGATCCGAGCTCCCCAAGGTCCCAGGTCCGGGCCGGCGCCCAGTCCCTGTGCCCCTGCCACACGTGGAAGGCGGGTCTAACGCTGGGGCCCCTCCAGGTCCAGGTGTGCCCCCTGGAGGCAAGTCGGGGCAGTGCCCACCGGGCAAGGGCTCGGGTCTCGCCGGCCTCGTGTCCTCTGCTGGGACGTCCGCCTGCGTCCACGTGCTCTGCGCACTGGGGAGGGGGGGCGGCTCAGGACACACGTGCCTCACCCCTTCCTGGCCCCCCTCCCAGAAGGTGCTAGAAGAGCTGGTGAGGCCAGGTTGGGGGACACCCTGGGGCGTGCAGTGGGGAACCCCAGGGCCAGGCCTGTGGGGCGCAGTGAGCCCCCAGCAGCCCTGGGGCAGGGTCCCAGGGACTGGGTATGGGCTCCTGCAGGGGCGAGGCAGACAGCGGGGAGCGGAACCCCTCCCCATCCTGCACGTCCCCCTAGAAGCGAGGGTTTCAGTGCTGAGACTGAAATGTCACAGCTGCCGGGCGGACAGGGGCAGCCGGCTGCCGTCTTGGTACCACCAGAGGCCCCTGGGGTGCAGCTCACCCGGGAGGGACGGGGACGGGGTGGGGGAGCAGGGGCTGCATGCTCGGAGCTGCGTGAGCCGTCTGCTCCCCGCACACCGAGGGCCGCAGGCCTCCACCCACACAGCCCGGGGACATTGGGGGTCGGCAGCCTCAGTGGGGGAGCAGGGGCTCCCTCAGGACCGCCCTTGAAATGCGGGGCCCACGACCTGTGCAGACGTGTGTGCGTGAAGCCTTCGCACCAAGCGGAGCTCAGGCTGAACGCGACTCAGACCCAGACACTGGGATGGGCTAAGAGTTGGCGGGCAGGGGAGGTGGGAGGGGCAGGACGGCACGGACAGGCACCGTGGACACACAGGGATGTGGCGGGGGTGACAGGAGCGGCGAGCTGATGGGGGCTGCGAGCACCCCACACGCCCCCCGTCTGCCCCCCCCCCCCCCCCGTCCCTTCCACAGGAGCCTCGGCCTCGGGCAGCACTGCTCAGGACGGGCCGAGGAGAGCCGGCTCCAGGGCCTGCGAGCAGAGGGCCGGGTGGGGTGCACTCTGCTGGGGGGTCAGGGAGGCAGGCCAGCCACCCCTCCTGGCCTCCAGGCCCAGGAACCAGCTGCAGAGGGACAGGCCGGGCTGCGCCCCCGTTTAGGTGGGGACGCGCTCCGGGTCCCGGGGGGCCGCTGGCAGCTGCCACCACCACGAGCAGGAGGCCCAGCGGGCGGGCACTGGCGATGCGGTTCCTGCAAACCCCGAGCCGGCAGAGCCCCCTGCTGGCCGAGGCGTGCAGTGCACCTGCAGTCCCTTCACACAAGCACCTGAGCGGCCAGGGGTCCAGTTCCTCCGCAGGCCCAGCCTGGCATCCACCCGGGCCCCGCGGTGGGAGCCCCCGCTCCTCCCACTGCCTGCCCCCTGGGCCTCGGCATCCTGCCCGCTCATCAGGACTGAGCCGGCTGGGGCCCGGCATGCCCACCCTCCCTCGCCAGGACCTCGGAGCCGGCACTGGCCGGAGCCACCAGCGCCTCTCGGGTGAGGCTGCCCGCCCCGAGGGGGCGGAGCCCAGCCTGCCCGCTGTCCGGTGCCAGCCCCGCTGCAGCGCGCCCAGTGAGGCCGAGGCTGGGCCCGGGCGGTGGGTCACTAGGCGTGGGTGTGCAGGACCAGCTTTAATGGGGCCGCGTGGGGGCTGAGACCAGCGAGGCCGTCGCACCCTGTGAACGTGAGCCCGTCAGCCGAGGGGAGGGCGGGCAGCCTGGGTCTCGGCAGGTCCCGCCCGGAGGGTCCACGGGCACACATCCGGCAGCACCGGGTGTCCCGGCAGGCTGTCCGCTGCCCTGCTGTCCGTCGTCCTCAGCGGCCGGAGGTGACGGGGGAGGCCAGGGCTCCGGGAGCCATCGGTCCAGTAGGGACGCCCGGCCTTCCCCCAAGCGGACCCAGAGCGTGCTTCCCCCGGGCCCACAGGCAGCGGCGGCCGGGAAGCCAGGCCCGGTGCCTGCTCCTCGCTGATGCCCCCCAGGGCACGGAGCAGGAAGTGACGGGCAGGGCCGGCGAGCGGCAGCACCAGGCGGTTGGCGGGCATGGCCCTGGAGCCCCAGCTGCACAGCCCGTTCGCCGGAAGGTCTGACTGACGCTTCTTAGTCCAGAGACCAGCATGGGCGGCAGCTGCGCCCAGAGGGCGTGGAGGCTCCAGACGGCGAGGGGGGCGCCGTCAGCACCGCCGGCCGAGGGCTGGCCAGCACCGCACGCCCACGGTCATCCCGGCCCCGCGGCCCCGGAGGTTAGGAGGCGGCCACCAGCTCCGCCTGCCGGGGCCGGGCCCTGGCGGCCGCTTTCTCTGCGGAGGAAACGTACGTCCGTCACCGGGAGGAGCCGGTGGGCACTCAGAGGAGCTGGTCCCGGCTGGAGCTCCTGCGAGCCGCACGGCTCCCAGGCGGGACTGCGACTGCTGCGGTCAGAGGCCAGCGGAACAGGCACCGGCGGAGGGGAGGGAGCGGAGGGGAGGGAGCGGGCGCGGGGCGGGGAAGGAGCGGGCGCGGGGCGGGGGAGGAGCGGGGGCGGGGCGGAGGGGAAGGAGCGGACGGGAGGGAGCGGGCGCGGGGCGGGGGGGGGGGGAGGGGAAGGAGCGGGCGCGGGGCGGGGCGGGGGGAGGAGCGGGCGCAGGGGGGGGGAGGGACGGGCGCGGGGCGGGGAAGGAGCGGGCGCGGGGCGGGGGAGGAGCGGGCGCGGGGCGGGGGAGGAGCGGGTGCGGGGCGGGGGAGGGAGCGGGCGCGGGGCGGGGGAGGAGCGGGTGCGGGGCGGGGGAGGAGCGGGTGCGGGGCGGGGGAGGGAGCGGGCGCGGGGCGGGGGGGGGGGAAGGCAGCGCGGGGTGGGGGGGTGGGGGGGAGGGGAAGGAGCGGGCGCGGGGCGGGGGGGAGGGGAAGGCAGCGCGGGGTGGGGGGGGGTGGGGGGGAGGGGAAGGAGCGGGCGCGGGGCGGGGGGAGGGAGCGGGCGCGGGGTGGGGAGGGAGCGGGCGCGGGGCCCGCAGAGAACAGGGACGGCGTTCGCTGACGCCCGGGCAGGCCCACCCGGACATTGGAGCACCCTGACCCGGGGCCCCCCGCTGAGCCGGCCTCTCGCTCCCCCCTCAGGACCGGCCTCTCCCACGGGCTCAGCTCCGTCCCGGCCAGAGCCAGGGTGAGGCCCGCGGGCAGACGGGGAGCAGGTACCTGGCTTCTCCGGGAGCGGCTCCGAGGGGACCTCTGGGAGCTCCACCTGCTCCTGCGGAGGGAGACGGAGACGACGGATGCCGAGACCAGCCCGGCCCTCCGCCTCGGAGGGAGGCCCGCCCGCGCCGACGGCCGCTACCTGCGTGATGGCGTCCAGCTCCTCCAGGATGGCAGCCTCGTCCTCCTGCGTGAAGCTCCCGGCCAGCAGCTCGTCGATTTGCTGCAGGAGGAGGGACACGGTGGAGGAGGAGGAGGAGGAGGGACACGGTGGAGGAGGAGGAGGAGGGGAGGAGGAGGAGGAGGGACACGGTGGAGGAGGAGGAGGAGAGGAAGAGGAGGAGGAGGGACACGGTGGAGGAGGAGGAGGGGAGGAGGAGGAGGAGGGGAGGAGGAGGAGGGACACGGTGGAGGAGGAGGAGGAGGAGGAGGAGGAGGGACACGGTGGAGGAGGAGGAGGAGGAGGAGGAGGAGGAGGAGGGACACGGTGGAGGAGGAGGAGGAGGGGAGGAGGAGGAGGAGGGGAGGAAGAGGGACACGGTGGAGGAGGAGGAGGAGGGGAGGAGGAGGAGGAGGGGAGGAGGAGGGACACGGTGGAGGAGGAGGAGGAGGAAGAGGGACACGGTGGAGGAGGAGGAGAAGAGGAGGAGGGACACGGTGGAGGAGGAGGAGAAGAGGAGGAGGGACACGGTGGAGGAGGGGAGGAGGAGGAGGGACACGGTGGAGGAGGAGGAGGAGGAGGAGGAGGGGGAGGAGGAGGAGGGGGGAGACGGTGGAGGAGGAGGAGGAGGGGAGGAGGAAGAGGGACACGGTGGAGGAGGGGAGGAGGAGGAGGAGGGGAGGAGGAGGAGGGACACGGTGGAGGAGGAGGAGGAGGGGAGGAGGAGGAGGAGGGACACGGTGGAGGGGAGTACGAGGAGGGACGAGGAGGTGGAGATGGAGGAGGGAGGGGCTGGCTGGGGGACAGCCCTGACTCAGACCCTCACCCAGAAGAGGGGCCACCAGGGGCAGGGGTGGCGGGACCCAGGTGGCCCGCGGACAGTCACCGAGGCGGCAGCTGTCCCTGGGCTGTGGGAGGCGGAGGCGGCCCGGGACTCGGACACCTACCCGCTGGTACTCCACAGCCTCCCGAGTCTCGTCCAGCACCAGCTCCACCTCCTCGATGGACATCACCTGGAGGGCGGCCGAGGCCCCTGAGCCCTTAGGAGCCTCCACAGGAAGGCCCAGGGCTCCGAGCCGCCCCCCCGCCCCCCTAACCCCCCCCCCCCGTTCCTGTTCAACGGAGCCGGCCCAGAGGACAACGCCCTCCCAGAACCCCTCCTCGCCGGCCCCCCGGCCCTTCTCCCTGACCCGGCACCCACAGACCCCCTCCCCCACCAGGCAGTTTCAGTAAAAAAAGTAAAAGTGCGTTTCCTCTGGGCCAGCTCAGAGGCACCAGCCCTGGCCGGGTGGCTCGGTGGATAGAGCGTCAGCCTGTGGACTGAAGGGTCCAGGGTTTGATTCTGGCCAGGGCACAGCCTGGGGTGTGGGCTTGATCCCCAGTGTGGGGCGTGCAGGAGGCAGCCGGTCCATGGTTCTCTCTCATCGTGGATGTTTCTCTCCCTCTCCCCCTCTCTGACATCAGTAAAGATATATTTAGAAAAAAAACCAAAAGCAGCATAACCTGGCTCCCCCCAGAGGACGGGCAGGAAGCCCTCCTGCCAGCTCACCTCCCTGACTCTCCCGCTGGTCCATGCGCACGGTGGCCCGAGCCCCAGCGTGCGCACCCGCCCGGTGGACACCGAGCCTGCTGCCCCGCTGACCCCTCCGCGGCACAGCACCGGTGGCTGGCCCCGCGCAGGCGCGGCCGGGGCGCGGGGGGGGGGGGGGGGGGGGCGGGGACGGCGAGGGGGGGCGGGAAAGGCCCCGCTGACCTCCACTCCGCGGGGACCCACCTGGTGCATCTTATTCAGACACTCATTTCCGAACTTCAGCCCCTCGACCACCTTCATCTCGATCTGCGTGAACTCGATGCTCTGGACCTGAAAGACCGCCCAGGCCTGGTGAGCCAGGAGGCAGCCCTCACCCCTCGGGCAGGCTGCGCCCTCCCTGCCCCCAGCTCCGAGGCTGCAGCGGCTGGGGGGCCGCCCCGCTCACCAGCGGCTCCGGCAGTAGACGGAACCCAATGCTCAGCGTTACCACCAGGGACTCCGCCAGCTCGGCCTCCCCTGAGACGCCCCGACCCCCCAGACCCCAGAGAGGCCCAGACCAACCACTGCCCCCCCCGCCCTCACGCCCTCAGGCCCCCGTGAGAGGTCCTGTCCAGCCTGGCCTGACTCCCGAGCCGGCTGAGCCCTCGGGGAAAGGGAAGGCGGGTGTCAGCCCAAAGGGGTGTTCCCGCAGCCCGCCGGCCCCCCGGGCCCCGCCCGGACCCACCATGGTCTCCAGGCTGGCGATCTGGTTTTCCGTCTTGTCCAGCAGCTGCTCCCGGTACCGCTTCTTCTTGAGCAGCAGCTTGGCCCGCCTGCCGAGGAGCGGCCGTGACCCAGCGCCCCCGGAGCCCCGTCCCCCCCCCCCCCCCGCCCCCCGAGGAGCGGCCGTGACCCAGCGCCCCCGAGCCCCGTCCCCCCGCCCCCCGAGGAGCGGCCATGACCCAGCGCCCCCGGAGCCCCGTCCCCCCGCCCCCCGAGGAGCGGCCGTGACCCAGCGCCCCCCAGCCCCGTCCCCGACGCCCCCGCCCCCGCCCCCGCCCGCCGGCACTCACTCCTTGCGGCCCTCCCGCAGCAGCTGCCGGGCCACCTCCCGCTCGCGCTCCAGCTGCTGGGACACCCTCCGCTGGTACTGCCGCAGCTTGTCCCGCTGCTGCTTCAGTTGCTGCGGGAATGGGCCAGGTGAACACCGGCCGCGGGCTCCCTGCGCGGCCCCGAGCGCACCCTCTGCCGCCCGGGCCGGGGCCGGGCCACTCCTGGCCTCAGGGCGGGTGGCCCGGGAGCCTGTGGGGAGGCGGCCCCACCCGCCGGCCGGTTGTGCCCACGGCGGGCACCGAATGCCAGCGGCGAGGAGCGCGGGGCTCTGGGTCGGGTGGGGGCCGCGAAGGCTGGGTCCCCTCCCCCAGCAGCGGCCCGTGGGCTGAGGCTCCGGCCACTGAGCGACCGAGCCGAGCACCGAGGCCCCTGCGCAGCCGGGAAGGAGGCTGGGTCCCCCGCGCCCCTGCAGCGCCCTCCCCTGGCCAGGCCCCCACCTCCCACCCAGACCGTGGCCGGCGTCGCACCTGCAGGCGCGGCGGGGGCATCGCCGGGCCGGAGAGCCGCCTCCCGCCCAGGCCGCGGGGCCCTCCCCGCCGTCCCCCGCCGGCAGGGCCGCCGGAGCGGGCGCCGTGAAAGGGGCTCAGCGGGCGTCTCACTGCCTTTCACCCCGGAAACGCCCGGCGACGAGGTGCAGACCCCGGGCCCGGGGACCCCGGCGGGGACGCGGCCGGTGCCGGCCTCAGCGCGGCCAGGGCGGCCCGCTGTCCTCAGGCCCGGCCTCCGCCGGCGCCGCCGCTCCGGACGCACCGCGGCCGCCGGGCGCCGGGCGCGCCGTTCGGAGCCGCGGCTCCGGGAGCCCCGGAAGCAGAGCCGCGCCGGCGGGAGCGCGGCCGGCCGGACCCTCCGCCCGCTCCGGGGCCGCCGCGCAGGCCTCCCCGCGGGAGACACCGCCCCCGGCGCCCCGGAAGCCGCAGCGCTTCGCCGTCCCCATGGCAACGGGAGGCCGGAAGCAGATCCCAGGACCCGCCCGGTCCCAGCGCCGGGGACGGCCGGAGCGAGGCCGGCGGGGCGCGCCGTCCCGGCCCCGCGGCCCCGGGCGCCTCGCGCTGGCCCCGGGCGCAGACCAGGCTCCCGGCGGCCCCACCCGCCGGCGCCGCGAGGGGAGCCGCCCGCGAGCGCGGACTCCGGGACCCGGCCGCCCGCACCCAGGCCCTCCCCGCCGGCCCGGCCCCGCGCCCGGCTCACCAGGATGGCCTTGTCCTGCTCCGTGACGCGGCTCTGCTTCTTGCGGCCGAACAGGTTGCCCATCGCGCCGGCCGCGCCGCCGCCGCCGAGCCCTTGGCTCGGTCGCGCCGTCGCCCCGCGGACGCGTCCCGGCTCCGCCCCCGACGGCGGCCGCGCGGGGCCAGCGCAGCGCAGCGGACAGCGCCCCCTGCCGCCCGCACGGAGCGGCGCTAACCCGCCGCGGCCGGGAGTTTGCAGGTGCGGCCACCTGTGCGGACCGGACGGGGCCGGACCGCGCGGCTGGCCACTCAGGGTCCCGGCGGGCGGGTCGGGCGCACGGCCTGACCCCCGAGGCCGCGCCCGGAAGGCCACATCCGCCCAGCCAGGACGCCACAGCGCGGGAGCCCGCTCGGCACCCCGGGGCCCCCAACTCGGCTCCTTCCTCAGCAGGTGACGCAGCATGGCCCAGGCACTTGGGGGGACGGGAGGGCGACGTGAAGGCCCTCACCCAGGCGCTCCTTCCCAGGCCTGGTGTTTTGCTGATGGCGAAGGTGTGGGTGTGGCTGGGGGCTGGCCCAGGCCCCCCTCTCCCGGGCCTGGTTTGCAGGGACCTCTGGGGCCCTGGGCTGGGGAGGCACCACCCCTCAGACTCCATCTCCACGTGGCCCTTCTAAGGACACAGCCAGGCGGGCAACCTCATTCCTACTGGACCTCCCGGAAGACCCCGAGGTGCGCGGGGCGTCCACGTGAATTGGGGACACACACTTTCAGCCCCAAGGTTGTCACTGTGGGGGGCCGCCCGCCGGCAGAGGCCAAGCGCCCAGACGTCGTTAGGGGCCAGAGAGCCCAGCTGGCGGGGCTGGAGGCAGCAGGGGGGGGGGGGCGGCGGCGGCGTCCGCTCCCTGGAAGCCTCGCGCTGGACGCCACGGGCTGTGGCGGCCCCCACAGTGGCCACGCGGTGGCGCTGCAGGACCGGATGGCAGACACAGGGGCGGTAGCGGCCCACCCCAAACGCAGCGCTCAGAATGGCCCCAGGGTCAGCCGCCAGCTGGCTAACCAGCTCGGGACCCTCCCTCCCCCAGCTGGACAGGCACCGAGACTCTCCGTAGCCCATCCTGACCGCGAGGCCAGGCCCGAGGCGCAGCCGCTCCCTCCAGAGGCAGCTTGGGGGCAGGGCCTAACCAACGACCCTCCCGTGGGTTAGGTGGCTCCTTGCCACCCCAGTGCCTCTTGGCTGAGGCCCTGGTGGCTGGGCTCTGCCTGGAGGACACCTAAGCCCAGGATGGCGCCGTCCATCCAGCAGCGGCAGTGCTGGGCCACCCCTGGCCGTGTGGAGAGGCCAGCAGGGCTGGTGTCACCACAGCGGCCTCAGGAGGCTGAGTGCCGGGGATGAGGGGCCATCACTGCTGCCGGGAGGTGGCGTGGGGCGATCCGGAGGGTGGAGGGGGGACAGCCCGTTCTCTCTGAGGAGCTCCCGGCCCGGGGTGCCAGCACTGGGCCTCCAGACGACCAGGAGGTGCTGGCCAGCACAGGCCGGGGATTGGGGCGAGCACAGGGCTGCATGTGGTCCAGTCCCGCCCTTCCCCTCCAGTGCCCTGGCCCCTCTGGCCCACCGCCCTCAGCCGTACAGCTCCTGCCCGCCTCAAGGACCCCTCGCCTCAGCAGCACCGACCAGGCACAGGGGGAGGGGGGCTTCCCAGTGGGCACAGCTGCTTTCTGGGGGCTGCTCAGACCCCCCATTTCCCGTCATGAGGCGACTCTGCAGGCTGGCGACCTGTCTTCAGGCCCCACCCCCCGCCCCCCGGAACTGCTCACGCCCACGTGGCCCCAAGGAGGAGCTGCTGTCCCACACGATTTCATCACCTTTATTGTCCGTCACCGAGCTCCGGCCGATGGCAATCCTGTCTCGTCCGTCTTTGATTTATTGATAAAATAAATAGAGAGTGAACCTTTAGGGCAGGCTCCGGTGCCTGTGGACCTCATGATTGAGTTTTCGCGTCAGATCTGCTAGGACAGCCTCGCGTGGGGCAGCTCATGGTTTTTCTCAAAACAATCAGAACCGCACACGAGCGGAACCTGGCGGGGACTCGCTCCACGAGCCAGACACCCCCTCAGCGTCTGGGGGAGCTCGGCCCTGGGGATGTTGGGGGTCAGCACTGGAGCGCCCCACGGACACAGCGTGGGGTTGGGACTCTGTCCCAGAGCCATCACTGGCGGGAGCAGCAGGGCCTCGAGCAGCCCCCAGCCCCGGGGCAGCCCCGGCCCAGCACACCAGGCTGCGCTGCGGCCGGCTCCACCCGCTGAGGACCCCGCCCTGGGCCTGCAGCCAGAGACCTCGGCGTGCGCGGGAGGGCGCTCACATACATTCACACGATTATTGGCCTTTCGCTGGCAGAACGAGTGAAGCACCTCACTCCTCTGTGAACCCTGATTCCCAGTGCGATTCCGACGACATCATCATCGAGGTGGTTCCGAGTTCCCAGTGCTCCTCAGCACCCCTCCAGGCCCTCCGCAGCCATAGCCACACTCCCCTGCCGTGCGCTCACACGCTTTCTGCACAAGCCTGTGCACGCGCACATCTGCACACGGCTGTGCACTTGTACACACATGTGCACACAGGCCTGTGCACTCGCACACAGACGCGATAGTGAGCAGCGAGGAGCGCCTGTGTGTTATGGCTGCAGTGTGGGGACAGGGACGCAGACAGATGTTGTCTAACCAGACACCTCAGGCCTCCAGCCGTGCCTCCCGCGTGCACGTGCGCGACAAGTGTGCGAGCAGGCGGGAAGATGGTGGACCTGGGCACTGCCCTCCAGGGAAATATGCCCGTGGCTGCAGGCAGTGGCTGAGTCACCCAAGACCTGCCTCCTGCCCAAGGCCACAGGCCCTTCCCTAAGGGACCTTGGTAACCGGCCAAGCTCGAACCCAAGGCCACGCCTGTGCCGGGGGGTGGCTGCGTTCTGGGGGTGGATTGAGCCCGAGGGGTTGGCGGGAGGCTTGGGTCCCAGCTCCTCGGTCTCCTCGGTGCTGGTCTCGGACCCCAGCCCTCGGAGCCGGCCCTGTGCACAGCGGAGGCCGCGGCGGGCAGGGCCGGCCCAGGGACCAGCGGCTGAGCCAGGAGAAGCCGGTCAGCCTGGAGCTCGTGGAGCGCAGGCTGCGTCCCTGGAAATAAAACGAGTTTCCGCTTCGAACTCTCGGAAGGAAAACGGGAGGGGCGGACGGGAGCAGCAGGGAGGCGCCCTCGGCTCAGGCCGTATCCGCAGGGAAGGGACCGTGACGCCACGCCGCACACCGCAGCCGAGGGAGGGACTTCATGGCCACGGCACAACAGCGAGGACAGACAGCAGGCAGCGCAGCTGGAGCCTCGGCAGCAGGTCAGGACTGGTCCCGGGCGACGGCCCTCTGTACACGTGGCCTGGCCCGTGGGCACCGCTATCTCACACGCTTCTCCACGGAGTACACGGACATGTAGTAGTCGTTGCTGCCCACGGCGAGGTGAGGCTGCGAGGAGAGGGGCGGGGAGTGGTGAGCGGGGAGCGGGCCCAGGAGCGGCAGGTGCAGAGCTGACGGGCCGGGCTGTGGCCTCCAGCGGGACGTAGTGTGTCGTCCCCCAACCCCCACCCAGCTGGAACCCACAAGGGCCTGGTCCCTGAGCCTCTTGGGGCCCCGGGGGTGCTCTGGGGACCCAATGCCGTGCACGTGTATGCGTGTGTATGCATGTGGGGGATCCCTCCAGGGGTGATGAGAGGGCGGGTGGCTCACGTTACTGCAGCTGGGCCTTCCCCAAGGACGGGGTGCTGCCTCAGAGGGAGGGTGGTGGGGGCCAGGAAGGTGGGGGATGGCTGCAGCCACCCGCTCGCTGCTGGCCCTCCGGTGCCCGCCCCGCCCCGCCCGCCGGGCGTGGGGACAGACCCAGTACGGGTGGAAGGCCAAGCAGCTGATGGCGCCGACGCGCTGGCCCATGAAGCCGTCGTAGTACTTGATGCTGTTGATGAGCTCGCCGGTCCCGCTGTAGACGGCGGTGAACTGGTTCACGGAGCCGCTGCGGGCAGAGGGGGCCGTCAGCGCCTGCTGGGGGGGGGGATGGGGTCCAGCCTGTGGGGCCGGGCGGCCAGCCGCGGGCAGCAGGGTCTGGGCACCTACCAGGCGATGAGGTTGGCCTGGGGGTGGATGTCCAGGGCCGTGAGCCCCTTGACGATCTGCAGCACGCTCACGGACTCCGGCATCCGCGGGTCGAAGAAGCGCACGTCCCCGTTCACGCTGCCGGGAGGGGGGCGCAGTGAGGGAGGGCGCCCGCCAGCCCGGACGGGCCCCGTGAGGCCCCCCTGACCCGGCCCCCAGGACCTCAGCGCAGGGCAGAGCTGGGAGCTCCGCTCCCTGTCCCCGAGGAGGGACTGTGCTGCAGGGCACTGGGTGGCCGCTCTCCCCCATGCTCCGTGTTGAATACATGGGAGACAGTGGCGGCCGTGACAGTAAATGACACCTGCCGTCCCTTTAAGGGCAAAGGAACATTTGTGGCACCGGCGCGGGTGGCACCGGCGGCCGAAGCTGGTTTAACCGGTGCACGGCTGTGGCTCAGCAGGAACCCCACAGCCAGGCGCCAGCGGAGGCCCTGTGCCCACTAAGGGGCACGCCTCCCCCCCTCCCCGCACCCCCTCCCCGCAGGCTCTCGCTGCCCGAGGCTCCAGGGGCAGACCGAGCAGCCCGCCCGGGAGGGCCCCTCGGCCGGTGGACGTTTCCCAGTGGGAATGCTGCCTCGCAGCCGCCCGGCCGCACCTGACGCTCACGATGTGGCCCTCAGGGCGCTTCTGCAGGCAGGCCTTCACCACCCAGGCCGTGTGCTCCCGGAAGGTCATGACGCGGCTGCGGGCAGAGCGGGCACAGGTCAGAGCCCGGGCGGGCAGAGCGGGCAGAGCGGGCACAGGTCAGAGCCCGGGCGGGCAGAGCGGGCAGAGCGGGGACGGGTCAGAGCCCGGGTCAGGGGCAGAGCGGGCACAGGTCAGAGCCCGGGCGGGCAGAGCGGGCACAGGTCAGAGCCCGGGCGGGCAGAGCGGGCAGAGCAGGCACGGGTCAGAGCCCGGGCGGGTCAGAGCCCGGGCAGGTAAGTGGGGGACGCGGGACCTGCCAGCTGTCACCTACCAGCCCCGGCCTCGGGACGGTGGCGGACAGCGGACAGCAGCTCCTCAGCACCCACACAGGTGCCCTCACCCACCCACCTGCCCCACTGCGGCCAGGCACGTGGTCCCGACGCCACGGCTGCTCATGTGTGACCCAGAGGGGTGGGCAGCAGCCTCCCCGGGACCTGAGCTCGGGAGGCAGCGCCTGGCTGGACACGCCTCACCTTCCCATGGCCCGCCCACGCTCCCAGGCGTGAGGCCTCTGTGGAGTGCCCGGCGCCTCGGGGCTCCCTCCTCTGGGCCCCGCAGCCTGGCAGAGCTGTGACCACGGGCCCAGGCCCCGGGCGGGCGGGCGCAGCCGCATTACCACTCGCTGAGGGCCATCCTCCGGTCGAAGACACGGACGGAGCCGTCCCCGAGGCCGGCCACGATGAGGGACCGCTGGGAGTCGCAGGACAGGCTGGTCACACAGCTGTCGGCGCCCGTGGGGATGTCCTAGGGCGAGCAGAGACCTGAGCCGCCGGCCAGGGACCGCGCCTGCTCCCCCGGGGACCTGAGGGGCCGCAGAGCCCGGGCACCTGCAGCCGCTAGGGATGGAGTCAGGCCACTGGGGCCCGACTGGCAGGCCAGGCCGCACCAGGCCCAGCAGGGAGCCATGCCGAGACCTGGGCCCCGGTGCAGAGGGCAAACAGGCTGTAATGACTGCTTTCTGAGACAACTCCCTGGCTCCCTCTCTCCTGGAAAGACCAGCCCTTGGGGCATAGAGTCCTCAGCTCCTCTGGACGCCTGCTGCCAGGGCGGGTCCGGGAGCTCCAGCCCACACAGGCCTGGCGGCAGTGAGGGCAGGAAGAGCAGAGGAAGCGAGGCCCAGAGAGGGCGGGGCCTCAGCCCGGGGTGGGGGTGGGGCCCAGGAGGCTCGGCTATCCCATGTGCTCCTGGCCCTTCGTTAGAGGGAAGCCAGAGGCACCACAGGAAGCACAGGACCAGCCGGCTGGTCCCTGCTCTGACCGCCTGGCTTGCGCGGTCCTCGGCGTCTGGGATGGGCGGGTCAGCCCACTGTCACGCCGGGCAGGGAGCTGCCTCGTGACCCGGTCCGGATGCCACGGTCTGAGGCTCCGGTGCCCAGGCCCCGCCCCTCCCCCCTGCCCCCGACAGGTCCCGGCTCAGTGGCCGGCGGTACCTGCACTTTCATCTCCCGGTCCGTGTCCCAGATGCGCACGATCCGCACGTCCCCCGAGCTCATGAGGAGGCCGGTCTCCTGCTCCCAGTCCACCACCATGCCAGCACCTGGGGAGACGCATGTTCACCTGGGAGCCTGCCCTGGGCATGCCGCCCGGCACAGGACCCAGACCCGGTGCGCCCACGTCCGGGCGGGCAGCAGTGCAGGCGCCCCCAGACCCTGGGCCCAGGCGCTGCCGGAGGGACAGGCCTCTGTCCAGCGGGCGCCGTCCGGGCCCTGGGAGCTTGGGCTGCAGTGCTCCCGAGGCCGGCCCACCGAGGCCGGAGCGCCCTTCCCACGCGGGAGGGACCGTGACGAGCAGCCGCAGCCCTGGAACAGGACCGGGTTTAACGTGCTGTCGTCAGTCGTCACCAGGGGTGTCCCCACTGACTGACGGAGAGACAGACAGACGGACCCGGTTTAACGTGCTGTCGTCAGTCGTCACCAGGGGGTGTTCCCCACTGACTGACAGAGACAGACGGACGGACAGACCAGGTGCCTCCAGCAGCGCCCGGAGAGGGCTGGGATCGAACCTGCAACCAGGTACGTGCCCTTGGCTGGGATGGACCTTTGACGCTGCGGCCCCGGCTGACCCTGACCACGTGGCCACCCTGGGGGCAGGGTAAGATCTGGCCTGAACGTTTACGTGCAGGAGAGAACACGGAGAAATCCCGGACCCGCCGCCAGGTCTCACGGGTGGCGCTAGCGTTCTGCTTTTCGTTAGAAGTGTTGTTTCAGACGCAGGAAAGCCTCCCGTGGCTGCTCCGCCCTGGGACGACCCTCCCTCGGGGCACCTCCCAGTGCCACCTCCGGTGTCGCCCGAGCCCGGCTCCGCCTGCGGAGAGCCCCTCAGACAGCCGCTCAGGAGGCCCTGCGCGCCCCTTCCAGGCTGCACAGCCGCTGGCCCCCTGCCGAGACCCAGCCCTGCGTCCTGCTTCCAGACGCGGGGGCAGTGTCTCCCTGACCGGACCCTGTCCTTCCTCTGAGCAAACCCCGCCGGCCCCACCCGAATTCCACCGGTCCCGCCCGGACCCCACTGGCCCCGCGCGGACCCCGCTGAGCCCCGCCCATAACCCTGCCAGCCCGTCCGGACGCCGGCATCCCTGCCCGCCCCGCTGAGCTGCCTGACCCCACCGGCCCCGCACGGCCCCCGCCCGCCCTGCACGAACCCCACCATCCCCGCCCGGCCCCCGTCGGCCCCGCTGTGCTGCCTGCCCGTGGAGAATGAGCCACCGGACAGACAAGGACAAACAGTCGCTGGGAGGCTGGCCAGGCTCTGGCCCCGGGCAGGGGTCAGTGTCACGGGGGGGGAGGGGGGCGGGGGGGAGCTTCTGTTGGTGGGAGCATCGCCTGTGCACCAAGAGGTCGCTGCCCACTCCCTGGCCGGGCACACGCGGGCAGCCAGGCCGCTCCTCTCTCTAAGGGCCAATACAGACGCACCTGGAAAAGCCCGACGCGGCACCTGGCCCAGGGAGGCTCCCCTCTTTACAGTCACCGGCATGGGGAGACCCAGCGGGAACCGTAACAGACAGGGCGGCATGGCACAGACACCACGAGAGCCAGTGTCCCAATGGGCCTGCCGACAGCAGCGCCACCTGTGGATGTCGCTGTCCCCACCCAGGCCCACAGCGCCCCTTGCCTGTCTCCTCCTCGGGACCCTGTTGGATGTGGCTTCCGCCGAGTCAGCACCCCCCCCCCCCCCCCATCCTCTGCCCTCAGCCCCACTGCTGCTGCACCTGGCGCTCAGCAAGCCGCCCTGCGCGTCTCCGACGGAAACAGACGCTGCCCGAGGCCGCCCGAGGAGTCTCCGCTGCCCGAGGTTCAGGTGGGAAACAGCCTCGCTCTGGGCCCTGGAGCAGCCCCCTGGGCCTGAGGGCCGGGAGGCGGCCGGCCCCTCGCCAGCAGATGGCGCCCTGCTCTTCCCATTCCTGGGCCAGTGGGCGGCTTGGAGGACAGAATGGGGCCCTCCAGGGGCTCGGGGTTGGGGGTGAGATTCGGAGCGGCCGCTGGAGGGCCACCGTGGAGGGAGGAGGCGCCGGAGGGCGGCCCTCGGGAGGCTCCCTCCGAGGCGGGGGGTCGGTCAGGGCTCTGTGCTCCCTGACGCACCAGGCGGCGCTCGGCGCTCGCTGGCTGGCGTCCTTGGATTGGACGGATCTGTGTGATCGGGGGGAGGGAGAACCCAGCCCTGACTCTGCTGCCCTGAGGGACGGCGCCAGCAGGAGAGGGCGGCGCCCGCGGCCCTGGGCGGCCCGGGGGCAGAGGGCACTCACCTCCCTGCTTACTGTGGTCAAGATAGATGGAGACCTTTCGGGCCAGACCTGCGAGGAGACAGGGACGTGGTCTGACGGGAGGCGAGTGGCCGGGCGCACTGGCCCAAGCAGACTGAGGACGGCTCAGCACCGGCAGCGGGGCGGGCGGGGGGGCAGGTGGAGCGGCCGCCTCGCGTTCACCTGACAAGCACCCGCTGGGCCGGCGGGGCTTTGCCTCCAAACGGCCTGTGTCTGGAGGGAGTCGGAGGGGCTGTGGCCACGGCGCCGCATGTCCGTGTGCCGGGGCTTGGAAGTGCCCATGTGCAGGCGGGTGGCCGGGGGAGGGGGTCCAGTGGGGAGACGTGGGGACGTTCGGGGGGCAGACGGCGCCGGGTGGTCTTAGAAACAAGGTGAGGCTGAGGCAGGGCCCGCGAGCTGCCTGGCACGCCAGCTCCCGCCAGGCCGGCAGGCCAGGGAAGGGAATGCTGTGTGCTGGGTGGGTGCCGGCTGACAGTTTCTGAAAAGCGAGGCTTCGTTCTGACCCGCGCCGTGCTGCCGCCCAGAGCTGCCCGCTGGCAGCAGGTCCCCCCGAGTCGCCTTAAGGCTCAGACAGGGCGGGGGCAGAAGCCTCTGGCTGCAGCACCGGGCAAGGGAGGGAGACGAGGCCCCGGAACCCAGCTCTGACAGCCCGCCCCACCCTGAGCCGTCACTGCTGTGGGCACAGCGAGCCGTGAGCGGAGGCCTCGAGATCCTTGTGACCCGACCTGGCTCCTGGAGGACAGCGGGCAAGGGCCGGTCACCCACTGCGCACGCGGCCAGACCCCCCACCTAACAGGCAGCATGCAGAGCTGTGCCTGCAGGGTCACGGCCAGCGCACCCTCAGCACAGGGGCCGGGCTAGGCCAGGCCAGCGCACCCTCAGCATAGGGGCCAGGCCAGGCCAGCGCACCCTCAGCACAGGGGCCAGGCCGGGTCAGGCCAGCGCACCCTCAGCACAGGGGCCAGGCCGGGTCAGGCCAGCGCACCCTCAGCACAGGGGCCGGGCTAGGCCAGGCCAGCGCACCCTCAGCACAGGGGCCAGGCCAGCTCAGGGGCCAGGCGAGCACATGGCTCCAGCCCCGACATAAGCACACGCCAGCGATCCCTGCGCACCCACCCCACAAAGGGGGCTAATTTGGGTGCAAAGAGCACAGAACGCAGCCCCCAGCCCCGTCAGCAGCATCTTTTTCCCCAGCACACCCCTGCCAGACGGGGACGAGGCTGAGGACAGGCACGCAGGCTAGGGACGCCCCAGGTCAGAGGTCAGCCTGACGCCCCTGCACAGCCGCCCCTCCCAGGTATTATAGAATGCTCTGTGGAGACGGGGAGCCGGCCGGCTCACGATTCCAGGACTGGCCTTGACACTGACCTCGGTTTGTGGGCAGCATGTCCGAGAGCCCCTGCCACGCAGTCACCATTTCTGGATTCTTCTCCAAATCAGCAAAATTTTTCCAGACTCTGATGGCGCCATCATCTTGGGAGAGGAGAGAAGGCGATCAGCGCGCAGGGGCTCCCTGGCCCGCCGAGGAGCCATGAGGAGCCACGGAGATGCTCGTCGCCTGGCGGAGGCCTGGCCCCCGGCAGGCTGTCCCCGAGGGCGGCTCCCGAGGGCCCGGTGCCTGGGATGGAGGGACCGGGGGCCGGCAGCGGCTTCTCAGCCGGCAGCAGAGCCATGTCTGCAGCGCTGCGGGAGGCGATGTCGCCCGGTGGCTCAGTGGGCAGACCGGGTCCTGGGGTGAGGCCGAAGAGCCGGCACTCCAAACGGGAGAGTGGGCCTGCCGCTGGTGTGGGCTGTGGCTGGAGGGACGGTGAGGGTCACCGCCAGGCAGAGGGCCCGGCGCCCGGCCTCCCTCCACCTGGCCACAGGCTTTGCGGAGGCTGGGGGGGACAGGCCTCCGGCGCCTCTCAGGGCAGGGACAAGAGGGTCCCCAAGGCGGACACTGTCCCGAGGCCCTGCCGGCCCTGGTCATGGCTCCCCACTGCCTGGAGGAGCCCTCGCCCTCCTGACGCAGGGCCTTCCTGTGCCTCCGGGAACACCGGTCCCGGCACGCTGCCTGTGCTCACCTGTGGCCGTGAGCAGCAGCGAGCAGTCCTGGCCGTTGAGGTACTCCATGGCGGTGACCCGTGTGTACCGTGGGTTCCCGTTGTGGAAGTAGTCCAGCTTCTCCCCTTTCTCCCAGTCCCAGAAGCTCCAGGGAGAGAGGGGCAGCGATGAGGCCGGGACGCCGCCTCCCGCCGCCAGGACGGCCGTCATGGCCCCCAGCCCCCGCCCCCGCCCGGGAGCCGTGCGCACACTCACCAGATGCTGTCCTTGTCCGCGACGGCCACGCAGGGCGTGAAGGGGTGGAACTTGACCACGGAGGGGACGCCAGGGTTCCTGTTCAGGAAGATCTGGTCGTCCAGCCGTGTGATGCCTGCGCAAGGGACGGCGGCCTCAGCCCCAGCCAGACGCGGGCCTGCACCGGGCCCGGGCGGCCGCCCCCTCCTGAACATCATGCAGGAGCCGCATGTGGGGCACCCAGGCTGGGGGTGTGTGCGGGAGCCGTGTGCGGGGGCACCCAGGCTGGCAGTGCGGGCGGGAGCCGTGTGCGGGGGGCACCCAGGCTGATGGCGCGGGCGGGAGCCGTGTGCGGGGGGGCACCCAGGCTGGGGGCGCGGGCGGGAGCTGTGCGGGGCACTCAGGCTGGCGCGGGCGGGAGCTGTGCGGGGCACTCAGGCTGGCGCAGGCGGGAGCTGTGCGGGGCACCCAGGCTGGGGGCGCGGGCGGGAGCTGTGCGGGGCACTCAGGCTGGCGCGGGCGGGAGCTGTGCGGGGGCACCCAGGCTGGGGGCGCAGCGGGAGCTGTGCGGGGGCACCCAGGCTGGGGGCGCAGCGGGAGCTGTGCGGGGCACCCAGGCTGGGGGCGCAGCGGGAGCTGTGCGGGGCACCCAGGCTGGGGGCGCGGGCAGGAGCTGTGCGGGGCACTCAGGCTGGCGCGGGCGGGAGCTGTGCGGGGGCACCCAGGCTGGGGGCGCAGCGGGAGCTGTGCGGGGGCACCCAGGCTGGGGGCGCAGCGGGAGCTGTGCGGGGCACCCAGGCTGGGGGCGCAGCGGGAGCTGTGCGGGGGCACCCAGGCTGGGGGCGCAGCGGGAGCTGTGCGGGGCACCCAGGCTGGGGGCGCAGCGGGAGCCGTGTGTGGGGGGCACCCAGGCTGGTGGTGCGGGCAGGAGTCGTGTGCGGGGGGCACCCAGGCTGGGGGCGCGGGCGGGAGCTGCGGGGCACCCAGGCTGGCGGCGGCAGGTGCTCACCCCGCTGGAGGAGCTGCTGCGCCTGCCTCCGCACACGGCTGTTGCGCAGGAACCGCCACTCGCGCTCCTTGCGGATCTGACTCTCCAGGTCGTGCTCCTCCGGGATCTGCAAGAGCGACGCCGCATGAACACCGAGGGCAGCAAGGCCGCTCCCAGGCGCAGAGGCCCGCCGCCCGCCCGCCCGGGCCCTCCTCTGGTTGGAAGCGCCGAGGAGTGTGACCGGAGCCGGGGGGCCTCGGGGGCAGCTGGGCCCGGGGCGCTGGTCCTTCTCGGGAGCCGGCGTGGCCACCAGGAGGGCCGAGCGCAGACCCGGAGCCGTAGCCGAGCGCGGAGGGCCAGCAGCCAGTCCACACGCCCCGCAGCCACGTCTCTACCCGTGGCTCCGGGTCCGTCTTCTCAGAGGCTCGGCTCCCCGTCCTTCATCCTCACTGAGGAGCCAGCGCCTTGCCGCCACCACGGCTTCCTTCCTGGCCTCTCCTGGTCCCACTCAGGGCGGGCGCGCTCCGGCTCGCTCACGCAGGCGTGAGGGGCTGCGGCCCCCGTCCCTGTGCCCCCTCCCCGCCCCGGGAACACAGTGTCTTAGTTGAGAATCGACAGCCCGCTGCTCCAGACCGACTCCCGGCTGCGTGTCCCCCTGGCCAGTGTCGCCTGCCACCACGCCCCGTGTCCCGATCGCCTGGGCTCGAGACCGTGAGTCCAGCCACGACCGCGTCGCCTGTCCGGGCTGTCTGGTCTCTGCTCCCCGCGCACCTGAGCCTGTGCCGCGGTTTCTAAAGCCCCCGGGACTTTGACTGAGACCGTATTGATTCACATCAATTCCGGGAAAACATGCTGAGTCTCTCGGCCACGAGCAGGTCTCCATTGATCGGGGCGGTTCCTCCCCGGCGTTTGGACTTGCCAGCAGAGGACTGGCACGCCGTTCTTTGGGGTTTGTATCCAGAAGCTCTGTGTTCCCGCGGGTGCCGCTGGGAGCACGGTTGTGTGACGCGCGGCGCTGCCCGGGGGCCCCTCCCTTCCTGGGGCAGCACGCTGCCGAGCACCTGGGGCCCGTGCCCACGCCAGTGCCACACGCACGGGTCTGCCTCCCGCCACCAGCCCTCCGCGGCTCCCGCAGGGTGTGGCCGCCGCGGCCTGATCCTGCTTCTCGAGGAGGAACCGGGACAGGCCCTGGCGCCCTGCGAGGGGAGTCCCCACCCGCCTGCCCAGCGCGGTTATTGGGAAGGGATGCTGGGTCCTGCCCCTCCCCGCTCTTCAGCTAGGAGGCGCCCCACTCCCTCTGCTCCGCTGGTGCAGTCACCATAGGAGCGCGGAGCACGCCGGGCCCACTGCCTTCCCGGGGCAGAGCCTGTCACCCCGTGACCGTGTCCTGTTTGCCGCGGCCGCTCTGCTAGTTACGTGGGGACACGTTAGGAGGGACACTGGCTTGAGGACTTCACTCTCACTAGGCCTCTGACAGGTGCGGTCCCAGGGGGTCCACTGTGGGGCAGGGCACGAGGCTGGCACTGCCAGGGGCATGGCCGACAGCACGAGGGGCTGAGCACAATCCCTGTGCCCTCCGCAGTCAGAACAAAGTTCAACGCGTCCGCTTTAAAGCACACGACAGGCCGTGCCTAACGCTCTTCCTGAAGCAGGTGTGAGCTCCGGGAGCCGGGGGGAGTGTGAGCTCCGGGAGCCGAGGGGGGAGTGTGAGCTCCGGGAGCCGAGGGGGGAGTGTGAGCTCCGGGAGCCGGGGGGGAGTGTGAGCTCCGGGAGCCGAGGGGGGAGTGTGAGCTCCGGGAGCCGAGGGGGGAGTGTGAGCTCCGGGAGCCGAGGGGGGAGTGTGAGCTCCGGGAGCCGAGGGGGGAGTGTGAGCTCCGGGAGCCGAGGGGGGAGTGTGAGCTCCGGGAGCCGAGGGGGGAGTGTGAGCTCTGAGATCCGTGTGTGTGTGTGTGTGTGTGTGTGTGGGGGGGGGGGGTGTCTCATCCATCGAGGGGGGCCCTGTCCGGACGCAGCTCTTCTCGGCCGCTCGGCCTGGGAGAAGGCCCTGAGACGGGAAGAAGCTCCAGCAAACACGGCCGCTCTGCCATGTGCCGGGGACTCGGCCTCGCTAATCAGGGTCACGTGACGGAGCTGCGGACAGCTCTGCTGGGGAGCACGCAGGTCCTCAGACCGAGGGTGGGGCGGGGTGTGTGTGTGTGTGTGTGTGTGTGCGCTTCATTTCTGAGGGGCAGTCCCAGCCTGGAGCTATTGCTAGTTCCCACGTGATGCAGGCTAATGGAAGAGTCCCCATGCATGTCACCGCACACACGTGCCATCAGACAGCAAGCTGAGCCCACGGAAGCACAGGGGACGGAGAAAACAAGGAGAGAACACGCTCTAGCACAGATATCCAGTGAACACACAGGAAACTGCCAAGTCCGACGCTCCCCAGCCCGCCGCCCCAGAACTGCAGCCGCAGCGTCATACCACGGCCTCACGCCAACGCCGCGCCCCGAGGCCCCGGCACCGGGCAGTAGCCAGGCGTGGCAGCCACGGGGCCATCTGTGTGCACGTGACAGCGACACCCGCAGCCCGAGGCCGGCGCTGCGGGCGCTTCCTGCCTGACTCAGGCCCATGCTCTGGGCCGCCCGCCCGAGGGGGAACCAGACCCGCTCAGCGCAGACAGACGCTGAGACGGCGCTTCCCGCCCCCGGCCGCGCACCTTCATGACGGGCTGCGCGAAGTACCGGGCGCTCCAGTCGCAGAAGCCCGTCTGCATCGCGGCCGAGATGAAGCTCTTGTGGCCGGTGTCGTCCGGGTCGTCCGCGGGCTTCCAGGTGCGGGGGAGGGGAAGAGACAAGTGAGCCTGTGACCCCCGTTTCTGTGCCCCGGAGCCGCTCGGAGCAGACAGGCAGGTCTGGCTGCTGCGTCCCGTAGGCCTGGGGCCGTGGGGCTGGGGCCGAGTGACAAACAGGCTGTAGGAGCCAGCATTAGGCGGCCACCTGAGTCTGCGCCCTAGGAACCCTGGGGCAGGAGGGGTGGCCTGGCTGTCCCTGTCCTGAGCGGTTGGGTAGGCCCCTGGGCGCCTGGTCACCGGGCCCCACAGGCCCCGGCCATGTGGTGTGGGCTGCACTCAGACCGGTCCCCGGTCCCCAGGGCGTGAACCCATCAGGAGTCTGAGCGTGAGAGCCACGGCCGCACGCAGGCGCACCTGGTCGGGGCCCTTGTCGAACATCTTCCGTGTGCGGGGGAACTGGTGGGAGTGGGGCGTGTACTGTGCCCCCGTGGGCCCGGCGGCGCCCAGCCGGCCCGCAGGCAGCTCACGGCTGCCTGGCTGCTTGGCCACATCGTTGGTGGGGCTGGAGCTGCTGGTGCTGGACGTTGGCGGGGAGCCCCTGCCGTTGGGGAGAAGGAACCCGGCGTCACCGAGACCCGCCAGGGACACCAAACACCAGCCGCTTCGCCGGACCCTCCGCCCGGCCCCCGTCAGCTGTGATGCCGCGGGGAGCCCAGCAGGTCCTGGGGGCCCACTGGCGCCAGAGGAGAGGAGCGGGAGGGAGGCGAGGACAGGAGGCAGCCCTGGGACCTAGCGCAGCCCCGAGGACGGCCGAGCCGCACTCACCCCGCGTGCTGGATGTGCACGCCCTTGTTGGTGGGGCTGGCGGGCGCCGACTGGGTGAGGGAGGCCGTGCTGAGGATGTGCTGCGGCCGGGCGTTCACGGTGGCCTGAGAGCAGAGGACGGTGCCCCGTCAGCCGGGACGAGCTGGGGCCACAGCCAGGTGCGGGCTGGGGCCTTCCGAGCCGCCTCAGCTTGCGGGTAAGATGACCCGAGGGCAGCGGGGCCCGGGCTGCCTCCTTGCCATGGGGCAGCAGGGCCGAGGGGAGGAAGCTGCGAGCTGGGGGCCGAGGGCCGCAGCACCTGTGGGTCTAGCACTGCACCAACGAGAGGACTGCCCTCCTGGTCCTGGCACTCGGGAGCGGAGAGGGAACTAGAAGGGCTTTTGGTTCTGCTGCAGCTGGAGGGCAGGAGTGAGCAGTCAGGCCCGGGGCGGCCAGCGGGGCCCGGGACGGAGCGGGCAAGGTTGGGGCCGATTCGGTAGGCAGTGGCGGGAAACGCCCGGTGCCCGACGGAAGCTCAGGTGGGTGTCGGGTTCGGAGCCGTGTCTGAGCGAGGACGGGCCTGGGGGCCAGGAGCACGCACCTTGTAGGCGATGCTGTTGAGCACCTTCATGGCCAGGTCCGACACGTCGGGGTAGGGGTCAGCGGCCAGGTGCAGCAGCACGCGCCAGATCTGCGTGTACACGCTGTTGAAGGAGACGCCTGGGGGAGGGGAGACGGGTCAGGAGCAGGGGCTGTCTCCGGGGGCAGGGCCACGGCGAGACAGCTGCTCCGGGCTCTGATGGAGCGACGGAAGGTTCCGGCAGCTCCCTCGCGATGAAGCGACTCGTGTCACCAGCTCCAAGCTGGGTGAGGGCACCTCTCCCGTCCCGCCCGGGCGGCCAGGCCCATGGGCCCGGGACCTCACCTATGAGGGAGTTGAGCGCCGAGTAGGAGCTGACCCTGCGCATCTTGTCGATGGTCTCGAAGGACAGGATGTACTCCTCGTTCTCAGGGCTGCCCAGCGTGCTGCTGGCGCTGCTGCTGGCGCTCAGGTTCCCGGGGGAGAAGGCCACGGCGCCACCCGCTGCGGCACACGGAGGGCGTCAGTCCGGGGCCCAGACCCCGTTGGTCCCACGCTTCCCGGCATATGGACACCGTGGGGCCACTGCCCCCCCAAGGAGACCCAGCTGTGGGGCACCGGGCGGGGGAGGGGGCTCGGAGCCACGTCTATGGCAGAGAAGGGTGGCACCTGATTCCTCAGCGCCCGGCCCCAGCCCCCGGCTCCGCTCTCACCTTCCTCCGTGAGGCTCAGGTTCTGCAGGGACTTGTTCAGGCTGCGGGCGGAGGTGACGGCGCGGATGTTGCCGTAGGAGCTCACCGAGCGCAGCCGGGGGGCACAGGGGCTGTCGCGCACGGGGGTCAGGCTCCCGCTCTCTGGGGGAGGGGAGACCGCGTTCACCGAGGGCGTCGGGAGCCGTGCGAAAGCCCCCACCCCCGCCCACGCGTGCAGCGAGGGTCTGACACAGGCAGCCAGCAGCTGCCCAGAGTCACGAGGGGAGCAGAGGTGACCACGGTGGTTTGGTGAGCAGGCCGTGGCCGCACCAGATGCCCTGCGAGTTGGCGCTGGCAGGACCCCGGCTGCCCTCTGGTGGGGCACGTGCACCCTCGGGTCCCTCCCTGACGCGTCGCTAGGGATCACGAGCCCCCTTCCCGGGAGGCAGGATGGCGGAGTTTGGGGGAGGGGCGGGACAATGAGGCAGACTTGGTAAAAGGCCGGTGTGAGAGGAGGCGCTGCCTAACGTGCCTCCGAGCCAGGACCCCACACCACGATGGTATTGTCACCACAGGGCCCGCGTGCTGAGCCCCGGCCTCGTCATCCCCATGAATCTCATTCCAAAAGGGTGAGGGCAGGCCAGGCAGAGGGTCAGAGCATCTCCCGTTCTCTGTCCTGCTCAGCGCCGGGGAAGGGGCCGGCCACTCAGAGCGGGCGTCTGGGTGGCGAGGATGTGACACTTACGCCAAGTTCTGGCAGAACTGAGGGCGCTCACGGTCTGACAAGGGCCCCGGGCAGCGGCCGGGGGCTGGGCCACGGGCGAACCCGTGGTGGCGGGCGAGGGCAGCGGCCGGGGGCTGGGCCACGGGCGAACCCGTGGTGGCGAGGGCAGCAGCCGGGGGCCGGGCCGGGGCGAACCCGTGGTGGCGGGGGGCAGTGGGCGGGGGCCGGTCCGGGGCGGGGGGCAGTGGGCGGGGCCGGTCTGGGGCGAACCCGTGGTGGCGGGGGGGCAGCGGGCGGGGCTGGGCCATGGGCGAACCCGTGGTGGCCGGGGGCAGCGGGCGGGGCCGGTCCGGGGCGAACCCGTGGTGGCGGGGGGCAGCGGGCGGGGCCGGGCCACGGGCGAACCCGTGGTGGCGGGGGGCAGTGGCGGGGGCCGGTCCGGGGCGAACCCGTGGTGGCGGGGGGCAGTGGGCGGGGCTGGTCCGGGGCGAACCCGTGGTGGCGGGGGGGCAGTGGCGGGGGCCGGTCCGGGGCGAACCCGTGGTGGCGGGGGGCAGTGGCGGGGGCCGGTCTGGGGCGAACCCGTGGTGGCGGGGGGGCAGTGGGTGGGGCCGGTCCGGGGCGAACCCGTGGTGGCGGGGGGCAGCGGGCGGGGCTGGGCCATGGGCGAACCCGTGGTGGCGGGGGGCAGCGGGCGGGGGCCGGGCCATGGGCGAACCCGTGGTGGCCGGGGGCAGCGGGCGGGGCCGGTCCGGGGCGAACCCGTGGTGGCGGGGGGCAGCGGGCGGGGGCCGGGCCGCGGGTGTACCCGTGGTGGCGGGGGGCAGTGGCGGGGCCGGTCCGGGGCGAACCCGTGGTGGCGGGGGGCAGCGGGCGGGGCCGGTCCGGGGCGAACCCGTGGTGGCGGGGGGCAGCGGGCGGGGGCCGGGCCACGGGCGTACCCGTGGTGGCGGGGGGCAGCGGGCGGGGGCTGGGCCACGGGCGTACCCGTGGTGGCGGGGGGCAGCGGGCGGGGGCCGGTCCGGGGCGGGGGGCAGTGGGCGGGGCCGGTCTGGGGCGAACCCGTGGTGGCGGGGGGCAGTGGCGGGGGCCGGTCCGGGGCGTACCCGTGGTGGCGGGGGGCAGTGGCGGGGGCCGGTCCGGGGCGAACCCGTGGTGGCGGGGGGCAGTGGGCGGGGGCCGGTCCGGGGCGAACCCGTGGTGGCGGGGGGCAGTGGCGGGGGCTGGGCCGGGGCGTACCTGTGGTGGCGGGCGAGGGCAGGGGGTAGTTCTTCTCCTCCTCCATGAACTGCAGGGCCACGGAGCAGAAGTTGCTCTCGTACTGGACCACCAGGTGCGTCAGCGCCACCACCAGCTCCTGGGAGGGAGGCTCGGTCAAACGCCGCGAGCAGCAGCGACCTGACGGCGGCTGGAGCACGTGGCGGGGAGAAGAGGGCGGAGACAGCACTGCGCTCGGCCGGCAGCGGGACGGCAGCGGGACACCGCTCCGGGCCCTCGGCCGGCGGGCGGGGCCTGGTAAAGGCCGTGAGGAAGCGGCACACGCACGTCCGGGGCAGCGCGCCCTGGAGGGTCAGGCGCGGGCTGAGCGCTCGCGGCTGCGGACAGGGTCACGGCTCGGGCAGGCACGCACCTTCCGCACCACGGGGCTCCCGTCGCTGATGAGCTGGGCCAGCATCATGGCCACGTTGTGGTCGATGGTGGTGGAGTGGTCCGTCCTCTCGGCAGAGTTGCCCACAAAGGTGCCGAGGGCAAAGACGGCCGCACAGCGCACCTGCGGGAGGCACAGGTCACCACCTGCCCACCCGCCCGCCCGCCCACCCTGCTGGGGAAGGCGGGGCCTCGTGGCCCAGGGTTCAGGGGACGGGCTGTGGGCGCAGCTTCCGGGCGCCAGGCCCACCTGGTGGGGCAGCCCCTTTAGAGGTGCTGTCCCAGGGGCGCCCCTTCACCCACACGCCCGGCAGGACCAGCTGTGCCCGGGCCTGGGGGACCCACCTCCGGGACGGGGTCCGAGAGGAGGCTGCAGAGCTTCTCCTGGGCGCTGTCCCGCACCCCGCACCACCGGGCCGAGTCGAAGTTCTGCCAGATGCGGCCCAGGCAGATGGCCACCCACTGGCGCAGCAGGGGGTGGGGGTCGTTGAGCTGCTCCAGGCAGATGGCGATCAGGTTGCCCTGCAGGCAGGCTTCCTGTGGGGGGGGCGGGGGACAGCGTGGGCCCGGGGTCCCGGCCTCCCCTTTCTCAGAAACCTCGGTATGTCCCCCTTCCTAAGCCCCACCGTTTCAATGGCCCCCGCTGGTGGAAGGGGGCTCCGCCTCCACCCGCACCGTGGCACCCGGGCGTGGCGGCGGGAGGCGTGGCGGGCCCGGGCACCCACCTGGCCGGTGTTGTAGTTGTTGACGATCACGGCGAGGATGAAGGCCGTCATGGTCCTGTGCTCGGCCTGGAAAACAGAGGCCCCCCTAGCGGCACCTTCCCGGGGCTCCCGCCGCCCGCAGAGGCCGCTCAGACCACGTCCCAGCCTGCAGCCCAACAGCCCTTCCTCTGGGGGGTCTGCCAGCCACAGGGCCTCCCACCGCAGAGCGCACTGCTCCCGGTGCGGCCGCAGGACAGCCGCCCTGCGTTCCCGCTGCCCGTCAGGCCGGAGCAAAGGGGCCTGGCTCTGCTCCCTCTCCCGCTCTCCCTGGCGTCCGTGGACAGATCAGCTCGACACTCTGTCCCCGGCCGTGGGCTCAGGGGGTGAGTGTTGACTTATGAACCAGGAGGTCAGGGTTTGATTCCGTCAGGGCACAGGCCTGGGCTGTGGGCTCCATCCCAGTAGGGGGCGTGCAGGGGGCAGCCTGGACACCAACAGGCCAGCCACGCCCTCCCAGGAGGAGCTGGCAGCTCCGAATGAGCACACCACGTCCAGGGCGCTGGGATAAGCGGGGTGGCAGCATGAGTGCGGCTCCCGGAGCGCGGCCCGCAGCTGGGGTGGCGACGGGGGCACCGTCTCTTGAGCCTCGAGGCGCCCGCAGCACAACAGGGAGAGCGACCCACACCATCTCCATCCAGCAGCCGGGGCCTCACCGGCATGTAGGGGTCGGCCAGGACCGAGAGGAAGTACTTGTGACCACTGTCCTTCACCAGGTCGGCTTGGCAGGACTGCGGAGAGAGGCAGAGGCTGCTCACACGTGCTTCCCGGGGCCGTGGGGAGAGGGCCGCCCTCACTCGCTCAGGAGTTCCTCCTGATAAGGGGGTGAGGCCGGGGCGGGGGCCTGGCCGCAAGACCAGCTCCTTTGCAGGCCTCCCCCTGCCACCCCTACGACCTCCTGCAGCGGCCCCGCCCACTCGGCAGCCACGCCCACGGGGGAGGAGAGGGCGGCTCACACTGTCCACGGCCAGAATCTTGGCCCAGATGAAGACGAGGAGGGGCCGCAGCTCGCGCGCCGAGCTCTGCAGCAGCTTGAGCACGTAGGGGAAGATGCCCACGGACAGGGCCTGCGGGAGGGTGCGTGTCAGCGGGAGCCGGTGCCGGGGGCGTGGGGCCAAGGCCGATGCGTGGCTTCGCAGATGGGCCGTGGGACGGGACAGCGGTGTCTCGCCCACAGACGGGGCTCCCTCGATTCCCAGGTCCGACTTCCTGTCTGGAAGCTGCCAGCTGGCCCGAGCCCCATCCTCACCCAGGGCCTGGCCTGTTCTCGGCAACAGGACTCAAGGCCCAGGACCCTCAGGTGTCACGGCGCTTGGCCCTCCACGACTCGCCCGCCACCCACAGGCACACGGACGGAGAGGGGCCTCCGGACAAGGGCACCCGTACGGGCAGTGAAGCACCTGGCGGAGGTCTCCTGCTCTCAGGGGCTCAGGGAGAAGACGGCCCTTAGTGAGGAGACGGGGGCAAAGCCCGCTGTGTCCGTTCCATCGGCTTTGTGCCGCCTTTTCTCCAGCGTGCTGGGCCTCCAGCCAGGTGCCCCCTCCCGGACAGGTGCCCCCCGGGGGACAGGTGCCCCCTCCCGGACAGGTGCCCCCCGGGGGACAGGTGCCCCCGGGACAGGTTCTCCCCCAGGACAGTGCCCTTCCTGGGGCAGGACACTGGCCTCGAGTCGGGCCACGCTTTTCCAGCCCCACACGCCCCCCTGGCCTGGCTCAGTCCCCGGGGCCAGAGCTAGTCCTGTGGGGTGAGCCTCGGGTGTGAAAACTCTGTGATGCTCCCACTGTCTCCCGCTCTTCCCACGTGAATGCGCGCGCTGACAGGTGTGCAGACCCTGCCATGGGCGCTGGGCCACCTGTGCAGCCGGACTGTCCCTCCCAGTCCCCTCCCCTTAAGGACTATGGCTCCGCCTCCTGCGGTGACATTACGTGAGGAGGAGACAAACAGCCACATGTGGAGATCAGAGAACGCGGACCCACACGGCTCGCCTGCTTCCAACGGCCCAGCCCCCACAGCCGTCCCGCCCCCTCAGCCGGCCGAGCACCGAGCAGCCACCCCACTTGGCTGTGAGCGTGGTGTTTACCTGGCCAGCAGCCCCCCAGACACAGGCCTGCCACCCTGCTCCCGTCATTGCAAACAGAAGCAGACGAGGCCCGCCCTGCGCCTGACAGGCAGGCCGGCCCCTCTCCCCGCAGCTCCCGCCTGGTCTGCTGGAACACGCACTGCTGCGCGGTTCCCGTTCTAACCGGCCGTGCCCCTCCTCTGCAGGGCAGCGGGAGAGGGCTCAGAGCCAAGAGGGACGCAGGATGAGGGCTCCTGGGGAACGGCCCTGTGGCTGGGGCGGGGCGGGCGGGGAGCCACAGGCTGGGGCCCTCTCCGTGCTGCAAGTGACACCCAACAGCAGCAGGTGGGACAGGAGGGCGGAACCAAACCCGACATGGCGGCCACAGGCCCACCTCGCCCTCCCAGGGCCTCACGGGCCACGCCCACGCCCCCCTCACCACAGGCAGCCGCTTCTGACTGCCCCGCAGACACGCACCAGGCTCACCGCCCAGGGGCCCAGGTCCAGGAAGCGCCCCAGCAGGTCCAGGGCTCTCAGCCGGTGCACCTGGCTCAGCAGCACCTGCGGGGAGAGGACAGGGGTCACAGCGGCACCTGCAAGGCCGTGCGGGGGCGAGGCTGGTCCCTCGGATCAACCCTCGTCCTGCACCGTGGCCCACGAGGGGCCGCTGTCCCTGCTGCTCCGGAGGCTCAGAGGCCAGGAGACACTGCTCTTCCCCCAGGTCACACCCAGGGTCACACCCACAGATACACCCATAGGCCACAGCCACAGGTCCACCCACAGGTGACACCCAGGGTCACACCCACAGATACACCCAGAGGCCACAGCCACAGGTCCGTCCACAGGTCACACCCAGGGTCACACCCACATACACCCAGAGGCCACAGCCACAGGTCACACCCACAGATACACCCATAGGCCACAGCCACAGGTCCGTCCACAGGTCCACCCACAGGTCACACCCAGGGTCACACCCACAGATACACCCATAGGCCACAGCCACAGGTCCACCCACAGGTCACACCCAGGGTCACACCCACAGATACACCCATAGGCCACACCCACAGGTCCACCCACAGGTGACATCACGCCTGGCTGCTGGGCTGCCTCTGACCAGCTCCCCGCAGCCCTTCTCTGACGCTCGGGCGGACTCGGCCACATCCCGGCCCAGGGCCGAGGCTCCGCTGCAGGTGCCTTCCAGCCCCGCTGGGCCGGGGCAGCCCTGTGAGGCTCGGGCCTCACCTGCAGCACGATGGGGAGCTGCTCGGGGGGGCTCCTGTTCTCCACGCCCATCGTCAGCCACACCTGGAAGGCGGTCAGCTGCTCGGCGAAGAACGGGCTGTGCTGTGGATGGAGGGGGCAGTTAGAACCCGCCTTCCCTACCGCACATGCCACACCCTTCAGCCCAGTCCCCGCGACTCCGCCTCCGCCTCCGCCACCGCCTCCGCCTCCGCCTCCGCCTCCGCCTCCGCCTCCGCCACCGCCTCCGCCTCCGCCTCCGCCACCGCCACCGCCTCCGCCACCGCCTCCGCCTCCGCCACCGCCTCCGCCTCCGCCACCGCCTCCGCCTCCGCCTCCGCCTCCGCCACCGCCTCCGCCACCGCCACCGCCACCGCCTCCGCCTCCGCCTCCGCCTCCGCCACCGCCTCCGCCACGGCCTCCGCCTCCGCCACCGCCACCGCCTCCGCCACCGCCTCTGCCACCGCCTCCGCCTCCGCCTCGCCGGCAGCGGGTGCGGCCGGAGCAGAGCGGGAGACGGGGTCCGCCCTGGGCGCTGCGGTGGAGCGGGGGCCTGTGCAGACTGGACGCGGGCAGGGAGGCGCTGAGCCCCCCGGGGGGGGGTGAGGTGGACGCTACGGGGGAAGCAGGGGGATTCACACGTCTGACCCCACGCCTCCACGGAGGGCCTGTGCCCAGGGCACTGGGCCTGGGCAGGGTGTGCCTGTGATACCCGCAGAGAATCCGCCACCTCAGGGTTCGTGTTCCCGCAGCGTCAGCCGAGTCACGCAATCAAAGGGGAGGATGGACGGGGCTGGCACGGAGCCCCAGAGTGCTTTCCTGTTTCTGGGGAGTCACTCACCAATGGGCTTACACGACAACCTCGCCAAGAGTGGCCGCCCCACAGCGGAGAGCGCAGGCCGGGAGCCCTGGCTCTGAAGAAGGTGGAGGCCCCCCGCCCCTCCGCCCTTCTCCGAGGGAGCCCACGCCACGTGGGAGAAGTGGCCCTGTGCAGGCACACGAGCATCCTGACCGTCCGACGGGGAGAGCGGCCAGGCCCCGCATGGGGCTGCCGGGCGTGCGTCTGGGCAGGAGCTGGCACTCTGGGCGCCCAGCACCGACCGGCTCAGGCTCCCGAGAGCCGCATGCATTGGACGGCGGGCGTGTGCTACCAGGCCAGCGATGTACAGGGACAGCACTGCAACAAGGAAGTGACTGCAGTAGAGGTGCCACACAAAGTCACTGTGACCAACACACAGGAAGAGGAAGGGAGCAGAAAGTGAAATGTGAAGGTACTGTTCACAGCCACGCCGACGGGCTGGAGCTCCTTGGCCGTCAGCAGCGGGACGCAGGGCAGGTGGCCGTGAAGGAAGTCAAGGGGACAAATGTCCAGTTTAGACAATTGGCCTCTGGTACACGCGTCTTTGAGGCTCTAAGTGCAGGGGGTGCAGGTCCCGTCACCACCCCACGGGCACCCTGCGCCAGGACAGAGGACGGCCCGCGGCAGCTCACCCGGAACGCCGTGCCCTCCTCGATGATGGTGGGCAGCTGGGAGAGGCAGATGTCCACGGCGAGGTCCCAGGCTTGCCTGGGGAGAGAAGAGAGGACACCACAGCGTCACCGACCGGCTCCCGCAGGACCAGGCGGAGCAGGGCAGCGGCCGGGCCCCGGGGAAGGCAGAGGAGCTAAAGCCGTTTTGCCGTGAGCTCTTCTCTCCTGCAGCTGAAACGGGAGCCACAGAGCGACCGGCCCCGTCTAAGGCTGTGTCTGCCCGGCTCCAGTATCCCCAGCGTGGCCTGCCCACCGAGGGGGCGGCTGGGCCGGCAGTGGCAGCGTCACACCAGCACCGGGAAACGCGGGCCAGGCCACCGCCTTAGGAGCAGGCCCGCGTGAGGCTGGGCCCCCACCGGCCCCAAATGCCCGCGGTGGTGCCCACGAGTCAGGGCTGGCTTGCCCACGCTGTCGGGCCTGCAGAAACCGGTGTGGCTCAGTGGATAGAGTGTCGGACTGCGGACTGAAAGGTCCCGGGTTAAATTCCGGTCGGGAACATGTACCTTGGTTGCGGGCACATCCCCGGTGAGGGTTGTGCAGGAGGCAGCTGACGGATGATTCTCCCTCATCGATGTTTCTAACTCTCTATCCCTCTCTCTTCCTCTCTGTGAAAATCAATAACAAAACAAAACAAAAAACCACACAATATTGCTGGGCCCGTCTCCCGGGCCCCAGGCAACCACTCTGGCCTCTGGCTCCACCCCCCTGGGGGCTTCCCTGGGAGCAGAGATGGCAGGGGCTCTGGGGGGTCGCCGGCAGAGGGACAGGGACGCTCCGGCCACCTCCCTTCCCTTCCCTCACGGCCCTGCCCACGCGGCTCGGCCCTGCCCTCAGGCTCCCCTCCGTCTGTCCCGCCCCGTCCCCCCAGGGCCACCCCTGGAAGACGTGCCGCCCAGACACAGGCCAGCACAGCAGCTGCCCACGCGGAAGTCGGCACAAGGCGCCCACGCTGGGCTCGGAGGGCGCAGGTCATGGCCGCCAAGCACTGCACGGGCTCCGGATGGGGCGGGCTGAACTTGGACGTGAGGGGAGGGGCTCTGATGGCTGCGTGTCAAAAATGAAACAGGAGCCGCGCGAGCCAGTCTTCCTTAGTGCCGCCCCACTACGTGCACACGTGTTACTCCGTGTCCACCTCGTGTTTGCTGTGCGTGGTCCCTTCCTCCTGCGAGAGCCCACCTCGCTCCACACCGGCCGACACCAGCCTGGCCAACCGTCCAGCCCAGGGCCCTCTGACTCCCTGGGCGGCCAGGCCGCTGCTCCGGTCTGTTCATGGGCGGGAGGGCGCTCTTGCTGTTGGAAGGTTTCGTCACAGCACAAGCTCTGCAGAGCCCACCAGTCCGGGCCCGGGGGCAGCAGCTGGCAAAACTGGGCTCGGAAGGGGGTGCACGGCCCTCTTGGGCAGCTGAGCCCCTGGGCCAGCCGGACAGGGCGCCGTCAGCCCCGCACAGGCGGAGCGGGAGACTCACCACATGGCGTGCATGTAGGTGGGGGGCAGGCGCGGGCTGCTGACCGGGGTGCAGTTGTAGGAGCGCATGATCCTCTCCGCCAGCAGGAAGTTGCGGAACAGACTGGCCACCAGCAGGTCCTGCCGGAAGAGCTTCTGGAAGAGGTCTGAGGGCAGCAAGCGGCCCGTCAGGACACACAACCAGGCTCAGCCAGAGGCCCCTTCCACCCATGTGAGCCAACACGGGCCCGGCCGCTGCGAGGCTCCTGGCAGCTGCGTCCGCCCACGGGGACACGGCCAGCCCCGGGGAGGACACTGGCGACGGTCAGAGCAGGGGCACGTGCAGCTCCCTCACCAGCCCCCCACCGAACCCCCAGGCCTGCCCTGCTGTCCCCGCCAGCTCTCTTGCCCGCGAGAACCCATTTCTCCCCTCGGACCCTCTCGCGTCCCAGGCCGTGGCCGCTGACCGCAGAGCCTCACCCCGAGGGAGCACGTTCCACGCGATGGTGTCGGTGATGGCTGTGAAGATCCAGTTCAGCTCGCCCAGCGGCGTCCTCCGGTCGTTCAGCCGGCCGGGAATCCTAGGGGAACGCGTGTTTCCGTTAGCGACGGCGACAGTCGCAGCTGCGGACACAGGAGATCGGCAGTCCCAGCCCAGGCAGAGGCCCGCCTTCCGAGACTCCAACTTCACAGCGAGAGCTCGCCCGCCCCCCTTCTCCTGTCCACGTCTAAACGAAGCCGTTTCTTCCGCCCCGGACGTGGGCACCACACCCAGTGGCCACACGGCCGCCTGTGGCTTCCTTGTGGAGATGAGCCGTGCACTGGGCCCCACAGACAGCTGTGCCCATTCGATTCCGAGTCTCTGCCCACCGTGGCTCCGGCCCTGCACGCTCACTAACGCCAGAGCCGAGCGAGGACACTGGTCCCGAGGTCCACTCACCTGCCGTTTGCACGACGAACACTGAGCGCCCGCAGCCCGCCCGGCGCCAGCCGGGCACCGATGGGGCTCCGGGGCTCGCTGCTGCTCCGAGTGGAGGGGCTCCGGGCCAGCGCGTGGGCAGAGGCAGCCGGGCCCCTGCCCCCCGCAGCCTGCCATCTCAGAAAACCTCTCCTCCACAGGGGCCCAGGACTAGCTCAAGCGAGAGTGGTTTCACAGACTGGGGTCCTGCCCGCTAGCGAGCTCTGGGGCCGCCTGAACCCGACAGGAAGCAGACACGCGCCGGAACAGGGAGGTGTCAGGAACGGCCTGCCCCACACGGGAAAAGCGGTCCTGAGGGACCTCAGCGGCTGTGGGTCTGTTTTCAGGGCTCAGCACGCCTGCTCTCCGACGCGAGAAAGAAGCAAACACCACACGCTCGCCGTCACACAGTGCGGGCGAGGACACGATCGGAAGGAAAGACTTTGGAGTGACGCTCAGGGGACGCTCGTCCGTCCGTCCGTCCGTCCGTCCGCTCTGTGAGCCTGGCTTGGCCTCACCTCCTGCTGTGGAGCCCCAAGGCCACGGAGGAGGTGGGCGGGCGACAGGACAGCGCTCCCGAGGACAGACCCTGGCCAAGGTCCGAGTCCAGACCGGCAGGAGGACGGCCGAGCTGCTCCCAGGCCTGACCCGGAGGAGGGCTGCTGTGCGTCCAGGCGCGCTGTGAGTCCTGACCTGGGACCTCGGTGGGTAAAGGCACACCGAGCCCCTGCCCTCGTGAAGGCCCACTGGCCTCGCTGAGCTCCGAGGAGCATGGGCAGCGCAGCCACAGGCACACTAACGCCCCAGCATGGCCCGTCTGCACCAGAGCCTGAGGGACGTCCCGGCCCCGGGCCCACTGTGCCGAGGCTGAGGCTGCAGGAACACAGGCGCGGACTGCCCAGGACTCCGGCTATGTGGGCCTGGCCCTCGGCACCTCTGCCTGCCGGCCGCTTTCCAAGCAAACAATACACACTCCCTAAAAGGAACCAGTGATGAGAAGATAACACAATCGTCCCAGATGCCTTCATCTAAGACCGGCCAAAACCGTAGCGACCGACCACCCCTCCAGGAGCCTGTGCACAAAGCAGGTCGTTTTAAATACGTCAACATAACCCCATGCAGGGGGTGCTGCGTCCTCATTAAAGCCTTCACAGCCCGGCCGGCTGCCTCGATTCCTGGTCAGGGCCCAGGCCCGGGTTGTGGACTCCATCCCCACTGTGGGGCATGCAGGAGGCAGCTGATCAAAGATTCTCTCATCATTGACGTGTCTATTTCTCCCTCTCCCTACCTCTCTGAAATCAATGAAGTATACACACACACACACACACACACACATATATATATAAAAAAGCTGCAAAAAAACCAAAACAAAACCTCACAATACATTGCGAGAAAAGCCTCGAAGGGCTGCACCCAGCTTGCCAGGTGAGGATGTGGGGACCCCGATTCCAGTAACGTACTGTCACTGCTGTGTGATGAGAGGGAGGCCACAGCAAGCTTTCCCGAGAAGGGAAGCTCACAGCGCTCACCCAGCTCGCCGGGAGCACAAGGCGCGCCTGCTCCGTGGCTTCAGGGCCTTTGGGCCGCGGCCCGCAGCCTGGGGCCCTGAGAATGCCAATGGCTCAGGGAACCTCCTCGCTGGGGCGCCGTCTCTTTGAAAGGACCTCTGCTCTCCCAGCGGAACCTGACGGCACGTCGTCGTAAGACAGAGCCACACGGAGAGCACGTGTCCGCCCTGCGGGCAGCGTCCGGGGGAGCCAGCGTCTCGAGGGCCCGGGGAGGTGTCTGCACTGTGCCTGCGCTCGCCACACGGGCACCAGCCCTCACATCAGTCCAGTGAGGCACTCGGCCGGCCAGGAGAGGGTCCTGAGACGTCTCCTCATCAGCTGGCTTCTCCAGGACCAACCCGGCCACGCATGTACCTGCTTCTCTGGCCTCCTGCTCTAGACTGAGCAGAACCGGTCCCGTGTCCTCTGAGGTCTCGGGGAGGACAATCGGGTCCATTCAGTGCGTGACGTGCGACCCGCGTGGGAGAAGGCCGGGAGGAAGGCGCAGGGCCTGGCAGGAGATGCAGCCGTGTCTGTGTGAGCAGGAGCGCGGCTGTCTCATCCCTGACTCAGGCGCTCCGAGCAGCGCGGTGACGCCCGCAGGGCTGCTGGCCGCCTGAGTACGCGGCACCGGCGTGTCCTGGCTCCCTCCGGCGGTGGCAGTGAGGTGACTCACACTCCTCCCACGGAGACAACCAGACAGGCCGTGGGGAACCTTTTTGATGTCCGGGCAGGGCCGGCCAGGCCAGGGAGGGAAGCCCAGCCTTGAACCTGGCGGTCCTGACGCAGGACTGAGGCAGACCAGCGGCCGGAGGCTCCCGGCGGGAGGGCAGGAAAGGGAGGGGCTGCCGAGGAGACGGGCTCTGAGCCAGGCCTGGGTGTGAGCTGGAAACAACTCAGATCTCACGCCTCCCATCACCCCGAGGCTCGGTGCGATGTCCACGTTAAGTTTGCAGCTTTCAGTCCAAGCCAAACGAGCCTCCCCGCACTCACGCCAGGAGCCAGCACAGGAGAGAGGATCAGAGCGGTGAGGTCAGGGCTGTGGCAGCTGCTGCACGGTAGATGCTCGAGGAATTACACACGAGGCTGGGGACACTGGCTGGCAGACAGCTGGAGCTGGAGGTCTGAAACCCAGGAGCTCAGAGCCTCTGAAGATGGAGTGCTGGCGAGGAATGGGCGGGCTCAGGGATGCAGCAGGGTCAGCAGGAGGAGAGAGAAGGCGGGACTGGACAGGCAGTGCAGGTCCCAAAGGACCCGAAGGGGGCGGGCACTGGTCCAGGGTGCAGAGGCCGATGAAAAGCCTCCAGGCACCATGGCTGGTCAGCTTGAGCTGCCATGTCACAATGCCACGACTGAGATTTATTCTTAGAGTTCTGGAGACCGGAGGCCAAGGCCAGGTGCCGGCAAGGTCAGGGTCTGCCGAGGGCTGTGCTCAGCGTGCCAACGGCTGCCTTCTCGCCAGGCTGTCTCCCCCCTCGGCTGTGCTGTCACGTGAAGGGCAGGACCACACGCAGGAGAGGACAACCCAGGTGCTCAGGGCACCGATGAGAAGTGACGGATGCACACACAGGGCGTATCCGGCTCCTGTGGAGACAAGTCCTAGCAAGAAACGTGTTTCACCTGGTGACACACACAACCACATGTCAACACACACATTCAGACACAGAACTGACAGCAGCCGTGTTCCTGGGAAACGTGGCGTGTTCTCTCTGAGGCTGTGCAGACAGACCCGCCTTCTGAAAGGCTCAGCCCCGGCGCCTCTCGGACACCGCCAGCAGGACGTGGGGCAAGCACAGCCCGTGGCAGGATCACACGACCCCCCTCAGAAGCTGGCGGGTTCCCAGCCCACGCGTCGCCTGCTGACCACCATGCAGGGCTGGCCACAGAACAAACTGCTCACCGCCGCCGGCGGATTCGGAAGGGAGGGAGTGATGGTTTCCACGGCTCCGGGCGAGCAGGAGTTAAATGGCCAGAGCTGACCCGCCGCCTATCGACGTTCCTGCAGAATGACGGACGGCGCCGTCCCCGCCAGACACCCGGGGACGGAGCCGAGGCTGCGCAGAGGACCCCCAGGGAGCCCAGGCTCAGAGTTCACGCGTCCGACACAGGAAGACAGACTGTCAACGAGGGCGGGTTCAGGACCCTCAGAGTCAGCTGCGCCCGGGCCGGGAGCCTCGCGGGGGGTGTGCTGTGGTCTCCTGGCGTCAGACCGTCTCCCGGAGCCCGGCCCGGCCCAGAGGGAGCTCCTCCGGCAGAGCCCGCGCTCAGGAGGGCCTCCGGGGTCGCAGCGTGGGAAGGCCTCGGGGACCGGGGCGGATGTGGGCCTGTGCAGGGAATGCGCCCCGGCTCTCCCTGCCTCGGCTACAAGGCCAGCTCTGAGCCGAGTCCTCACACTGGCTCATCAGACGAGCGGGCGGCCGGCAATGGGGTGTGTGTCGAGCTCAACGGGGCGGTGCGCCCTCGGTCCAGCCCTCACCCAGCACCCGGGTCCTGGGACAGCAAGAGCTAAGCGGCAGGCGAAGGTGGCTGAGGGCAGGGCCGTGGCTCTTCCATCCCCACAGCGCACTCCCTGCCGCCTCTGGGCTGTGCTTCCTGCTTCTGACTGAACCAGCTGCCGCGGTCATCACTCATCCCACCAGTGTGGGCGGGCACTAACGAGTTCCCGACTTCCTGTTTACGTGGGAAAGAAAGGCTCTTGCTGAGGGAAGACAGGCATCTTTTCAGTTTTCTCTCAAACATAACACACATGCAAGAGGCCGACCTGACGGCAGAGAGAGTTCCAGTCTCAGCGACTGAGCCGCCCGCCCGCCAGCCCCTCCCTCCGCTGTGCCGGGCCCTTCCCTGGGGACAGCGACACAGGGCTGGCCGACAGGCCTGGCCCAGCCCCGCTCACCGCCCGAGGGGACCGGCCGGTCCATTTGGTGCGGAGCCTCCCTGCAAAGGCCCCCGGGGCTGGGAGAGCTCCCGGGCCACGCCTGGCGCACACAGCAGGTGCCCCTCCTGGGAGCTGTGCCTATTCCCCCTGCGTCTCCGCCACGGGAACCATGGTGACTGCTCTGCGCTCCCAGCACCAGCCCCACAGTCAGCCCCCAGGCCCGGAGCTCCGGAGGGCGCGGCCGCCGCTCTGCCTCCCAGGCCTGGGCTGGGACGCGTGCGCTGAGCTGCTGCCGCGGTGCTGTGTACAGACGGCGATTATGAGTAAGTCCTGGTGGCCCTCTGCCTGCAGCCAGGACGCTCTGCGCCTGGGTTCCCGGGAGCTGCCTGCGCACCCCATACTCCCAGCACTGCTGTATCTCATTACTTCCTCTCAGAGCTGAGAGACGCCCCTTCATTTCCAAGTGTGGTCTTGCTGCCGCTCTCTGTGAGGCTCGGGAGATAATGAGAATCGGTGTTCAAGGAGGTGCGCTGTACCGTACTCCAGACTCGGCAGCCTAATTGGAAAACAGCTTTGAAGATTGCTAATGACTGCCTCACACACACACACACACACACACACGCACACGCACCGTCACAGTGCGTGGGAACACGTGGGAGCATCACGGCTAATCCAGGCGGAGAGCTCACCCGCACCTCTGACAGCTGTCCACGCTGTGCCACTGCTTCACTGACGGCCCAGGCCAGTACATGTATGTGCTGTGAAACGTTCACGGCTTCTCCCAACACCAGCTCCTTATGCCCCCGTCCTCCGAGGGGCCCTAAGGCAGTGGGTGCAGCCCCACCTCCAGGGGCCGAAGCCGGGGCTGCGAGCTGCACATTTCGAGAAGAATCTCCAGAAAGTGCGAGTGAAGTGGTGAAATGAGGTGAGGTTTCCCGGGCCCGTCGGAGGCCTGCAGTCACGCCTGCTCCGGGCGGGTCTGAGCCGGCAGGGCACGGACAAACCCTATGTCCAGAACCTTCCGAGGAGAAGCTGCGACGCCTGCCCGCTGCCTGCGACCGTGATGCGTGGGATTTCCAGAGTTCTAGGGTCTGGAATTGGTCCCGGCGAAAAACACATAGCCACCCGCTGGCATCCGGGCTGACCCTGCCCGGCTGCTGGGAGCCCCCAGGCGTGGACCGCTGGGCCCCGAGCCCCTGGCCGCTCTCCGGGGCCGCGCACCCACCTCCCCGGGCAGTGCCAGCGGCGGCTCCGCGGCGGCTCCCGCTCTGCACGCCAGGGTCTGCTCTGCGGTCGCTGTGACGGGTGGCGGCATCTCGCTGTGGCCTCACCTCGCACCCCGAGCCCGCCCGCGCAGGACATGGAGCACCTTCTCGCCAGGCCTCTGCCCGCTGGTGACGGGTGCGCTTTGCTCGTTCGGGGCTTCAGCCTCCGTTATCAGCTGTGTGAGGTGACGGGCCGTCCCCAACTCGGAGGCTCTCAGCCCACGCCTCACATGTCCCTCCGAGGTGAACACGGTGAGCCCTGAGGCAGCACAATCCGCCCGTTTTCCCTTTTGTGGAGCTCGTCCAGGGAGGGAGGTGCGGTCCCATTAAACCGGGAGGTGACAGGACGAGCTGGCTGTGCTGACCGCGGGCTGGAAAGGCGGGGCCTGTGCCGGAGGGCGCCCCTGCCGGGGACACACCACCGGGTCCACGGCACTGACCGCCGGCTCCTGGCCGGTAAGCCAGAGGAGGGGCCGCTCGGCTCTGCGCTCCGGGTTGTAGGGAGGCCGAGGTCAAGCACAGAAACGAGCACAGGGAGGCTGCGTGTGAGAGGTGCTGCCAGGACCTCCTGCACGCGGGTCCGTTGAGGAATCACGCGTGAAGGAACATGCAGGGCTGGGATCGGTGCGTCGGGACTTAGACATGGAGGGAGAGGGAGACGCCGGGGCAGCGCCCAGCAACGCCCGGGCAACGGGCGGCTTCCCGGACCCTGAAACCTCAAGACACAGCCAGCAGACGGCCGCGCAGGCAGACCCGGTGTTTTCTCATTTCCTAAACGCCCTCCAACGCGGCTCCCGAGAACACGCCGTGTGCCAGCACCTGAGTGTGTGAGCGCTGCGCCATCTGCCACCAGCCTCCGCCGCTCACGACTCGGAGCTGGCAGGCGCCACGCGCCACAGCAGACGCTCCTGGGAAGGGAGCGGGCGACAGGCGCGCAGCTCTGCACGCCGGGGGGCCGCCCGCGACCCTGCAGACGGTCCGCAGCCCCGCTCCCGTCTCGTGACCGGCGCTGCAGGAGGGACACGGCGTTCCCGCCGGCCGTCACAGTGCGGAGCGGCCCCTGCCGGTCGGAGCGGGCGCCTTCCACAGAGCGGGCCGTCAGCTCGGCCGGCTCTGCGCCGCCCACGGCAATGCCAGCACGAGCGGCGCCGTCCCCACTGCTGCTGGCCCGGCCTGTGCCAGCCTGGCTTTTCCCGTCCCCACGGCCCGTCTGCGTGTGCGCAGAGCCCAGAGGCACAGATGTGGGCGAGTCACAGGGCCTCTGCGTGCACCTGAACGTACAGAATTCTACACTAACGCGCTCTTGCAGGTCTCCACTTACATGTTGTTGGTTTTCCCTTTTACGTTCACTTGCACATGCATTCTACATGCCCTCATTCTTGTAACACACGGACGAAGGTGGGAAAAATCAATCACTTAACACGGCTCTTCCCCCTCACCGACCAGGACACCCCCCCCCCCCCCCCCGCGGCGCCTGCTCTGAAGGCTGCACGGACGGGTCTCATTGTCCCACTCAGCGCGTGGCTGCCGGGCCGTTCCAGGTCCCCCGCGGGGGCCACCCGGCACACCGCGCGGGGGAATGCACCGGATGGAGCGCGGGTGCCAGGGAGGGGCTTAGGCGTGCGTTCCTGTATGCGGCCCAGGCTCGGGCGAGGCGCTGTCCAGGGGAGGGACCCAGAGGCCGGCTTGCTCGTCCACCACATTCAATAAACCCAGTCTCAGCCCCGGCCGGTGTGGCTCAGTGGATAGAGCGTCGGCCTGTGGACTGAAGGGTCCTGGGTTCGATTCCGGTCAAGGGCGCTGGCCCTGGTTGTGGGCTCGATCCCCAGGAGAGGTTGTGCAGGAGGCAGCCAATCCATGATTCTCTCTTATCATGGATGTCTCTCTCTCCCTGTCTCTTCTCTGAAATCAATAAAAAAAATATTTAAAAAAATCTCAGCCTCGGCCGTTTTACCACACGATCTCCATTTAAAGACTGAGAAAGCGAGCTCTCCATGCTAACCGAGCAGAGCAGCAGCGGAGAGCCCCCGCCTGCCCGACTCGGGGCAGCACGGAGGGAGCGAACACACAGAAACCAGGTCAAGTGCAGGGTCACGAGATGGCGAGTCAGAGCCGAACCGGTTCCCAGCCAGAAGCGGACGCGCCGGCCCACGACCAGGACGGGCAGAGCCACGCTACTCCAAGGCGCCAGAGTTCACCCCCTGCCACCCCTGGCACCTGCCCGAGGCAGAACATGGGGGGGACCCGCTTGGACCTGGTGCCGCAGGGAACCTGTCTCGGCGCTGCAGGATTTTTTAATTCTTTTCTTACAAGCGGCCCCACCCGAGCGTGCCCTAGGCTAGCCCTGACGTGCCGTCCACCGGCAGCCTCAGCCGGAGCGCAGGACGCGCCACAGGAAGTGCCCCGAGAAGGTGGGGGAGCCCCGGCCCAGGCGCAGGCCCCGACGCCGCACTCACTTCTCGATCAGGTCCAGCGTGACTCCGGGCACCAGGCTGACACACTTCTGCATGCAGAACCTGCGGGGAGAACAGCGGTCACACGCGGACGCCCGGCGGCAAGATGCCGCTGCCCCGATGTGCTCACGGGAGAGCCACAGCCCCGGGCCAGGCCCCGCATCTCAGTCTTCCAGAGGGTCTGTGCCGAGCTTGCTGCCCCCCTGCCCCCTCTCATCGTTCCCTGCTGGTGCCCGAGCGAGCCTGGTGCAGAGGAGGTGCTGCCAGCTGGCGGCTCCCAGTGTGCAGGGGTGGCAGGCCCTCCGCAGGCCTCGCAGGGCGACTCCTGCCATTCTCCTGCCCTCCCCTCCCCTCCCCGGGCTCTCAGACGCCATTCTCCCTGGCCCACTCCCTGCGAGTTTCCTCATTGGCACCTAAGTCTTCGGTATGTTGGGAGTTTATCTCATTGAGGTGCCAGATAGGGTTTTAAATTTCTAATGGTTAGTTAGCCACGTGCCCCAAATCCTAAGTACTGAGTAATGCCTTCCTTTTCTAACACCGGCTCTCACACACAGCTTCTGGAAGCTTCTCGGCTCCTCGCCGGGTGCCCCCGCCCTCCAGAGGCAGCCCTCTAACTGCCACGTGGGCCTGCACACACAGGTCCCGGCCCAGGGGCCACCGAGCGGAACACTCGTGTCTCTAACAGATTTCCAGCGCATCTCGTTGGCTTTTTCAAAGCGGAGACCCAGATCATGCACAAACACTACAACCTGGTCTGTTTCCTTCTTCAGAACCCAAGTACCTTCCGTCCCGTTGCTCATCCAGCTGCTAGACTGACTACACTCCGAGCGGGGACGATCCAGGCTGGCGAGCGCACTGGTGACAGTCCCACTGCATGGGGGGAGGGCGAGGCCTAGAGAGAACCTCCCTCTTGCAAAGGGAGTTTGCTTCTATTCTTGTTGGTTTTTATTAAAATTCATTTTCAATTGTATCAAATAACTGCCCTCCATCCTATTAAGATGATGAAGCACGTTAATCGGCAGCCTAATAGGAAGCCAGCAGCCGCCTCTGGAACGCGCTCCGGGCCGAGTGATTGTTCTCGCTGTGCGGCAGCTCCCTGCGATGCTTCATCCTGAACCATCTGCAGTGCGTGAGTGCGTGCGTCCCTGTGTGCGCCGGTGTGTCTACCTATATGTGTGTGTCTGTGTATTTGTCCACTGAGTGCCTCTGTGTGAGTGTGTGTGTGTGTGTGTGTGAGCGAGCGTGCATGTATGTGTGTGCACGTGAGCATGCATGTGTATGTGAGTGTGTGTGTGTGCTGGTGTGTCTGCCTCAATTTGTGTGTCTGTGTATTTGTCCACGGAGTGCCTGTGTGTGTGTGTGTGTGTGTGTGTGTGTGTGTGCTGGCACAGGGCTGTGTCTGTGGCGGGGCTTCTGTGTCCCACAAAGGACCCTCTCTCTCCTTCCCTCCGCCTTCCTCCTGCGCTGTGCCCTAGGCCTGCCTCCCCTCGGGCCCTCGCCCTCCCGCCTCCCTTGCTCCGCAGAGGCTACAGCCCTCCCAGGGTCCCGGGTTTCTGGCGTTGTCGTGGGGGACTCCCCGCAGGACCGTCAACCCTGCGCTCCCCGTGGCCCCAGGCCGGGCCACCGGCTGCCATCCCTCCGCAGCGCCATGCGCCAGGCTCGCACGCCCGCTTTCAAGGCAGCGTGGCGACACGGCCGTTCATCTTAGCCGCCCGCGCGCCGGGAGACGGACCGAGAGCACACGTCTGGTTCGGGAGAGAAACGACTTTCCTCACGGTGGGCGGCAGCGCACAGAGCCCCAGACTGTCCCCGAGCCATCCGGCTCAGCAGAAGGAACAGGCGCGGCTGGGCCAGTGTGGAGCCTCCAGAGGAAACCAGTCACTGACCTCCTGGTGGCCCCATGGCCCTGCGGCTGGAGCCGAGCTATGTGGCCCCACAGGGAAAAGCTGGGACAACTTTGTTCTATGACCGTCAGCACTGCCCCCGGCCGAGGAGGCCCAGCCCTCTCTGTCCTCAGACATGAAGGCGAGGCAGGAGGTCCACAGCGCAGGGTGGGGCGAGGAAGGGGTGCACAGGGCGTGTCTCCCACAAACACTGCCTTCTAGAAAACGCCGGAGAACAGCCACCAGCCCCACGCTGAGCAGCAGCGGGGTTTGTGCTCCCAAGGTCATTCTGACTCGTTGAGTCTTCACAAAACCCACAGGCAAACGTCAGGCGAGGGTCTGAGCTGAGACCAGACACCATGCTGGCAGGGCCCGCCCCCTGCCCTGCGGGTCCCACGCCGCCACCTCTTGCTGGGCTCGCCCAGGACCACTTTCCATGCAGACAGGATACGGCAGCACTGGGCCACTGATATTTAAACTGTCAGCTCCTCCGGGTGACGGGGCGCTCCCCAGCCTCGGCTCGCCCGTCGTGCGCCTGGCAGACAACGCGTTTGTGTGCTGTGGGCCGAGGCGTTGGCCCGCCATGCCGCCCTCCTGCTGGGGACCGGGGCTACTTCCGGAAGCACACGCGCTCCACGCACACTTCAGTGGAATGCTGCCCCTCCATCGGAGACCGAGAGAAAGCCAGGGAGGATGCACTGCGGTTCTCACACCCACTGACGTCCTGGGGCGAGGGGCATTATGGGAAGAGCAAGCATGTGCCCGTTCCAGAATTACTGAAGGCTTCGCTTTCTGATCATAGAAAGATGGAGGCCAACAGAAGACAATCAGAAACCATCGGCCTCCCGCAGGGCAGAGCCGGCCCCTTACCAGCGGAGGGCGATCTTGATGGGGGTGGTGAGGCAGGAGGTGAACAGGTCGGCCGGGAGGTCGGGGATCATGGGCAGGAGCTCGCTGGCCTCGCAGGCCGCCAGCTGGATGCAGTTCTTCATGGACGGGGGCAGGGGCATCTGGGCCAGAGGGTGGTTGGGGTTGATGGCCGCGACCTGCAGAGAACATGAAGGAAGGCTGTGACGTGATGTCCGACTGGGGAGTCTCCTAACATAAGATGGACAGTCCGCAGAAGGTCCCCCCCTGCGGACTGTCCATCTTACCCGCCTCCAGCGCGCAGCCCATCGTCCAGCCCCCCGCCCCCCCACGGCACGCAGCCCCGCCCCCAGCGCGCAGCCCCCTCCAGGCACGCGGCCTCACTTCCAGCTCCTGTTCCCGCTGCAGGGCGAACTGCCGGAAGGACTTGACGATGAGGCCGGCGTTGGAGCAGTCATAGACGAATATGGACGGGCTGCCCATCCACGTCTGCAAGTCGTAGATGGACAGCGGGATGTACTGCGTGTAGTTCTGGAAAAACAGCACGTGGGTGACACACGGCCAGACGCCGCAGGGGCCCAGCAGGAGCCGCCCGGGGCGGGGCGGGGCGGGGCGGGGCGGGGCCGGCCTTGTGCGGGGACAGCGGTTCCCAGGAGCGCCCCCCGGGGACTCACCTTGTTGAAGACCCAGATCTCCCCGTTGACGGTGGGCCGAGGCACGCCGTGGCCGTTGTAGTGGAAGAGGACCCGCTCCTCCTTGGCGTTGCGGCGCAGCGACGTGCACAGCTTCTTCACCTCGTCCACCGTGGGGTCCAGGCTCTGCTTGTACCGCGCCTGTCGGAGAAGATGGAGAGCTTGCTCGGGTCTGCGGGACACCAGCCCCCTCGGAGCCTGCACTGAAGAGCCGGTGACAGCCAAACGCCAGTCCGTGCATGCCTGCACACCGGGCTGAGATGCTGGGGCACTGGGCTCCGCGGGGCCGGACAGCGCGGCCACCGGGACTGCGTGAGTGAAGGTGAGCATGGTGCGTGGGGACGGAGCACTTTCCAGAAGCGCGGGCTCGGGCAGAGGAGCACGGCAGCACCGCCAGCGCGACAGGGATCACCCTGCAGGGAAGCCCAGTTCAGGGACCCGGTGGCTCTCAGCAACCTCCAGAGGGCGCCCCGGAGGGCTGGCGGCGCTGGCCTGCTGGGAGCGTGGCTGTGACCTCGGAACGCTGCTGCCGCTGAGCAGAGCCGCCCCAAACCAGGGCCTGTCCAGGTGAGAGCAGCCGAACGCGCAGGCACAATCCAAGCCACCCGCAAACAGGTCTCCCTGCGGCCTCGACCAGGAGCGGGGGGGCTGCGGGAGAAGCTTCCAGAGCCCGAGGAGGGGCAGCAGGAAAAGGGCCCAAACAGAGCCCAGCGGGCCGGCTGCTCCCCGGCTGCAGCTCCTGGGATCCGAGTCCACTTCCCACCCACACGCAGGGGCGCTCGGCCAAGAATAACGGGCACCAGGCTCCCTGCAGGGAAGTCCGCCCCCCCCACCCCCCGAGCCTGGCAAGGCCTCCGGAGGCACATCCTGACCAGGAGGGCTGCTCCCGGGCCACGGCCGTTCGCTCAGCCACGCACGAGCCTGGGGCCGTGTTTCTGACCTCGGCTCCATTAAGGCCCGCTGCGGGCTGCTGAGGGGACAGCCTGTCTCCTCACTGAGCGCCCTCAAGGACGCGCAACGGGGTGGCGAGGGCACTGCAATATCAGGAACGCGCCTCCTGGGGCTTCGTGGGAATTAATTAATGTTTTTAGGGCTCCGAAATGAGCAGCAGTAAATTAAACGCCAGCACACGCTGAGCTGCGTGGAGCGCAGAGGCCGGGGAATGGCCCGCAGCGGAGGGCGGGGGAGGGGGCAGGAGCTGCGGCCTGTCTGGGATTTATGACGTGTGAGCGGGCGAGCGGGCGCAGAAACACCACGGCGAGGCTGAGACCTGCCCACGGTGCCGGCACTGATCTCCGGGGCCCCGAGCCCGAACGACAGGAAACATGCCCGGAGGCCCCGGGGAGGCAGCAGCCGAGAAGGAAGGAGCGGGCAGGGAGGCGGCAGCAGAGGAGCAGAGGACGCCTGCCTGCTGCCCGGCTCCTCCCGCCCCAGGAGGGCAGGTGTCAGCCCTGGGCAGGACCGGGGGAGAACACAGACTGCGCTGCAGACACGCAGTGCCAGCACACCAGGCAGCTCCCACCGTTGCGCTCTGCAGGCACCTGCTGCAGACGCCCATCTGCATGAGCGCTGGCTAGTGGGGCCTAGCTGCAAGGGAGTCTGGGAAGTGGCTCTGGCTCCAGCGCGCAGCGGGGTGTGCAGACACACAGGCTGAGTGAGCTGCCCAGCGCACTCCAGGCTGCAGATCCTCTTCCCGTCATCAACACCAGCCTGTCCTTCACAAAGCCGGGGCAGGAAGTGACACCTGACACTGAAAACACTGTGCTGAGCTTGCTCAGCACGCCAAGGCTCTGGCCGAAATGCAGAGAAGCTGTGGTCCTCGGACCACAGGGCCTGCACCCCACGTTCGGCACATGGAACGTCCACAGAAAGAGCCAGGGAAGTGGGTGAGGGTGGAGGCTGCCCGGGGGTGGAACAGAAGAGAAACAGAACAGTTTGAGGAAAGGGCAGTAGATGGCAGGTCTGTTGTCTGTCCATCTGCCTCCCGCCTCCCCTCTGCGCCACCCTTCCACACCTGCACCGACCGGCCGAGCAGGAATAGACTGTTTCCCAAAGAAGGCGGACAGGTGCCAGCGAGCGCTGGAAGGTGTCTGACATGCTTCGTCACTAAGGAAGTGCAACCTGAAACCTTAGAAACACCCACCGGACGACTAAGATAATGATAATCATTTAAAACTCCGAAAATAACAGGCGTTGGCGAGGCTAGGAAGACACGGGGGCAGACGCAGGGATGGAAAGCGTGCGGGCCTCAGGCAGGCGCGTAGAGCTACGTCTGACCCAGCAGTTCCACTCCCGGCACAGCCGGAGAGAAGGAACCGTCCACGAGGAGCCCACGCCCACAGCACGCAGCCCGAGAGAAGGAACCGTCCACGAGGAGCCCACGGCGTGCAGCCCGAGAGAAGGAACCGTCCACAAGGAGCCCACGCCCACAGCACGCAGCCCGAGAGAAGGAACCGTCCACGAGGAGCCCACGCCCACAGCACGCAGCCCGAGAGAAGGAACCGTCCACGAGGAGCCCACGCCCACAGCACGCAGCCTGAGAGAAGGAACCGTCCACGAGGAGCCCACGCCCACAGCACGCAGCCTGAGAGAAGGAACCGTCCACGAGGAGCCCACGCCCACAGCACGCAGCCCGAGAGAAGGAACTGTCCACGAGGAGCCCACACACACAGCACGCAGCCCGAGAGAAGGAACCGTCCACGAGGAGCCCACGTCGCGCAGCACGCAGCCCGAGAGAAGGAACCGTCCACGAGGAGCCCACACACACAGCACGCAGCCCGAGAGAAGGAACCGTCCACGAGGAGCCCACGCACACAGCATGCAGCCTGAGAGAAGGAACCGTCCACGAGGAGCCCACGTCGCGCAGCCCGAGGGGCAGCCGCCCGCCCTCAGGTGGCTGGTGGTGAACAGTGCGCACCGCCCTGGGGACACTCCTCGGCTCCAAAGTAAGGACTGACACTGAGACACGGAACGGCATGCCTGCCGTGGACAGATGTGAAAACACTGCTCAGCGGGGAGTCAGACACCCGCGGCCACGTGCCGTACGGTTCCATTTATAACGTTGTTACATGAGTCTCATCTCCGTTTCTTAAAAATTCCACCGTGTGTCACCCTGACGCTTGGGGGGTGCTGGCCGTGTGGCGCTGCCGTCCCTCCACCGCCACCTGCCCCCTCGATGGCACCTTCTCGCTCGCCGGGCGTCATCTGACACCTCTTCCCGTCACAGATGGCGAGCAGACGGCAGGCTCTGGCACCTCCTCGTCCGGGACGCTCTCCGTGCACAGGTCCCGCTTCTGGCAGCGCAGCGCTTGCTCTGACTCCACTGCCACCCGCACGCCCCCAGAGCTCTGCGCCCTCCCCCGGGCAGCGGGGGAAACCGCCCCGCACGGTCTGGGCCCTCCAGGCGGTGGCGCCACCGTTTCAGGCCTCACAGGACGGCTGGTCTCCTTCGCAGTCTGCTGCACACAGAACGAACTCTCCCGTGAGAGGCGCTATCCTTGAGAAGCTGGTGAGGGACAGAGCCAGGCCTGTTCCTCTAAAAATACGCCCTGCAAGTAGGTCAGTGCCGGGCGCTGGGAGCAGCCAGCCGAGGAGCGGCGACGGCAGGGCCCAGGGCCCGCCTGTGCTGGCAGGGCCTTCGGCAGCTCCCGGGAGACGGAGGGAGGGTCTGCCCGGGCCGCTGCGCCCTCCTGCTGCGAACACTTCCTCTCGTCCTCCTCTGCGCAAACCCATGTCCAGGGCTAGCGGTCAGCGCCCTTACATCTCCTCTGCGCAGGGAGCGCAGCCAGAGCTCGGCAGCAGGGACCCGGCCTCTCCGCTCCGGCAGGAACCAGCTCGCTTCCGGCCTCGCCTCCCTCCGGGTGAGTGATGGCCCGGGGCTGAGTGCTCACAAAGGGTGCCCTCCCGGGGCTAGGAGGCTGACCTCAGAGGCGCGGGCAGGCCACTGCCCTCCTCATCGCACCCCGAGGAGGCGCCAGAGCCGGCCCGTCCCCCGGACGGAGGGACACCCACCATTTCTCGTTCATTTCTCACTGCCCGTTAAACCCTCAAGCCGCTGACGGAATGGCGAAGGGAAATAGGTCGGCGGTGTGTGTGTGTGTGTGTGTGTGTGTGTGTGTGTTTTACAAATAAGACGTTAAAGGCAACTTGGCACAGTTCCCGCCCCCATGCCCCTCCTCTCTCACAGGCGCGTGAGGAGGCCACCAAAGAGGAGCCCCGGGGCCACCTTCGAGGCCGGGCCCCGGGGCTCGGAGGCGGCGCTCAGTAGTGGAGCTGCAGACTGAGATGGCATCTCCTTTGCGAAAGGCACGCACACGGGACATACTTTGGGGAAATACACAGCCGACAGGCCAGTTGGGGCCCATGGAGGGGAATGTGGGGTCGGGGGGTGTCCGTGGAGCTGGAGCTGCGTGGTGATGACGCCAACAGCTCCCGCTGGGTTTGCACGACACCAGAGCCCCCCCAGGAGAGCAGCAGAGCCTTACCCGCGGCTGCCAGTTCTCGTACTGCTTCTGCAGGTTGGCACCAATAGTCTCCAGGGCTTTCTGCGGACCCATGGACAGAGGATCTGAGGAAGCAAGGAGAAGGGTCGTTACAGGTGCGTGTCCCCTGCAAGCCTGGTCAGAGTCCCCGCACACAGCTCACTTCCCGGCCGCCCGGCCAGTGCATCTGTGCCGAGCAGGTGGCGGAGCGGCTGGGCGCCCACTCGGGCTCCCGCCTGCAGAGGAGACTGGCTCACAGCCACCGGCCTGCCTCACCCCAGCTTCTCGGTGCCGGGGCCTGCACCTGCCAGCCCCCTCTGGCCTCAGTCCGGCCTCGGAGCGAAGGCTCAGTGTGGCCTGTCCTCCGACACCGTGCAGGGAGGGCCGCCGTGCCCTCAGCCCCCGTCCGCCCACACGGGAATGGGCGGGGCACACAGCAGGGCGCCCTCCCGGATCACAGGCTCTCCAGACGGTTCCAGAGCGAGGCGCTGGAGCTGCAATCCCGCCTGCCTGGGCCAGGAGCTCTGCACACTTTCAAAGTCTGCTGTGTCTGTCAGCCTCGTGTTCAAAATTCGGGTGAGACATTTTAAGTTTATTTATTCGTTTATTTAAAGTAAGAACCCAGTACATTTGGACATAAACATTTACTATGAAAAATGGCTAAAAAAACGGACCAGCACCGGTTAGTTCTGCCACACCTGCTCCGACAGGTGCCCGCCTGTGGGCTCCCCGCCCGTCTTCCCTCCTGCCCGTCTCCCCTCCTGCCAGTCTGGAGGCAGCCAGCCCAGGTGTTTTCCTTCTCTCTTCCCCTCCCTCCTGTTCTCCCTCCCTCAGCTCTCTGAGAAGATCAATGGGAAAATATCCTCGTGTGAAGATTAACAACAACAAAGCCTCTGGGGCTTCTGAAAACCAGCACAGCATATAAAACAGGAGCTGCCGGAGGGGGCGGGGGAGGGGGATGGGAGGTGGGAGAGACACCACTGGGCCCTGGCTGACTGGGCCCAGCCGGGGCCATGCTTCCTGACCTGGGCCTGACCTCGTCCTCTCCGTGGCCACACGCGGCCACTGCTCCGTGCGCGGAGCGGCCCTCCCACAGGCGTGTGCTAATTGCCTTAGTGACGAGCAGGCCGATGGACCGAGCTTCTCCGCAGGACTGCAAGGGCTCTGCCACTAATTAGCTGAGTCACCTTGAGGAGGGCTTTAATTGAGGATGCAGAGATGGCAAAGGGCCGCTTTGAAACCAGCGATGGCTTTTAGCGCCCGTCTCATCACCAGTCACCTGCACACACTGGCAATCAGAGCGGTATGGTGAGAGGCACTGCGCCTTCCTGGGCCGAGGCAGAGCCGGGAGCGCCGGCTGCACTGCCTGGGCCAGCAGCTCCGGCTCAGAGCTTTCTCCACGCTCCAGCAGCGCTAACCAGCGAGCCACCCCACCCGCAGGGCAGCGCAGCCACCAGGAGCAGGTGAGTGCTGGGCAGGGCGGAGGCCTGGCTGGGACGCCCTGTTACAGCACAGCCTTGTCCTGACACGAACGTCACTGCAGGGGGTGGGGAGGTGTCCAGCGGCGGCACAGACCTCGCCAGGGAGACGGGGACACTCTAGGCGAGGCCCCGGGAACAAAGGTTCCAGCTGGAGGCACGGAGGTGTGCCGGGGCCCAACAGCACCTTCCTCTCAGCTCGGGGTCACCCGGGGCCACACAGCTCGGTGCAGAGGCCAGCACCAGCCCCCTCCGCCCGGCTGCCCCGGAGCTGCTCCCTGCACTCGGAGCTCCTCGCCACGTGAGGCTGCTCCTGGTGCGAGGCTCCCCTCCTGGCCTTGCCCGAGCAGCTGCGCAGAACGGCTCCCGGGTCCCTGGGCGCGCTGAGCGCACCCCGGGTTTCCACATGAACACGGCAGGGGCACACAGCAGGGGGCACACAGCGTGCCACCCGCTGGGGCCTGCCAGCCCCAGGCCCCGGCGCCACCTCCTGCTCCGTGCCGGCTGCTGCTGTGGCCCGTGGCTGGGACTCACGGCCTGGGCCTCCCTGGCAGGGCAGCCGGAGCGGAGACGACCGATCGTAAGCCTGGTGAGAGGACACGTGAGCTTGTGGGAGTGAGCTGAGGCGGGAGGAAGAGGCAGGCTGGCGCGGTCTCAGAGCTCGGCGCCCAAACCGCTCTCCGGTGACAGGGAGGGGACCTCGCCGCGGAGCCCCCGGGCACCTGCTGGCCGGTGACAGACAGCCGTCAGCAGAACAGGACTCGGAGGCCGCACGCCTGCCCTCGAGCCCCAGCTAACACCCTCCTCACGGCGAGCCGAGGCTCCCGCCCGGGGAGTGAGCACCTGCATCAGGGCCGGTCCCTCACTGCAGAGCGGTGACCAGTGCCTGCTCCCGCAGACGCAGGAGGAATTTTACTGACTCGCTGACACTCTCCACCGCGGCAGGGGCGTGCGGCCACAGCCTGCAGGCCCGGTGCTCCGGTTTACAGAAACGGCGCCAGCCGCTCGGACCGGGCAGGAGGGCCGCCCGCCGCCCGCCCCGCCCCGCCCCGCGGCCCCGGACTCACCGATCCAGCACTCCAGGCGCGCACAGGGCGTGGTCTTCACCACGTCCGGGGGGTCCACCCCGACGTTCAGGCACAACACCAAGGCCACGCTGACCGTCTTCATCTGCAACAACAGGGAGCACACGTCTCAGTCCCGTGTCCACGTCCGAAGCCGGCGTCCAGCTCCGCCCGCCTCCGCCTCGCCCGCACGCAGGCACGCTCTGGAGCAGCGCCGGGAGGGCTGGGTTCGGAGGAAAGCGGGCAGACGGCAGGCGAGGCTTCCCGGACACGTTTCCAGAAAGAAGTACGTGATCAAAAGCATCGACATTTCAGGGCACGTGTGACCAACGTCCTGCCACCTTCCTCTCCACCCTCTCACAGACTCACTCAGCAGCTCCGCGCCTGCCAGAGGAGGGCCCGGGCCCTCAGTGGTTTCCTGTGTGTGCTCAGGGGCTCCAGGGGCCGCTGTGGTCCCACGCCCTCCCTCCATGTTGAAGGCTCGCCCACGCGGGTCCTCGTGGTTATTCATTCCTACACCCCCCTCCCGGGACTGCTCCCCCCCCCACCCCCGGGCCGGCCGGCAGCCACTGCTCAGGGCCTCCACATGGCCCTCACTCCAGACAAAGCACAGTCCCTCCACCTCCACAGCTGCAGCTAATAAGCTTTAAAAAATTCTAGTAAAATAGCCAAAACCGGTTTGGCTCAGTGGACAGAGCGTCGGTCTGAGGACTGAAAGGTCCCAGGTTCGATTCTGGTCAAGAGCATGTGCCCTGGTTGCAGGCACATCCCAGTGAGGGAGTGTGCAGGAGGCAGCTGTTCGATGTTTCTCTCTCCTCGATGTTTCTAGCTCTCTATCCCTCTCCCTTCCTCTCTGTAAAAAAAATCAATAATATATTTTAAAAAATAAATAAAAATAAAAAAACAAAAATAAAAATTCTAGTAAAATAAACGACTTCTGATTTGATTGTTAAAGTTCTTGTTTCCGAAGCTCTAAGTCCCTCAGACAGAAACCCAGTGGAGGCGCTAGAGTCACTCTTCGACCTGAGCCGACTCCTCACCGCCGCCCAGCACTGAGCACACGTTTCTCTGTGGCTGCTTCGCGGGGGCAGCGGGGCAGGCGGACACGCCACACCCGCAGATGACGCCACGAGAGGGTGCGCTCACACACACCTTGCCCGACACCGTCCTACACCTTTTAAGGAAACAAATGTCAGAAATATGACGACACGTGAACCTGGAAAACACGTCTGTCCCACACACTTAGCTGCCAGTGCAACGCCACGATCGGTAACAGACGTGGCCAGCAAGCAGCCTGGAGCAGCCACGCGTGTCCCGCGGCCGCTCCCTGCGAAAGCTTTAATCCTCAGCTTCCCCTCAGGTGTCTTGTCCGTATTTTATTTCCATCTCTATGGTAACCTCACTCCAAAAACTCTAGATTAATGCTTTTTAATAACACAGTTAAGCATTAAGAAAGTGTAAGGGCTATCCACTTAATTGCCAAAAATGGCATAATAATACATAAAAATAACCGTTTGGACTCGCACACATTTCCTTCCCAGCGCAGTGTGATTGGCGATGACAGTTATGTTCCCAGAAGCTAACTTTAAATCGGCAAGAGCATCGTTTCAGACGGCAGAACCGGAGTGGCGGCCTCCGCGAGTCGCCATCTCCCCGGACAATCCTCGCCCACGTGGCTCTCGGCGGCGAACCTCTCAGGGGGCCCCAGGGACCGAGAGCCCTCGGGAAACTCACGGTGTCCCCAGCGCGCCCACGGCCCAGCTGTGACCCCGGAAGCTGGGTGAGGAGCTCGATGGCGTCTCTGCCTTTTCCTGTACGCCTCCAGTGCAATTCTCACACACACTCACACACACACTCACACTCATACACACACACCCCCTCACACACACTCATTCACACACACACACACACACACACACACACACACACCCCCTCACACCCCACACACACTCATTCACACACACACACACACTCACACTCATACACACACCCCCCTCACACACACACTCATTCACACACACACACACACACACACACACTCATACACACACACACACACCCCTCACACACACACTCATTCACACACACACACACACACACACACTCACACTCATACACACCCATACACCCAACTGACCACTCAGCCCCGTCCGTGGGGAGGGAAAAGAGCCCAAGCTGCCGCAAAGGGGCGAGAACACAGAAGGCCTGTCGGCCTCAGACACGTCCACCGACGCCTTGCCTCTAGGACCGGGCCCAGACAAGGCGGAGCGAACGTTCTCCGTTCTCCGTTCTCCGCGGAGCCCCGGGCGCAGCAGGCGGAGTGGAGGGCAGAGGGCGGGGGCAGCTCTGCGGGCGGCAGGTGAGCGGGGCAGCAGCCCTCACAGGAGCCACATTCTCGGGCGCCGGGCCTGGAGGCACCGGCAGAGCCTGTGGAGGAGGGTGAGGGTGACGGCTACTGCCCCGGGTGTGGAGCACACGGGAAGGCCCGGCTGACCACATGCACACGCGTGGGGCCGGCCCGGGAGAGGAACCGCACTGCCTCCTCTCCCCGCCCCGGCCTCCCGTGTGTTTCCAAATTCCTGCCATAAACACGTGTGGTCTCTAGAGCACGGGGAAAGTCGTAACATGCCGACACACCGTCAGGAGGCTTCATGCGTGTGCGGTGCGTGGACATAATTCTGTCACCTCTGAAGAGAGGAAAGGCCTGCTCGGTCCGCTGAAGCTCCGGCCCGTATCCAAGGCAACGGCGAGCGATGGCGAGAGGGATGCAGGTGAGCGCAGCAGGCGTGCGAGGCAGATGGCGTCCCTGCGGACAGCGCCCCCCCCCCCCCACCCCGTCCCCTCGGCCGAGAGCTCGTGTCCTGGCAAAGCAAGCGAAGCCGCCTGGACCCCTCCCGGAGGACAGCCCGCCCCTGCGCGAGGCCGTCCATGTGGGAGGCTGCTCCGAGTTCTGATTCATCCCGTGCAGCCAGAGGCCGCAGCGCCAGGCGGAGCCGCGCTCAGGAAGACCTCTCGTCCTCACGAGCAGCAGTGCCAGCCGTGCCGGCTGCGCCAGCACCGCCCCAGGCAGAGGGGACGCAGAGCGCCCGCGGGGAAGCGCACGCACGCATGGCGGTCCGAGGTCGCCCAGGGCGGGTTTTCCTCCCCTCCCGCGGCCTCTGGGTGGGGCCGAGGCCGCGCCAGGTGGACGGTGAGGTGGCGTCCACAGCAGAGCCTCCTGGGACGGAGGACATGGAGGGAGGGCAATGAGCAGGAAGCTGAGAGTGAAACCGGGAAGGGGCGGAGCAGCTGAGGAAGGAAGGGCCCTCTGCTCCACGCCCCAGGGACACTGTGCTCAGCCCACACCGTCCGGCCACGCCCCACGGGGACCGCAGTCACCGCTGTCTGTGTCCCCAGCACCGACCCCGCACACTCGTGACTTCCTTGCACGTGGCCCCCCTGTGGGAGATGGAAGCCACGTGTCTTGGTGCTGCCCCAGCGGAGGGGCCAGCACGGCCTGCGCTCCTCCAGGCGGGGCCCGCTCCGCAGGCGAGCGGCAGAGGCAGAGGCGCTGGACGGCACAGGGCTTCCAGGGCCCCAGGCCCTGCTGCTCAGCACTCCACACCCCCTGCCCCCCATCTCTGTGACGGCAGGGTCTGCCTCACCTGCCAGGGCGGCTCTGCCCGGACTGAGAATCCCAAAGGCTCTCCGGGAGGAAACCCAGCCCCGACCAGGGACTCAGGCCCCACGGCTCCAGCTCACAGAGGGGGGAGGAGCGAGGCTCACAGCGAGCCCGCCGACCGTGCGGCACGGCCAAGCAGCCGGCCTGAGCGCACTCCGTCTGAGGCGGCCGCCGTCCCGGGCTCCAGCCGGCAGCAGGTCTGCAGCGAGGCGGTCAGGCCCCGGAGGGCCAGGTGTGAGCCCGAGCAGAGCCAGGTGCACGCAGCAGCTGGGGACCAGCAGGCCTCTCTCCGCCCACGGGAGATTGCAGGCCCGGCAACCGCCTCCTAACAAAACGGTGTCAGCTGCCCCCCTCCCCACGGCCCAATTATTCAGAGAATCCTAACGAGAGAAGCCGGCGAGGCGGGGCGAGGCAAAGGTGGCACGCCTACAAGCACGAATAACAAGAGCACATTTCCATTCATTGCAAAGCCACGCAGCACAGTCTCCTCTGAGCATTACAGCTGCCCAACCGTGTCTCTTTATCATCAAGCCCATGGCCCGGCATCTCACAGGACACGGAAGCACACAGCCCCCCATCCGCCCCCAGCCCCCCCCATCTGCCCCCAGCCCCCCACACAGCCCCCCATCTGCCCCCAGCCCCCCACATCCCACCACCCACACTCCCACATCCCACCATCCGCCCCCAGCCCCCCATACATCTCCCCATCCGCCCCCAGCCCCCCACTCATCCCACCATCCGCCCCCAGCCCCCCATACATCCCCCCATCCACCCCCAGCCCCCATGCATCCCCCATCTGCCCCCAGCCCCCCACTCATCCTACCGCCCCAGCCCCCCACTCATCCTACCCTCCACTCCCAGCCCCCCTCAGCCCATCTGCCCCCAGCCCCCCACTCATCCTACCATCCGCCCCCAGGCCCCCCACAGCCTCCCATCTGCCCCCAGCCCCCACATCCCACCACCCACCCTTCCACATCCCACCATCCGCCCCCAGGCCCCCACATCCCCCACCATCCGCCCCCAGCCCCCCATACATCCCACCATCCGCCCCCAGCGCCCCACACAGCCCCCCATCCACCCCCAGCCCCCCCACATCCCCCACCATCCGCCCCCAGCGCCCCATACATCCCACCATCCGCCCCCAGCCCCCCATACATCCCACCATCCGCCCCCAGCGCCCCATACATCCCATCCCACCATCCGCCCCCAGCGCCCCATACATCCCACCATCCGCCCCCAGCGCCCCATACATCCCACCATCCGCCCCCAGCCCCCCATACATCCCACCATCCGCCCCCAGCCCCCACATCCCCCACCATCCGCCCCCAGCCCCCCCACAGCCCACCATCCGCCCCCAGCGCCCCACACAGCCCCCCATCCACCCCCAGCCCCCCCACAGCCCACCATTGCCCCAGCCCCATCGGGAGGGCATTCAGGCTGGCAAG